TTCTTCCAGGAGGGATGGGTACTGTGAAAGGCAATGCTGATTGACAGACAAATCGGGGGCTTCGCCTGGCTCCTTTTACAATGGAGTCTCATCCTCAGTTTTCTCATTAAAGGGACTGCTGGGCACATGACCACATGGAAAGATACTTGCCCTGATAAGTCAGGCTGTGACTCTGTAATGTACACACTGAAGCGCTTCTTGGCTGCCACAGCAGCTTCCAAGACTCTCAGGACCACTCTGGAGTAGGCGTGCGTTAATATTCTCTGTGGGTAGAGAAAACTCCGTCAAAAGTGCAAACTTCCACCAATCACTCAGACTCTCTGCTGCTCCAATGTGTGTTCCTGGTACCCTAAAGCTTCTCTGTATGTATGCTTTTGCACAAATCAATTGTAATCAGAAAGCAGATCCTTGACAATACACTGAGTTTAAGCCCATATACATACTTTTTGTTTTTGGCTCGCTGCACTGCATGCGAGATTATAGTTCCCCAACCAGGGATCAAACCCTTGCCCCTTGCAAGGAAGCTTGGAGTCTTAACCACTGGGTGGTCAGGGAAGTCCCTACTGATACAATCTGAAAAAGTTTTCTGCCAGAGGAATATATCATGGGTCTCCTCTTTTCATAGCAAGCACAGAAGTGGTATCTCCACGTGGTGTTACTCAGATGCAAAAGCCTTTCTGTCTGAAGGCTGTTAGGCTCCTTTGGGTAGATTTCCCTAATTCTAAGACCTAGTCTGCATACCTGGGCCTTCCAAGCACCAGACTGCTGGCATAAAGGGATGTAGAGGCCGGTGGGGCCAGCAGCAGCGTGTGAAGGCTGACCTCCGGCTGTTGTCGCATGGGGCCCACTGTTGCTGGATCATCTGATTTTCTAGAGGAGCTAAAATCCAGTATTTCAATGTTGACTCATTTTTAAAAACTTTTATACACTGTTTGGGGTAAATACAACCCAACTGTGGACTGGACACAATTTGCAGATACTTAGATGGAATCAAGATGTTCTAAGGAACAGAGGACAGAGGACAGAGAAAAGCAAGGTGGAGGGACCAGTTCCCTGGCTCCTTCTGGGTCTTGCCTGAGAGCTTGTTAGAAATGCAGGTTCTCAGGCCCCACCCGTCTCACTGAACCAGAATGTGCATTTTAATTTTATATTTACATATTTATATTAAAATTAAAATAAATTTTGGCCGTGCTGCATGGCATGGGGGCATCCTAATTCCCTGACCAGGGATCGAAACCATGCCCCCTGCATTGCAAGTGCAAAGTTTCCACCCCTGGACTGCCAGAGAAGTCCCAGGATATGCACTTTAAAAGATCTCCAGATGGTTCACCTGCATGCTTGCATTTAAGCCGCTCTGTTCCTAATTTACCCTAAATAGCACTTATGCAGGTGGTTGCTACACATTAAACTCCATGAGGATGAACAAACCCTGGAGTGCGACTGCTGGGAAGGAGGAGGCCTTGGCGAGAAGCAGTCACCAGCTTGCCTCCACCTGGTCTCAGAACGGCTTTGTTTGAAGCTGGCTTTTGTACCAGTGCCAGTTGCATCTATTACATCATTTATTTAATAACATAATTCAGAGGCTGAGAAGGGAGTAATAAAACAGAGGACAAGATTTCAGAGTCCAGATGCAAGTAAATACTTTTACAGTCGGTGGAGGCTTAGTTGGTAGAAAGGATGTGTGCTGGCAGAAGAGATGTCATAAAAGTTTTATGACCCGTTTGCTGGGAGACTGACTACCCAGGAGTCTGATGCCAAAGTCCTTGCTCCCGATCACCACCCACAATCAAGATGTACTCACCGCCCCATCTTTGATGAAAGTATGGCACAGATCTGCAATTTTATTTCTTGACAGTGATATTCTCCTGAGGAAAATCTCTCCCCGCTCCTCATGATCTTTTTACATTTGGAATAATCCTAGGGGAAAAAAAAAGCAACATGAGGGGAAGGGGAGGATCCAGGTCAAGCTGAGAATACTTGTGGCCAAACACAGAAGCAGAGCGGTGACCAGGGGAGGGCAGGGCTTACAGAGTATTCCAGGGAGGTAAGGCTGATGAATCGCAGGAAGAGCTCCCCGCCTGACGACACGGCCACAGAAGAGTCCACGCCACACAGGGTTTCTATGGCACTGGTGAGATTCGCCCTCAGGCCCTGGATTGTCTCCCCTGGAATGATCACATGAGCAACATGATGTTCATTTCAGTATCACAGCCCCTTGATGGGTCTGCAATTCATACACTCATTCAGCCAGTGTGGACTGGGTGTAGGCTGTATGCCAGGCACTCTGATGGCTTAGCAGATAAAGAATCCGTCTGCAATGAAGGGGATGTGGGATTGATCCCTGGGTCAGGAAGATCCCCTGGAGAAGGAAATGGCAACTCACTCTAGTACTCTTGCCTGGGAAATTCCATGGACAGAGGAGCCTGGTGGGCTACGGTCCACAGGGTCGCAAAGAGTAGGACACGACTAAAGTGACTGAGCATACAAACTTCCTAGATGCCAGAGATAACTTCAGTGAACATGACCAGTCCCTGTTCTGATGGAACTGCCTTTCTTTTCCTTTTCTCTTTTTTTTTCTTGGTTGTGCTTCCTGGCTTGCAGGATCTCAGTTCCCCTGATCCCCCAGCAGTGAACCCAGGCCCTCAGCATTGAAGTGCAGAGTCCTGATCACTGGACTGCCAGGGAATTCCAGGACTCTCTTTCTACTGGGAGAGGTAGACAGTAAACAAGCACACAAAGAAATAAACAAGTTATTCAGATTGAATTGAGGACAGAAAAAAGCAAAATGATGAAAAAGGTAGAACTACTTTAGGCAGAGTTAACAGGGATGATCTCTTGGAGTGCAGGCCTTTTAAACAGAGACCTGAGTAAGAAAGTATCCAGCTATGTAAAGGTGCAGTGGGCAAAGTCTCAGACACAGACTATACCAATGCAAAGGCCCCAAGATGGGAATAAAATTGGTAAGAGAAAGGCCAGAGTGAAGCACAGTTCAGCAAAGGACAGCATGCAAGGAAATTAAGTAGTGACAGAAGAGGTTTGCAGGGTGGTGCAGGTAAGGATTAGATGTCTGGATATTAGTATAATGGGAAGATGCTGGAGGTTGTCTTAGAGACATGCATCTCTATGTCAGCCCTTTAAAGAACACTTTATTACTTTTATTATTATTTTGTTTATACCAAGATGTTTACATTTAGGATGATTGAATTCACGGTGCTCACAATGATGACATTAAAGCTAGAATTTATACTAGAACATTCTCTATATCAACTGCAAAGAATCTGTCACAAGACAGAAGCCCAATGAACACTTGTAAAGCTGAACGATTGCTATAAGCTTCACAGTTAAGCTTATACTCACACAGTTAAGCTTCACAGTTAACCTGTCATACTATGGTCCTTCTTGATTCAAAGTACAGTTCAGGGGCTTCCCTGGCAGTCCAGTGGTTAAAGACTTCACCTTCCAATGCAGGGGGTGCTGGTTATCAAACAGCTCCCTGGTTGGGGAGCTAAGATCCCATATGCCACAGAGCCAAAAAACCAACACATAAAACAGAAGCAACATGATAACATATAAAGACTTTTCAAAAAATGGTTCACATAAAAAAAAAAACAAAGTATATTTCATTTGTGAAAAAGACCTATGTGATCCTAACTTGAGGGCTCTCTCCACACTGAAATGAAGGGAGAAACTGAACTTGAGGCTGTATTACCTTATATCAGCACACATCCATCTCTTACTTTCTACAATTTTAACAGTTACAAGCAGACTTTCCTAACACCTGGAGCAATGGAGGTGGACCCTCTTTACCTGTATCTCTTCTCAAGTACTCCAGTAAAGTCCGGATGGCAGCTACTGCTGAGGCCATGTCAGGATCTTCTTTTATCTGAGACTTAAAGTATTCGATTAACTCTGGGAAGGGAGGAAAAAGTGATTCAGCGAATTCATTTAGCAGGAGAGACAACCATACAGCTTATCAATGACTGCTGACATTAAAAAGCAAACTAATTTAAAAAATTTCCTTTGCAGGGTGTTTGACTTCAGGGACACCGAAAATGTTGATGAGAATAGAGATGACATCACTTTACTATTTACAAGCTCTTTCTCATTTTGAAAAAGCTAGACTGTGTAATATGGAATAAAATTTAAGCCCCACCAAATGATAGTGAAAGGTCATTCTCACCCTTATTCTTGACCCCAAGTCTACATAAAATCCCAGAGCCAACCTGCTTACTGATTTCTCCAGACAGCCTATGCCAAGCCAAGCCTATTCACCTACATATATATATATGTGTGTGTGTGATGTAGCAGTCTACTCTGCTTTTACTTTTTTACATGAAAGGTGCTACATACGTATTAGTTTGCCCTTGTTCTTCACTTAATAAAACACCTTGATAATCACTCTAGACAGGCACATCAAATACGCTTTTCTTTTGATTCTGGTACCAGATTCAACAGGGCAGGCTCAGGGAGTCTTACTCATACTTCACATATGAAGAAATCAAGACTTCGAAGACCTGTATATTCGTCCGAAATCTCACGTTTTCGGAAGGCACTGGAAAGCATGGACAGAAGGGATGTCTGGGGATACACCCAAGACCCATTCCCTGGATACATGAGCAGCGAGGGGGTTTTAGTTGTGACTAGAGGGACCACATCCGACCAAACAGCCTGAGCTTGAAAACTGACCGCGCCCGGAGCCCAGTCTGGGCGTGTGAGGTGGAGGAATCCCTGCGCGGCTCCGCTCTAGGCCCAGCAGGTCCGACGCGTCCCAATTTACCCTTGTTGTCCATGGTGCCCTCTGGACCGCGGAGCCTGAGAAGCCCAGAGCCGCACGAGACGCCTGGACTGGTCCCGCCGCCGCGCGGATCACACTCTGCACCACACTGACTGACAGCGCGCAGCCACGCTCTACACTCCACTTCCGGCGCCTTGGGGCGGGGCTGTGGGTAAGGCGCGCGGCCTGAGCCACGCCGTCTCTTACGTCACTCGGAGGCGCCGGAAGTCGGGGTTCGTTCACTCCGGCAGGTCTGCTTGCTTGCAAGTGGCCGTTCGCCGAGGGACTCTGGTCGCCATGGTCTCAGACGGTGAGGGCCGCGCCGGCGGGAGCCGGACCCCGGGACTAAGCAGACTTTGCCCGGCGATGACCTACCAAATGGACTGTATTTGGGGGGCTGGGTGGAGCCTGTTTGGTCTTTAAAGGAGTAGCAAATTCGTTCATTCATTCAGTAAATATTTTTGGAGCGCCTCTTGTGTGCCAGGCGTTATTTCATGCCCTGGGAGATACATAGAGAACACGACAAGACTAGTGGAGGTTACAGTCTAGTGAGCGAGACAGACAGGCAAGTGAATAAAAATAATTTCGAAGGGTGACAAGAGCTGTGACGACAATATAAAGTGATGATGATATCGATTGCTATTCGGGGATGATCCAGGAGGAGCTGCTTTCAATATGGGTCCAGGGAAGACTAGTAATATTCAGACTAAGACTTGAGTGGCTTTATAAAAGTTCTGTGAAGGCCTTGTGACAAGTTGAGCCATTACATTGCAATGGGAAGACGGAAAGGGGACACCTGCGGGTTGAGGAGAGTGGAGACTTTCGTTCATACTTTAAACTACCAGTTGCAGAGCCTGGTGTCTTAAAGGGAGGAAAAAAGAGGCCAGGGTGGTGGGAGCAGGTTGGGATAGAGGGATGAGATCAGAGAGCTAGCTAGCCAGGTGCAGGTCCCTTGTGGGACTGGATCTCTATTTTAAGTGTAATACAAGCCGTTTTAGGGGGAAGTATTACTGAAAGAAAAAAAAAAAGAAGTATTACTGATTTACGATTTTTTTTCCCCCCCAAGATCTTAGTTCCCTGACCAGGGATCCAACCCATGTCCTCTTGCAATGAAAGCATTGAATCCTAACCATTGGACGGCCAGGGAATTCCCTGATTTACTATCTTAAAAGATTACTTTGACTGCTGTGTGGGAAATTGACTGTGGAGAGCAAGAATAGAAATAGATCCTTTCAGGGGCGGTAACAATTGTCCATGCATCATTTATCTGTTTTTATATCACAACTCTGTGAGGGAGGCAGATCTGGTATGGCCCCTGTCTACAGATGAGGAGATAAGAGACCCAAAGAAGGAAATCCACAGGGACATTCTATTTGTATGGATTCACACCTCTCCTGACAGGCAATGCTTTATTTTTCTCAGGCTTGATAGTAGCAAGGAATGTATGGCTCTGAGGATTGGGGAGTGGGACCTGATGGAGATAAAAGGTCAAAGGCTTTGGGGCAGAGGAGTGAGGGCCTGTGGGAGAGATAGTTATTAAGTGGCTTTCTGTGCTAAACACTTTGTTCTGTGGTTTACATAACATTCCTCATTGTCTAAGAAGGCCACAATTTAGAGGGCTGAGTGGGGAAGAGAGATCAGAAGCATAGCTAAATGTAAAATGAGGTCATGAGTACTGTCATCAGAAGAGGGACCGCACTGTGGGTGGTCAGAAGGAGGCAATAAGGTGTTGAAAAGCCACAGTCTTTATTTCAGTTTTTTTTGTTGGAGTATAATTGCTTTACAATATTGTGTTAGTTTCTGCTGTACAACAGCATAAAGTGAATCAGCTATATGTGTACATGTATCTCCTCCTTCGTGGATCTCCCTCCCTCCTGCCGCCAGCCCCACATCTAGGTCATCACAGAACACTGATTGAGCTCCCTGTCTAGACAGCAGCTTCCCACTAGCTATCTGTTTTACACATGGTAGTGCACATATGTCAAGCCTGATCTCCCAATTCGTACCCCCCAACTGTGTCCGCATATCCCTTCTCTATGTCTGTGTCTCTGTTCTTGCCCTGCAGGTAGGTTTATCTGTATCATTTTTAGCCACAGTCTTGAGAGTCAAGCAGATCTGTCTTCAGAGCTGGGTGTTAGCTTTGCTACTTGTTAGCAGGCCATGTGACTTAGAGCAAGTTACTTTCTCTTGCAAAATAGGAATACCGTATTTCACCTAATCTAAGGCAATATGATTATGAAATGTGCTTTTATTTTATTTACTATATCACTAAGAGAAAAATGTGATCAGTCATAATGGTAAGATACCATCCTGAGTTCAGCAACTGTCAAATTGCTGAAAACTGTAAAACTATTAAAAAAAAGAAAGAAAAAGTAGGGAGTACATCTTATAATTAGTGAAAGATAGCTTCCCTGGTGTCTCATTGGTAAAGAATCTGCCTGCCAATGCAGGAGACATAGGTTCAATCTCTGGGTCAGGAAGATCCCCTGGAGAAGGGAATGGCTACCCACTCCAGTGTTCTTGCCTGGAGTATCTCATGGACAGAGGAGCCTAGCAGCCTACAGTCCATGGGGGTCACAAAAAAGTCGGACACAACTTAGCGACTCAACAACAACAAGTGAAAGATAGCATTAAGTCCCTTTCTGAGTTGTCAGCAATGGGACAGGATGATAGGATTACATGTGCTGGGACTGACACAGAAAGACTGATATTTCCTCTCTCCTGAGATGGGGGAGCCAGGACCTGTTGGAAGATCTGGGGAGGACTTTTAGATAAGGAGGTAGCATTGGGTTTGAACCTTGGAGAGTAAATAGGATTTGGGTATGCAAGCAGGGCATTGCTGCTTTCTGCTATTAAATGAGCATGCTGGGTTTTTCATAACAATGTGTGCTTGCTGGTTCACATGTCTGTCACCTCAGTTAAAATATATGCTCCTTGAGGGCTTGGATCCAGTATCCCTGACACCTAACACGGGTACTTTAGTGTAAATGTTTGTTGAATGGATTACTGTGTTAAGTTAGCCTGTTTCGTTGTGTCTTTCACTTTGTAAAAAGTAGCCTAATTTTTTTCACAATAAAATCTTTACACAACCATTGCTTTTCACCCTAGTTTTTACCTTTTAAAGATTGTTTACTAATTATAATTGGCCTTGCTGGAAGGTGATTTGATGGACCTGGAGCCAAATTGATTCTGTGTCTCCCTTTAAATCTCTCCCCACCCACCCCTACCCCATGCCTGAAATTCTACTAATGATTCTCAGTACTGGTTCATCAGTGCCTTCTGTCCTTGACCAGACATCTGTAATGCATTTATCTTTGGGTTCATAAAATATTTATTGAGCATCCACCCCATGCTAGGCATTGTGTTCAGATCAGAGGACAAGCAGTGATAAAAGAGACAAAAATCCCACCACACAGTGTTCATAGTCTACTGCAGGGGTCCCCAACCTCTGGGAGCTAATGCCTGACGATCTGAGGTATAGCTAATGTAACAATAATAGAAATAAAGTGAACAGTAAATGTAGTGCTCTTGAGTCATCCTGGAATGAACCATCACCCCACACAAACACACACAACCTGTGGAAAAAATTGTCTTCCATGAAACCCATCCCTGGTGCCAAAAAGGTTGAAGGCTACTCTTTCAGTGCATGAGAGGTGTAAATGTGCAGAAGGCAAGCAAGAGCTCACTAAGGGCCTCCAGAGCTTTAAGTCTTTAAAAGAACTTGATCTTGTGTTACTTTCATGGTTGTAGCTTATATACATAGAAAGGCATGTAGTGGTGCTTGCTTTGGATTTAATTTACAAATTGGAAATGTTAGCTTTGTTTCACTTTTATGAGGCTAATTTCTTTTTTGTTAATATTTTCAGAAGATGAATTGAATCTTCTAGTTATCATAGTTGATACCAACCCTATTTGGTGGGGAAAGCAAGCATTAAAGGAGTCTCAGGTAAGGCTGCTTGGGAAGGCTTTTGGATAGCTCTGATTTGACTGAGTGTATGTTGCTTTTTTATTAAGGTATAATTTCATACTGTAAAATTCACCTGTTATAATGTATAGTTCAGTGTTTTTTAGTAAAAATCACAGTAAAGTTGTATAACCACCACTACCACAATTCCATTTTAGGAAACTTCTATTTCCAGAAGGTTCCCTCGTGCTTGTTTGCAGTCAGTCACTGCTCCTACGCCCTAGCTGTTATTGTTGTTTAGTCACTAAGTCATGCCCAACTCTTTGCGACCCCATGGACAGTAGCCCACCAGGCTCCTCTGTCTGTGGGATTTCTCAGGCAAGAATGCTGGAGTGAGTTGCCATTTCTTTCTCCAGAGGATCTTCATGACCCAGGGATTGAACCACATCTCCTGCATTGGCAGGTGGATTCTTTCCCACTGAGCCCCCTGGGACGCCCCCCCACCAGTTGTAGGCAACCATTCGTCTGGTTTCTGTCTCTCTGTTGCTTTTTCTGGACATTTCATATGTTGATTCCATATAATATGTAGTCTTTTTTTTTTTTTTTAATACTTTCTACTTTGAAATAGTTATGGAATCACAGGAAATTATAAACACTGGTACAGAGGGGTCTGTGTGCTCTGACCCAGCTTCCCCCAGTAGTAACATCTTCTGTAACTGCAGTACAAAGAGCGAAACCAGGGCACTGTGATGTGTGGGCTTGTCTTGTTACGGAATGCCAGCTTCAGGGTGCATGGGCTTCAGTAGCTGCAGCCTGCAGGCTCAGTAGTTGTGGCTCACTTGCTTAGTTACGGCATGCGGAATCTTCCTGGACCAGGGCTCGAACCCGTGCCCCCTGCATTGGCAGGTGGATTCTTAACCCCTGGGCCGCCAGGGCAGTGTCCTGTCATTTTGATTTTAGTCATTCTAGGGTAGGTGGTAGTACCTCATTGTGGTTTTAATCTGCATTTCACTAATGACTAATGATGTTGGAGAGTCTTGGTCGTAAGCTTATTAGCTATCTGTATATTTTCTTTGATGAAATTCATATAAAAATGTTATGTCCAATTTTTAAATTCTTAAATTGGACATGTTCTTAATTAATTCTTAAATTGGACATGTTCTCACCATTAAGAACAAGTTATGTACTTGATAAAATAACTGTATCAAGTTGATATACGCTGAGCAGCACATATTGAAAGTGTTCATGTTTTCACGTATGTATGCATTCATGAAATTATCACCACAATCAAAATAATGAAATATAGATCCATGGGAGTTCCCTGATGGTCCAGTGGTTAGGACTCAGTGCTCTCATTGCTGTGGCCTGGCTTTAGTCCCTGTTTGGGGAACTAAGATCCTGTAAGCCAATCAACATATCCAAAAGAACAAAACAAAACAAAAACACACAAATCCATCACTCCCAGAGTTTCTTCATAGTCCTTTGAATTTCTCTCACCCAGCTCTCTCCCTATTCCCTCCTGGAGATAGCCACTTATCTGCATAATATCACTATAGATTAGTTTGCCGTTTTAAGGTATGTGTTTACCTGGAATCAAACAGTATATAGTTGGTTTTTTGTTATTGGGTTTTTTCTTGTTTGGTCTATTGGCCTGTTGTTTTTACTCAGCGTAGTTACTTTGACATTTGTCCATGTTGCTATATGGATCAGTAGTTCATTTCTTGTTATTGCTGAGTAGAATTCTGTGGTGTGGCTGGACCAGCATATCACTACATATTATCATACTCTCCAGGAAGAGTATTATTTTGAACTCTGATCAGTGGTATATGAGGATTCCTTTTTTTTTTTTTGTACTAACACAAGATGCTCTGTTTTCTTATTTTATCTTTTGCCAGTATGATGTACCAAAAATTCTCTCAGTCTTCTTTTAGTATATTTCATAGCCCTTTGTATTTCTCCTTTGTATTTTTCTTTTGGGGAGTTTCTCATTTTCTTCTTTGGGTGTTCCTTTTTTTTCCTAACTGGGCTGTGAACTCTATGTTAAAAGGTTAACCCATTGTCTTTCATATGTTGCAGTTTTTTTTTCCAGTTTGTAATTTGCCTTTCACTTTGGTTTAGTTGTTTTTTGTTTTGTAGAAATTTTAATAGGTTTGTTTTATATTTTAAGAAATAGAGTAAAAAAAAAGAAATAGAATGAGTAAAATTTATCTGTTTTGTTTTCTGCTTAAAGTATTTCTTTCTTTAGTAACATTAATACTTGTCAGAATGTAAATTCCATGAAAGAAAGGGTCTTCACATGGCACATAATAGGTTCTCAACATATTTAGTGAATGAATTAATTGAAAGATTTTAAAATTACCAATTTAATCAATATATATTATCTATTCTATGTGTAGCAATAGTTTGCTAGTAATTTTATCACAGAAGATGTGACATGTTTACTATTCCCTGAATGTTATACAAAAAACATTTGTGGAATATTGTACTGATGAGGAAGTGGTCTCATAAGTAAAACTAGAAAACTATAGTTTCTTTTTCAGATTTGATTATCCATATTTTTGCTATGAATACATTTATTTATGAACAAATAAGTTGTATTGATTAACAGTATAACAGCTGAAACAATAACAGTGAAAATGAATGTCTTTGCATGTGATTTCTTGTCTCAGTTGGAATTTTAGTCTTTCTTAAGTTTATATTTCAAATTTGACAGTTCTGATTATCGAAGAGAATGAAATTATACCTGGTAGACGGTTCTGTACAGGAGGAGAAAGAAAGGACGAGTCTCGATAACTAGTATTAGTAAAGATTGATTCTACTGACTAAGTTTTATTTAGGTCAACTGGAGCACAAATCAATCATCATGTTTATAAAAAATGACCGTATCTCCTCCCACGTGCCCAGTTCCTCCCCCAATAGCCGCTCTTCCTTCGTTTTGCTCTCTTCCATGAGACTTGACCTGCCGTGTGTTGTTTTTCTAAGCAAGTCAGAAATGGGCAAGTCTGTGCTGTTCAGAATTAGAAAACTATACCTTTCCAATGTTTCTCCTTATGACCTTGGAGAAGGGAACTCCAGAGCAAATTTTTAGCATGAATAATTATCTGACATAGTGGTTTTGGGTAGCTGATTTAGATTCTTTTTTCTTCTGTGTTTCAACAGTTTACTCTATCAAAATGCATTGATGCCGTGATGGTTCTGGGAAATTCTCATTTGTTCATGAATCGTTCCAACAAACTTGCAGTGATAGCAAGTCACATTCAGGAAAGGTATGACAATTATGATTACTCTTCCTGCTCAGTGCTTAAGGACCCTGAGATGAGATATTACTGGGGTAGATAAATATACCTCAAATAATAAACTAAGGAGCAAATTAGAATTTGGTAGGAATTCTCTTCAGTTGTCATCTAGAGAGTGAGAACCACTGTAAAGTGTTTCAAGGGACTGTAACTGAGTACCTTCTTTATTTTTCCCGGTTTTTAAGAAAACAGTGGAATCATCAAAACATCCCATGGTGGTAGACCCATGTTTTCCAATTTGGCTGTTTTATACATTTTGTAAAACTGGAGTTTATGATGGAGTCTTGAGATTCTGGAATTGGTGTGGTTTTTATCTCTGCTGACTTTTATTTTGATGTTTAGTATGGGCACTGAGTCTCTGTGTGACTAGGGAGTTTTTTGTCTCTTTTTCTGTTTCAGTCGATTTTTATACCCTGGAAAGAACGGCAGACTTGGAGACTTCTTTGGAGACCCAGGAAACCCTTCTTCTGAATTTACTCCCTCAGGAAGTAAAGATGGAAAATACGAGTTGTTGACAGCAGCAAATGAAGTTATCGCTGAAGAGATCAAAGATCTAATGACCAAAAGTAATTGCTTTCAGCTTTTTGTCCTCCCATTATTGCTATTTGCAGATGGAGTTGAATGTGGAAGTCCTTAAGGTTTTGAGTCCAAAAGTCTGAGATTCTTGATATTATCTACTTAATTTTCTCTCTCTCTTTTTTTTTTTAAATCATGCCCACAAAAGCCTGTGTGATACTTGCCTGACCTCTGTAGCATGGACACGGTTCACCAGCCTCCACTTGAAACACTCTAGTGTTTGAGGATAGCCTGTTTTGACCCATTTTTTTTCTTTCTCAGACCATTCTTTCTTCCATTTTTGACTTTTCCCTCATCTTGTTTCTTCATTTTTTAAAAATACTGATTTTATTTACTTATTTTCAGCCGCGCTGGGTCTTTGTCTCTGCGCTCAGGCTTTTCTGTCGTTGCAGTGAGCAGGCTTCTCGTGGTAGTGGCTTCTCTTGTTGCGGAACACGCGGTCTAGGGCCCGTGGGCTTCAGTACTTGTGGCACACGGGCTTAGTTGCCCTGAGGCATGTGGAATCTTCGCAGACCAGGGACTGAATCAGTGTCCCCTGCATTGGCAGGCAGATTCCTATCAGGGAAGTCTATCATTTTATTTCTTTAAAAACTTTTTTTAAAAAAATTCTGCACGGTGTTTTTCTTCCTCTGTATGTTCTCATCCAAGCTTCCCATTAATTATCATTTGTGTATGAACCCTTCCCCATCTTTGTCTCTAATCCATCCTTTCTTTCAAACTGCAGATGTCTCCACTTAAGTGTCCCTCAGTCTCATTAATAAGTCCCAGACCAGTTTCATTTTCTTTCCCCTCAATTATACCACTACTTCCATTTCTGTCACCCCCATCCACCTGCTTTTCCAAAAGCTTTCATTTTGACTGCTTTCTTCTAAACCAACATCTAATCATCTATGAAATCCTATTAATTTATTGTCAGAAGTACCTCCAAAGTCTGACCCCTTATTACCTGCCGTCTAGCTCAACCTTGGGACCGCTGATATCTTGGGAGGGGGGAGTTCTTTGTCATGGGGAGTTTCCTGTGCTTTGGAGGATAAGGGTTAGTTGCTCAGTCGTGTTCCACTCTTCCACCTCCATGGACTGTGGCCCCCCAGGCTCCTCTTGTTCATGGAATTCTCTAAGCAAGAATACTGAAGCAGGTTGCCATTCCCTTCTCCAGGGGATCTTCCCAACCCAGGGATCGAACGTAGGTCTTTGGCATTGCAGGTGGATTCTTTACCATCTTAGCCTCCAGGGAAGCCCTTTGGAGGATACTTACTTAGCAGCATCCCTGGCCTCAACCAACTGGATGCTAAAATATCCCCCAGCTGGGGCTTCCCAGGTGGCACAGTTGTTAAAGAATCTGCCTTGTAATGCAAGAGACGAAAGAGACATGGGTTCGAAACCTGGGTCAGGAAGATCCCCTGGAGAAGGAGATGGCAACCTGCTCCAGTATTCTTGCCTGGGAAATCCCATGGACGGAGGAGCTGGTGGGCTGTGGTCCGTGGGGTCTCAAAAGAGTTGGACATGACTGAGCACGCATGCAGGTACAAACCAAATGACCCTCTTGGGGCACAGTTGCCCCGCTTGAGAGCCTTTGCTCTGGATCATTATAACAGCTTCTTACTCCTGTCTCTCCCCATTTAAGTCCTTCCACTCAGCTCTCTAGAGTTATCATTCTAAAAATCAGAGTTAGTATTCCCTGCCTCAAAGACTTTTGCTAATTCTCTATTGCCTGCAGGCAGTGGTTTTAAACTGTCTCCTTTGTCCAAATCACCGGTAGGGAAAAGGCAACTCTAGAGACAGACAGTGGATCAGTGATTTCTCTTGGGACTGCATGGAGTTGGGGGTGGTGGGAGGGGGTGGTGGGCAGGAAGGGACTGGGAATGGGCCTAAGTGATCTTTTGGAGTGATGAAAGTGTTCTAGAGTTGGATCATGGTGATGATTTCAACTCTAGAAACTTACTGGAAATCATTGACTTGTGCACTTAAAAAGAGTAAATTTTGAGATCTGTAAGTTACACCCCAATAACATGAAATACTGGGCCCCACTTCATGGTTTCCGATTCAGTGGGTCTCGGGAGGGCCCAGGAATTTCCCTGCTGGCTCACACGGTAAAGAAACTGTCTGCCAGTGCAGGAGACCGAGACCCGGGTTCAATCCCTGGGTCAGGAAGGTCCCCTGAAGTATGAAATGGCAACTCACTCCAGTATTCTTGCCTGAAGAATTCCGTGGTCAGAGGAGCCTGTTGGGCTACACTCCACAGGGTCTCAAAGAGTCAGGCAGGACTGAGCATAGCACAGCACCAGGGAGGACCCAAGAATTTGTATTTTTCTTGAGTTCCCAGGTGATGTTCCTCCACTGGGTTCTAGAATCACATTTTGGAAACCACTGGCCTCCAGCGTAAAGGCCCAACTTCTCAGTTCAGTGGTCCAGACCTTTCCTGGTCTGACCTCCCCGTGGGGCATAAGAACTCCTGGAGCAGTTGCAAGCCCAGTTCCTACAGGGTGTTAGTCTGGACTCCTATCTTGTTGAACTGGATGTTTAGAATTTTGATTTTTATGAGTGATTTTTTTTTTTTTCCACTCAAGTCTCCAGATAAGCTGTGAACTCTGTCCCTACCTCCCACAGCCAGGGGAGTTGCTCCAGTCCTCTTTTCACTGGTCCAGCTTTTCTGGGGCAGTGGGAAGGAGGAGGTGATAGGAGAGGCTCAGAGCCTAGCCAGGGATCTCTGTGCAGGCTGCCCTCGGTCACACACAGACTTTTGTACCACTCAGATCATTGAGAAACCAGAACCTTCCCCAGTAACACCAGGATACTCTTTAGTATTTATCTTTATAACATAAAATTTACCATTTTAACCATTTTTCAGGGTACAGGTCGGTAGCATTAAGTACATTCACATTGTTGGGCAAACATCACCACTATCCATTTCAAGAACTTTTTCATCATCCCAAACTGGAACTTTATACCCATTAAACAACCACCCCTCATTCCTCCCCATTCAGCCCTCAACCACCAGGGTATTTTAAATTGAGAAAATGTTTAACAATTGCTTATCTGTGTTTATAAACCCAGTTTTGAAAATGTTATCTGATTTCCTTCATGAAGATGAATGCTTTGGTTTAAAAATGATTTTGGTTCAAGAAAGTACCTAAAAATTCTCTTCCTAATGTTTTTTGTTATTTCCAGGTGACATAGAGGGTCAACACACAGAGACTCTGCTGGCAGGATCCCTGGCCAAAGCTCTTTGCTGTATCCTTGGTGTTTTTTTTTTTAATATGTATTTATTTATTTTCTCTTTGCTGTGCTGGGTCTTTGTTGCTGCCTGTGGGCTTTCTCTAGCTGTGGCGAGCAGGGCTGCTCTGTACTTAGGGTGCCCTGGCCTCTTGCTGCCGTGGCCTCTCTCGTTGTGGAGCATGCGCTCTAGGGCGCGCAGGCTGCCGTGGTTGCAGCACGTGGGCTCCTTAGTTGAGGCACACGGGCCCAGTTGCCCTGCAGCCTGTGGGATCTTCCCAGGTCAGGGATCGAACCAGTGTCCCTTGCATTGCAAGGTGGATTCTTAACCACTGGACCACCAGGGAAGCCCCTGCTATATCCTTGGTGTTGTAATCATTCAGAAGTTTGTTTTGTTTTTTCCTTTAATAAAGATACCTCAACTTGTGATATTTCTTAGAACCATGGATGCCCACATTACTGGAAGGCATGAGTATTCTAAAGCGGTAGATAATAAAAAAGTTTTTAATATGTTTTTAGGAGAAGCTGTAAGAATGAGAAAACTCCTTTCTCCAGTATGTCTTGCTCACAACGAATTATTCTTCAGGGTGTTTTTCTGTTAATTATTAGACAGATTAAAACTTTTTTTTCTTTTCTCATGTTAGAAACATTGTTTGATTTTAAAAGCCATTTACTAAAAAAAAAAATAAAAATAAAAAAATAAAAGCCATTTACTGACCCTGGGGCTTATTAAATGAGCAGCTGGTTCTCCCCAGGAGAATGAGTTATTTTGCTCACCTATATAAGCATGTTGATAATCTATGTTTGTGTGACCTTTTTTTCAGTCTTAAGTAATTTAATTTGTTTTGTACAGTATTGAGTAATCCCTCCGTCCCCAGACTGTGATTGGGGGTGTCTGATTGTCTGTGTATGGTTTATAAATTTGTCATCTCATTTGGTTGGCGTATTGATTTACTTGTGCCAGTATTCAAATCTAGGACATGATAGATAGCTGTAGAACAATCAAATCTATTAATTTTAATTTTCTGGGAGAACAATCATATTTTGGTCAGGTTACAAAGCCCACTTGATTGCAAAGTCAGTAATTAGAAGCTTCCAATCTCTTTTGTGTGTTTATTGTGAGTCATGGAGCTTTTCCTTTTTCTCAGGAAGGTGGATGCTGAATTTATTTAACTGTGATTTGAATTTATTTTTTCTGAAACAATATTTTTAAATTCCTTAATGCTAAGAAAATAAGACATTCATAGGATGAACAAGGAAGTTAAAGGTAAGAGCCTGCAGTCTTCTATGAAACTGCAATTCTTATTTTACTACTATAACTTTGAGGGACTGTTTTTAAATTGGTGAGAAAACTTTATAATATGTTCAGTGAGATTCAGCTGTAATGTAATCTGTTTTTATCTCTTTATAGATAATCAGGAAATGAAATCAAGGATATTGGTAAGATTAAAAGAAATCTGTACTATGTTTTTATACCAGCCAGAGCCAGTTAGAAAACAGGCTGAGAAATAAGACCCATTTATAATAGAAGCAATAAATATTAAGATTCCATAGTTAATTAACAAGTAATGTGTAAAGTTGATTATGATGAAAAACAAATTCTGAGAGACATAAAGTTATTGAATAAACAGAGCCATATTTCTTCTTTTTTAATTTTTTCAGTTATTTTTATTGACGTATAGTTGATCTACAATATTATATAGTTACAGGTATATAATACAGAGATTCAGTTTTTTTTAAAGTTGTTAAAAGTTGTTTATAGTTATTAAAATATTGACTATATTTCCCATGTTGTGTGATATATCCTTGTAGCTTTTTTGTCTGTAATAGTTTATACCTCTTAAAATCTCTACCGCTCTATTGCCCGTCTCTTCTTCCCCCTCCCCCACTGGTAACCCCTAGTTTGTGGAGAGCCATATCTTATTCTCGAATGTCAGTTTGTCCAAGATTAAACTGGTAAGTTTAGTGCAATCTCAGAATATTAATAAGATTTTTTTTTTTCCTGGCAGAGTGTGGGGATTTAGGAAAGTCAAGAGTTTATCTAAAAGAATAAATCAGTGGGAATAGCCAGGAGCTTTCTGAAAGAGAATAGTAAGTAGGCACTTGCTCCAGTCGACTTAAAGAAAAACACACAACATTACTGTTGTGAGTTTAAGGTTTTTTTTTTTTTTTTAGTTTAAGTTTTATTCAGGGTTTTACTGAGCATTATAGCTCAGGAGACAACCACTCAGCTGTGAAGAAACTGTCCCAAAGAGGTAGAGGAGAGATCAGTTTATGTGGGTTTTTTTTTTTTTTTTTGGCTAGGAAATTCACACAGTTAAGCATACATCTCGGTAAAAGATGGCTGCTAATCACAAAGAACAAATATCTCAAGATAGTGATTTTAGTGCTTTTCTATTTTTTCAGTTCTTGCATACAAAGAGGCAAGAATCTGGGGTTGTTGAAATTCTTCCTGAGATACCCATCTGACTGTCTAAGGGCCTGTTTATCCAGAGCACTGAGTGCCTCATCCTGTCTTTCATCCTCGACGCCTTTCAGGGTGCGCGGTCGGAGGACAGCTGCAGTGGGCTTCCAGTTAACCCGTGTAGAACTGGGTGGAGAGCGGTGCTCTTTGTTCTTCTTTATTCGCACTCCTTTAGGCATTCAAACACATTATAAAGCTACAGTAACGGTGTGGTTCTGGTACAGTAGTATGCAAACAGATAATCGGTACATAGTGGGGTTTGACACAAGATAAATGAAACACTTCAAATGTGTGGGAAGGAAATGGATTATTCAGTAAAAGATACTGGGCCACTTGGTTCACCGTTGGGAGGAACACAGAGCTAGATCTCACTGCTTACTCCTAAGCACATTCTAATAATGATCAAACATGTCAATGTAAAAATTCGAGTCGTAAAAGTGCCGGAAGGAAATATGTGTGTATCATCTTCAGTTGGTGAGTATCTTGCTAAGCATGATGTGAAACTTTAAAAGAAAGCTTAAGACCTAAAAAAAATAAAAACTCCAAAACAAGGATGGGAAAAGAAAAAATCTATTAGGAAAAAGGGTTTTCAACATAACTACATGATAGGATTAATGTATTATTTCTAAAATAAAAAAGAGCTTTTGTAAATTAATTTTTAAAAGTCAGGGTTGACTCCAAAGGAACAGGTGGGAAACATGAGCAGTCTGCAGAAGAGGAAATGCAAATGACCAGGTAGCGTTTGGAAATACGGCAGCCCTGCTAGTGGTTCTTCTCTTGCGTCGCCCATAAGAGGATAAATTAGTACAGCTTTTCTGGAAGGCAGGTCGGTAATATGTATCAAAATGAAATGTGCAGACACTTTAGTAATCTCACCGGTTATCTTAGGAGCTAATCAGTCGTGCAAAGGGTAGATGGGAATGTTCATCAGAGCCTTGTCTAAAATTGAGGTTTGAAAACAAAAAAACAACTGAGATGTGGAAACTGCTTAAATGTCTTCTGTAGGTAATTGGTTAAATAGTCAAAATCTAGGAACTCAGCATTAAGGATGATATACACTCATATTTATTGACATAAGATTGTTTCCCCCAGATATTGGGGACTGAAAAACCAGGTTGCAGAATACTAGGGTATCACCCTGGGTGTGTGTGTGTCTGTGTCTCTGTTGGATGTGAATGTATACACATGTTCACATAGATGCTCTTTAGAAACCATTAACAATGATTATTTCTTGAATGATAGGATTTGGGGGAGATTTTTAATAACTACAAAGATAAATTAGAAAGATGATAATTGACTGTAGTTTGTTGTATACTGTGTTGACATTTGAATAAGAGTATTAGAATGTGACCAAAAGGTATTAACATGCATATGATTTTTAGGTGATTAAGGCTGCAGAAGACAGTGCATTGCAGTATATGAACTTCATGAATGTCATCTTTGCAGCACAGAAGCAGGTGAATTGAGAGCCTTCTTTTCCAAGAATATCGGTTTCAGAATGAAGGAATTAATTTTACTGTTTGAATGGCCTGTTTTAAGAAATAGTCTTATTGAATACTTACTAAGGGATTGGGAATCTGGAATCCATGTTTTGTCCTAGTCATTTTTCTGTTTTGAGTCCTGCACCCTTGAGAATCTAGTGGATCCCAGAAGAATATGCACTCAAGCTCACTTTTGTTTATAGTTGCTTGGTTTAACTATGTATATAGTTACAACCCTGTTTAGCCCATCCGTAGACTTCAGGCCAAGAATCCTGAGTTTTATAACAGTTTGCTGCATGTGTTGCCTCAATTTCGTTGTCTTTCTGCTTTAGGGAGGTTTTAGGTGGCTCAGTGGTAAAGAACCCTCCTGCCAGTGCAGAGGTGCGGGTTCAGTCCCTGGGTCAGGAAGATCCCCGGGTGAAGGAAATGGCAACCCACTCCAGTATTCTTGCCTGGGAAATCTTACGGACATAGGAACCTGGTGGGCTATAGTCCATGGGATCACAAAAGAGTCGGACACAACTTAGCAACTAAACACCAACAATAAATATTTGATATTTTTACTTTGCAGATAACTCAGGTGTTCAGATGAGTTATCATTAATACATTTTCTTCTTTGACATGTTGAAAAAAAACTTTCTTAAAACTTCAGTTTGAAAAAAAAACAACACTTTGGTTTTGGGACATCCCTGCTGGTCCAGTGATTAGGGCTCCATGCTTCTATGGCATGGGGTATGGATTTGATACCTGGTCAGGAGACTAAGATCCTGCATGCTGTGGTGGTATGGCCAAAAAACTTAAAAAAAAACAAGCTTCCATTTTAACCTAAAATGCTGCTATAGTCACATTAACCTAAAATACTGCTATAGTCACTATTAATCAATATTTTCCGTCTTGGAGTGGCAGCATGATACAGTGAAAAGGCCATGGACTTTGAGGACAGGCAGATTGGAGGTGACAGCGTGGTTTGCTCTTGGCTCTGTGACCACCACTCAGCCAAGGCCTGGGTGTTTCAGTGTAAAATGCAAATCAGATGTTTATCTTTCAGTGTAACCATGCATATTACCTGAGCTGTTTTAAGAATAGAATCTGGCATATAATAGGTTCTCACTATAAGATAGTCTTCATTATTCCTGGAATAATAATTATTCCATTATTAATATTTTTTGAAATGTCCATTTCAGAATATTTTGATTGATGCCTGCGTGTTAGACTCTGATTCAGGACTCCTCCAACAGGTATATTTTAAATGAATGCTTGGTGGTGGTTATGAAAGCGTGGTGTGTTCTGTCACCTATGGTAAATGCCTCTCACCCACCATCTTCACACAGCTTTAGGGATTAGCCCTTATGATGCTTCAGGTTAGAGCACCAGTATCTCTCTGGTTACTTTAAAATTTTTATTTATATTCTACATAATACTTTGATTGACTTTGTACAAGTATTGTAATTCACACATTAAAATGAATTCAAACAGCACAGAAAAGTATTTTTAAAAAGAGTAAAAATAGGAAAAGAAAAATCTCTTCAAATCCTTTCATCCCGAAGTTAATGTTAGGTGACCAACATGATCACTGTATACATACAGATGGAAGAATAGATCACTAAGCAGAGAATTTTATAAAAAATAGGTTCCAGATCTGTGCTGTCTCTAATGGTAGCTATATGACTGTTGAGCTCTTGAAATGAGTCTGATCTGAATTGAGAAGTACGTGAGTATACAGACTGAATTTCAAAGACTTAGAATGAAAAACAGAATGTGTACTATCTCGTTAATGATTCTTATACTGGTTACGTGTTAAAATGATAACACTTTGAATATATTGAGTTATTTAAAAGATGCTGCTAAAACTTTACCTCTTCATTGTTCCTGTTTTATGTGGCTGGAAAATTAAAAATTACATATGTTGCTCATATTATGTTTCTCTTGGACAGCACTGTTTTAATCAAAACATGAAAATGAGTTTTACTTTAACCAAAAAGGAAAAACAAAACAAAACAAAAAGTGGAAATAAGACTGAAGACAATACTAAACTTTTGATAAATGATTTTTGATCACAAGGAACAATATTTCCTAAAAGATCAGTTAAAAGCATAAAATTACAGAAAACTTTGAGTTTAGGTTACTGCTGGGGATTGAGTGGGGGAGGGGTACAACCAGAAAGTACACCAGCCTCAAAAGTTCTAGAATTGTCCTGTTTCTTAAGCTTGATGGTAGGTACATGGTGTGTATTGGAATGTGAAGTGGTACAGCCTCTTTGGATAACAATCTGAAACTTCCTCAGAAAGTTAAACATAGAATTACCAGTTGAGTCTGCAATTCCATTCTTAGATATTTATTTAAGAAAAATGAAGTGCTCGCTTCAGCAGCACATACATTAAGAAAAATTAAAATGTGTCTGCACAAAATTCTGTCCATGAATATTCACAGCTGTGCTATTCGTAATAACCCAGAAGTGCAAACAGCTCAAATGCCCATCAGCGGATGAATGGATAAACAAAACTGTGGTCTATCCATGTGGTGGAATATTATTTGGTCATAAAAAGGAATGAAGTACTGATACATGCTACAATATGAATGTACCTTGAAAACATTATCCTAAGTAAAAGAAGCCAGTCATAAAAGGACATAGCTTGCCTGATTCTATTGATCAAAGAAAAGTTTCCAGAATAGGCAAGTCCATGGAGACAGAAAGCAGATTGGTGGTTGTCAGGGGAAAGGAGGGATGAAGAGTGACTGTTAATGGGGATGTGGGGTGATGAAGATGTTCTGCAACTGGATAGCAGTGACAGTTGCACAGTTCTGTGAATTTTCTAAAACTAAGTAAATCTTAGATGTTAAAAGGATAGGTTTTATAGTGTGTGAATTACATCTCAAACTGTTAACTAAAAAATATGATGAGAGTGAATAAACATGGCAAGAATAAAAATGTACCACCAGCAGACAAACAGGAAAAAGGGCATGTAGTGTCTTATAACTGCAGGCTTCTAAGGGTGAAAGGGTGTGCACCAAGGGGAAAACACAAGCTATTTGAATATCTGGAGAGGTGACTGCAAGTTTCTAATCTTCCCTCACCATGGGAAGAGATGCCCTTTTAATTTGCTGTGTCGTACACCTGAAGAGTTGGTGGTGAGAATGACCTCCGTCTGTAAAAGCTGGTGCTCACGTGGCAGTGAGTCCTTTGTGTGTCTTCCAGGCTTGTGACATCACAGGGGGACTGTACTTGAAGGTGCCCCAGATGCCTTCCCTTCTGCAGTATCTACTGGTAAGGAAACGTCAACACTGAACCTAATGCCTTGAGTCAGTCAAGACCCTTGTTTCCTGGGGAATGAATGGGAATGAGACGGCTGATGCCTAGTAACTGGAAGAAAGGAATAGAGGGGTGACCTAGGGAATTCCAGCTTCCAGTAGTCTTTGAACCCTGTAAGCTCTGTGCAGAAGGTTGTATGGCTGTTTACAGCACAGTGCCTGTGTGTGGAGGTGCTCAGTAATTGCGGAGTGAAAAATACACATTTCTCAACAGACATTCAAGGGAAATCCAGTTTAGTATTCTCAGTGTTCACTGGCTGAAATCTAATATCTGTATCTTGGCTTCTGGTTGTTTTCCCCCATGTTTTAAATAAAAATCTCTTGCTCATTTTTGTTTGTTTGTTTGTTTTATATAGTGGGTTTTTCTTCCTGATCAAGATCAGAGGTCTCAGTTAATCCTCCCACCCCCAGTTCATGTTGACTACCGGGCTGCTTGCTTCTGTCATCGAAATCTCATTGAAATCGGCTACGTCTGTTCTGTGTGCTTGTCAAGTAAGTTTGTGTACTGAGTTTTTCTTTTTTATGTCTTTTTTTGGCGGGGGCCGGAGAGCAGTGTGTGGCATGTGGAACCTTAGCTAACTGACCAGGTGTTGGATGCATGCCCCCTGCAGTGGAAGTGGAGTCTTAACCATTGGACCGCCAGGGAAGTCCTTATACCCAGTGTTTCTATGTTGGAGGGGAGTCTGCAGAAAATATCTTCAACTGTGTTGCTTCTGAATCATCCTAGTGTGGTTTTTTTTGTTTCAATTTACAGTATTCTGCAATTTCAGCCCAATCTGTACCACATGCGAGTAAGTATCTTTGGGGTTGTGTGGCTGGCTCCCACTTTACAGAGATTTAGAGCATTAAAAAGTGTTTTATTTTTTTCTGTGTATTATTTCAGGACAGCCTTTAAGATTTCTCTGCCTCCTGTACTGAAGGCCAAGAAAAAGAAACTGAAAATGTCCTCATGATAATAAAAATAATTTCCCCATCACTTTCCCCATCACTTTAGAGCTGGTTATAGAAATTATATGGCAGAATCTTTGTTAGGGAGGCTCTGAAAAAAATAGAGATGTGTGTAAGATAATGAGCTTTCTTACAGGAAATACTGTGAAACATCATCCTTATCCTGTGCTGGGGGGCCGATTTATTTGAGGGAGTCCATTCTATGCAATATACCAGTCTTTTCTGGCTAGTTTTTGCCCAGAAATGGGGGAAGAAAGCACAAATTTGACTTTTTTTTTTTTTAAATGAGATGATCATTTGTCAAAGACAGTCTATCCTGCCTGATGGAAAGTGTCAGAACCTACTCAAGTCTGGGTCCTTACTGTGAAATGTACAACATGACATTTGAACCCAGTTCTGGAGAAAAGTGACTATTTATGGAGTAATGGCATTAATCAAGATAGAACATCTTACTTGAGTCAACACTTAGCTTCGACAGTATTCATGCAAATAAAATCCTCATTTTTCTCGATTGAGATTTAGCTCCAGATATGACCAGATATTTATTCTTTTGTCTGACAGTACATGTTTGGACAATTACTCAAATCAAAGTTTGTCACTGAGTATCTCTAAAATCTGATTTTAAATGAGTATGGAAAGTGAGTGCAGTAGTCGGGAAGGAACTTTTTGTTCAAAAACAGTTGTGTGAAGAGCTTATTTGTGAAAGCCAAAGTCTGGGTTCCCAAGGTGAGTGTCTTCGGGGGAATGCTTTCCAGCTAAGTATTGCCCCACATGGAATTCATTCCTTTTTTAGAGGAGGGGAAAAGCATTAATACTGGAGAATGGTTCTCTGGAAGCTTTGGGCTTAATACTGAAAACTTGTATTAATTAAAAAGAAAAATTATTTATAATTTCAACAATAAACAACTTATTTTTCTACGTAACCTTGAAGTTACTAAAAGTCCTTTTAAATTCCAGCATAGTGTAGGAAGGGTTTTCAAGAGTGGTGGCCAGTTTGGTTTGTTTTTAGAAAGTATACTGACAGTAACCTATATGTGTATACAATGTTGTGTATAAATAAGATTTTAATTTTCTCTTGATACCATCTCAAAAAACTGTCTCAAATACTTAAATAATTTGGTATTTGGTTAGATTATTTCAGGTAGGTTTTATATTCTGGATTTATAATTTTGTTAACAGATAAACAAAGGTTTTGGTGGTTACTTTGCAAGTATTTGTTAATCTCTGAGTTGAAGAATGTCTTTTTAAATAATATTTAATATTTCACAGCCTAAGTGTAATGGAGATCACTATTTTTAAGTCTAGGAAATAAAACATCATATATCTAAAGATGACAAAATTCAGACAAGCTGATAAGGTTTTTGTTACTACTTTTTCATTTGAAATGTTTTATGAACTGGCTTAATTCTGTTTAAATTTTAACTGTTGTGCTTATGGTTTATTTTGTATAATTTTTATAATAAAATAACTTAACTTTTCATATTTCCCTGAGTTATTTCTTCTTCAGTTCAGTTCAGTCGCTCAGTCGTGTCCGACTCTGCGACCCCATGGCAGTACGCCAGGCCTCCCTGTCCATCAACAACTCCTGGAGTTTACCCAAACTCATGTCCATTGAGTCAGTGATGCCACATCCAAGGAGTAAGCGTCTTTTAATTTCATGGCTGCAATCACCATCTGCAGTGATTTTGGAGCCCCCAAAAATTAAGTCAGCCACTGTTTCCCCATCTATTTGCCATGAAGTGATGGGACCAGATGCCATGATCTTAGTTTTCTGAATGTTGAGCTTACTGGTTGTTTATTTCATGCTCATTCGTCTTCAGCTTTGTACTTTTTAACTGGATTTGATCACATGTCAATTTTTTATTCAACTCTGAAGAACTTTAATTTCAAATCTTGCCAAAACTATACATAAAAATATTGTTACAAATACTATACAATTATAGATTTGTATGAGGTTTTTAATAGATTTTTTACACACCGTACATGGATTCTGTCCGTGAATTGGTTTACCACTCATCTGTTAGCTAACAAAATGAGTGAGCATTTATTGAGTACTTACTGTACATCAGGCATTAGGCTAAGCTCATTAGGTGTGTTGCCTCACTTCTCACACAACCCTGTTTGGGAGAGACTGATTACCTCCTTTAAAGCTGAGGAAGCCCAAGCTTAGAGAGGTTAAGCGACTTTCCCAAGATGACTTAACATAGAAGGAAGGTGAAATTCAAACCAGTCAGTCCAACCTCAGAGCCTGCACCTTTAAGTCACAGAGCTATGATAACGCTTGCGATGCTTTGAGGCTACTGCCATAAGAAAAATGACTTTTCTTCCCAGGCAGAATTTTGGTACTTTTGCATCTGTTCTAATGGTGCGAAAACTTCGTGTGTGTAGTTTGAGAAGACCTACTTTCAGAGGTCTGAGAGCTCTGTGTGGTGGTTCAGTCGCTAACTCCTGTCCCACACTTTGCGACCCCGCGGGCTGCAGCACGCCAGGCTTCCTTGTCCTTCACTGTCTTACTGTGTGGTACAAACAAACAAAACTTCTAAGAAACTGGGAGAATAATAAAAACAACACAACAGAACAATTACAGCACTGTAGCTTCACCCCCTTTTTGTCCCTCCCCCAAATCCTCATAAAAATCAAGTTTATTAAGCTTCTTGTTTAGAACCCAGTGCTGCGGGCTCGTATTTGCATTAACTTCAGATTGACTAAATTAACGCCAAGTTGGAGAAACTCGGGGTTTTAAACTGAACGCGGACTGCTACTTTTTCGGGAGCCTTTACATGGAGTAATGCAGCCAGAAGGACCGAAGGCCTGTAGGCGGGGCTAGGCTGCTGTTGCTGGGCTTGAGGGCGGGCTCTCTCTGCGTTGGTCCAATCACGGTGCGCCTCTCGTCAGACCGGCGGCCGATTGGTGGTTGCCATAGCTCCAGGCGTTCGCTTGACAAGATGGTGCCGGCAAGGCCGCACGGGCAGTGCTTCCGAGTCCCCGCGCTTCCAGTCCTCTAAGGCGGCGCAGTCCTGTTGTGCAGGCCCGGCGAGCCCCCAGGCATGCGTTTGCCGCCGCCGGTTCCTCTGTTTTTGGGGTTCCTCCTTCTGCAGGGCGTCTTGAGGCCGCTGAGGGGAGACCTGGGTGTGTAAGGCGGGGCAGGGGCCTGCAGGACGGGGATGGGGGAGAGGACGAGTCTTGAGGCCAAATCTGGGACTGTCGCCAGAGCTGCGGAAGACACCGCCAAAGAAAGCCACCACTCAGCGTAGGCAAGGGTGCTGCAACTATTAACTCGTCCCTGTCCCTTTCTTCCCCCCTAGTTTTCATTCCTCCTGTCATCCACATGTCCGGCCCTGTGGTCAGCGCGTCCCTGGTCGGAGGCACCGAGGATGTGACTGTGTCCCTGACCCAGCTGCGGGACGAGATGGGTAAAGAGACTGACCTTTCCTGTGGGGAGGGAAGAGGTTGGGCCAGCTTCAGGCCGCCCAAGAAGCCTGGCCAGGTGGCATCCTCTGAGGCCCTTGGCGCTGTCCCCTGCAAAGTCGGGATGGGGGCTGCTGTGGACCAGAGGACCAACAGACAGGGTGAGTGAAAGAAAGCTTGAAATTGCGAGTTAGCATTCACTGAGTTATCCCATGTACTTAAATACATAAGCTCATTTTCCTAATAAGAACAGTAATGTCTTTTAATGACATTTAACAAATGAAGACACTGAAGTTCAGAGAGGTTGTCACGGGTCGAAAGTCACACAGCTTGTAAAGAGTCCAGTCCAAGGCTTGGAGAGGTGTTCCATCCTAGGAAACCTAACTCAAGAGTGCACTACCTTGGTGGCTGGGCAATAGTCTCTTGCGTTCTAATCTCTCCCGTAGGTTTATTGCCAGTTCCCACCTGTGGCGAGCTGAACAACGAGACAGGAGACTGGAATTTGACTGTCACCCCCACTGTGGTAAGGCCAGAGGTGGAAACCTTTTCAGCAGCATCTGCGGAGTCCTACATCTGGTGCTCCTGCAGTGTTGTTTTTTTTCCTCTCTTTTTTTTTTTGGGGGGGGCCTGCACCCAGCAGCTTATAGGGTCTTGGTTCCCTGATCAGGGATTGATTGAACTTGGACCATGGCAGTGAGAGCGCCGAGTCCTAACCACTGGACCGCCAGGGGACTTCCCCTGCAATGTTCTTTTAATCAGACAAGATAGAACTCAGTGCTTGGAACCACCATGAAACTGTGGCCTGTCTGATCCTGTAGGCACTCATCCAGCCCAGAGGTTCTTGGACGAGTTTCAAGTGAGGGAATTCCCTGGTGGTCCCGTGGTTAGAACAGCATGCTGTCACTGCCAAGGGCCCAGGTTCATTCCCAGGTTGGGGAACTAAGATCTCACAAATTGCATGGCACAGACAAAAAAAAAAAAAAAAAATCCTGTGAACTCTCTAAAATTGAGTATAAAGTTATGTGTGTGTGCATTTTTTTCTGATGAGAGGCTTGCCATCTTCTGTCAGATTATCAAATAAACCTGTGATTCAAAAGAGCTTCATGAATTGCTGGTCTCACCCAACTCTGGGCTTATATGTAAGGATACTCAAGCCTGGAGAGATGAAATATTTTCCACTTAATAGATATTTCATTGAGCGCCTAGTATCTGCAAAACATCAACTCTGGACATAAAAGAGACAGACAGACTTTGCTTGCACCCCAGGAACCAGGGCCTGTTCTATGGACTTTTATTTGTGTGTATTTAATCTTCTGCTGGTAGGATAATAAAGGTGCCAGACAAATACCTTTATCAGACCTGTGTTCAGCTTTCTCTAAACAGCCAAAGGGCTTTCCAGGTGGCTCAGTGGTAAAGAATCCACCTGCCAATGCAGGAGACCTGCGCTCAGTCCCTGGGTCGGGAAGATCCCCCAGAGAAGGAAGTGGCAACCCACTGCAGTATTCTTGCCTGGAGAATCCCGTGGACAGAGAATCCTGCCGGGCTATGGTCCATGGAGTCACAAAAGTCAGACACGACTTAGTGACCAAACCACAAGCAGCCACAACTTGCTTGCTTGTATGTTCAGCTGAGGATTAGGAATCAGGGCTTGTGTACTACTGTAGGTTTACAGGATAAAATTGAGCAGAATGATGTCATCCTTGGGTCCAGTTTACCTTTTGCAAAATGAATGGAGGCAGATTGAACTTACTTAACCTTATGTGTTCTTATAGATGCCGTTTTGAGTCACCATAAAAAGTACAGAAGTATTTTCCTTTCAGAATTCGTTGGAAGTGACCGTGAGGTTGAAGAGGGATCTGCAGTCATGTTCCTCTAATGAGACAGATCCCTTCCTGGAGGCCCCGTGTATTGTCCAAGCTCTTCTTGTTTCAGCCTTTCATAATACATCCTGTTTGGCACATCTGCTCATTCATGTGGAAATTTATGCCAACTCTTCTCTGGGCCAAAATGCATCAGGCAAGTAAAGTCCCCGACCATCAAAAGTTCACTGCAGACATTTGATTGTAAGTGTGTGCCATGCAGTTTGTGTGCTTTACTCGTGAGTCTGTCTTGCTTTCCTAAACTTATTTTTCTTTTGTTTAATTTTCTTATTTTAAAAGTTTCCAGGGAATTCCCTGGTGGTCCAGTGATTTAGGGCTCCTCACTTTGCATTCAAGGGGCATGGGTTCGATCCCTGGTCAGGGAATTAAGATCCTGTAAGCCACATAGCATGGCCAAAAAGGAAAACTGACAGGAGGGCTTAATAGTAGCTATACCACTCAGAGCAGCAACTTTTTTTTCTTTTAAAAATTATGCTTAAATATAGTTAGGTAATATTTCAGAATTTCCTTGTACAAATAGCCAAACTTAGGAAAATTAGAGTCTGTATATATTGTTACTTATGAGATGTCCATCCACTCTGACCCCATGAAGGTATGAAAAATTTTGCACCCAGTCAGACAGAGATCAGAACAAGAAAAAGGTTGGAAGGACAGCCAGGAGGTAAGCGGTATGCTTGGTAACAAGGAAGCTAGCCAACAATGTGGGAGGCATATAGATAGATTCACAAATATCTATCTATATATCACATAGTAAAACCCTATTCTAAAGTGCCTTGCTTATGTCTCATGGATTTGATTATACTGAGGGTCAAACCCTTATCCTTGTGACATGGTCTCTTACTGGGACTTTCTTGTTCTTGATACCTGACATACTAGGGTTCTACTATATTATAGCATAGAATATGTAATAGTTGTTCTTTAGAAGCTTCAGTTATCCTGTCATTGAAGTTAACTGATACATAGAGTTGACACAAATAGTCACACACATAGCTTTCCAACTGTTAGTCTCTGGATTCCAAATTAGGAGGCTAAAATGTAATAGATCATATTCCTTTTCCAATCAGTGTGAAAATTACTAACTTCCCCCACACTTGAACCAGAATCAGGATGTGAAAATTTGCATTCACAGTGTGATGGGACTTGAGGTTGAGTGTGTAACTCAGTTAAATGAGATCTTGTGGTCAGATGGCTTCCAGATAAACTGAAATGTCACCATGACGTCAGATTTTTTTTTTAAATTGTGGTATAGTTCCTTTACAAGACTGTACAGCAAAGTGAATTGGCTATATGTATAGATACAACCCCTTCCTCTTGGGTCTCCCTTCCCACTCGTCTGGTCACCACAGAGCCCCGAGCTGAGCTCCCTGTGCTTTTAGCAGGTTCCCGCTGGCTATCAGTTTTACACGTGGCAGTCACATACCCACTCCCATCTCCCAGTTCCCCAACCCTTCATGTCCACACATTTGTTCCCTTCGTCTTAGTCTCTATTTCTGCCCTGAAAATGGGTTCATCTGTATCATTTTTCTAATTTCTACATACATGCGTTCATATACAATATTTGTTTTTCTCTTTATGACTTACTTCATTCTGTATGACAGACTCTCGGTCCATCCACGTTACTGCAAATGACCCCATTTTGTTCTTTTTATGTCTGAGTAATATTTCATTTTCTGTATGTACCACGTCTTCTTTATTCATCTGTCGATGGACATTTAGGTCATGGCTTCAGGTTTATCTGTTAAAAGAGGTAATGAATTTGGAGGAATAAATGCTTACAATCAGACTGTGTTATGAAAGGAGTTGTGCAGTGTATTGAAAAATCAGTGCATTGCATTTGTCTTAACTTGCAAATCTTAGTGACTTGATCATCTTCAAGATCAACTGTGACTTCTTCAGTGTGTATAACTAGGATATTCTCTTCTATGTGGGTTTTTGTTGAAAGAATAGATACAGGCCTCAGTAGATATAGCCCATCTCAGGGATACCTTGATGTGGAATACAGGTAATGGTGATTTGTAATACAACTCAGCTTTCTCTGAGTGTCTAAAATGTGTCCATGTCTCATCAGTGTTTCACAGCTGAACTTCTCTGTTGTTTGTACTTTTCAGAAAATGTGACTGTCATTCCTAACCAGGTGTATCAGCCCCTTGGTCCTTGCCCTTGCAATTTGACTGCGGGGGCCTGTGACATTCGCTGCTGCTGTGACCAGGTATGGTCTTTCTGATTATTGGGTGCAAAAGCTGTGGTACCTGATAGCATGTGGAGGGCACCCGCAGTTCCCCATCATCAACTTTTTAGTGCATGTTCTTTCAAAAGCTGAGATTGTATGCCTGTTTTCCAGTTGAGTATTTTCTTATCTAGCCTTTTCAGCCTAGTTTATGGACAAAGGACTTTCCAGGTGACAATAGTGGTAAAGAATCCACCTGCCAGTGCAGGAGATGCAAGGGACACTGGAGATCCAAGGGCTCAGTCCCTGGATTGGGAAGATCCCTTGGCATAGGAAATGGCAACCCACTCCAATATTCTTGCCTGGAAAATTCCATGGACAGAGGAGCCTGGTGGGCTAGTCCATGGAGCTGCAGAGAGTCAGACACAACTGAGTGACTAAGCAGCAATTATGAACCAAAAAAATGTGTGTGTTTGGATAAAGTCCTGATTGTGATGATACTGAGTGGATGATTTTAATGTCTTACTTAGGAAGCCTTTAAGAAAATATAAAAGGGAGAGAAAAACAGATGTTTTGAGTGATTTTTTTTTTTTAGTAAATTTATAGGATTGTATGACCATCACAATAATCTAATTTGAGGATGTTTCCTGGAAAGAAGCCATGTGTCCATTTGCAGTCACTCTCATTCATGCCCATCATCCCCAGACTATTTTTTGTTTGTTTGTTTTCACTAGAAATTAAGTATATTTGTTTATCTGGGCATAGTTGATTTGCAAATTATGTAAATTTCAGGTGTATAACATAGTTACCATTTTTAAATGTTATACTTCATTTATAGTTATTATTATAAAATATTGGCTATATTGCTTGTGCTGTACAATAATATACCCTTGCAGCTTATTTATTTTATATGTAGTAGTTTGTGCCTCTTCATCCCCTACACCTGTGTTGCCCCCGCCCCCATCCCTCTCCCCACTGGTGACCACTAGTTTGTTCTCTGTATCTGTGGGCCTGCTTCTTTTCTGTTATTTTAGTAGTTTGTTTTCCCAGGTCACTATTAATCTACATTCTGTGTCTGTGGATTTGCCTCTTCTGGACGTTGTATATAAATGGAATCCTTCAGTCTGTATTTGTGTCTGGCTTTTTTTTTTTTTTAATATTTATTTGCTCCCCTGTGCCAGGTCTTGGTTGCCTCATGTGGGGTCTAGTTCCCTGACCAGGGATTGGCCCAGGGCCTCTGCACTGGGAGCCTGGAGTCTTAGCCGCTGGACCACCAAGGAAGCCCCTGTGTCTGGCTTCTTTTTCTGGCATCATGCTTTCAAGGGTCACCTGTGCTGTGGCCTGTGTTAGTGCTCCATTGCTTTTTATGGCCAAGTCATCTTCTGTTGTGTGGATATATTACAGAGGGCTTAACCATTGATCAAGTGAGGACATTTAGATTGTTTTCACTTCTTGGCTACTATGAAGAACGCCTCTATGAATACCTGTATACAAGTTTTTGTTTGGATGTGTGTTTCCATTTCTCTTGGTTATGTTACCTAGGAGTGGAATTGCTTTGTCACATGGTTACTGCATGTTTAACCTTTTAGGGAACTGTTTTTCTTCTTTTTGGCTGAGCCACATAGCTTGTGGGATCTTAGTTCCCTGACTGGGGATTGAACCTGTGTCCTTGTTAATGAAAACGAGTCCTAACCCCTGGACTGCCAGGGAATTCCCTTGAGGAACTGTTTTTCAAAGTAGCTACATCATTTCACATTCCCATCAGCACTGTACAAGGGTTGTAATTTTCCATGATGTCACCAACAATGGCTGTAATAATCTTAATTACAGCCTTTCTTGAGGGTGTGAAGTGGCCTTTCATTGTGATTTTGATCCGTATTTCTCTAGTGGCAAATGATGTTGAACATCTTTTCAAAGGCTTATTGAATGTTTGCATGTCTTCTTTGAAGAAATGTCTGTTGAGACCCTTTGCCAGGTTTTTAATTAGGTTGTCTTTTTGTTGTTTAATTTTGTTGTTAAATTAGATTGTCTTTTTGTTGTTCAAGTTCACTATTCACTTTGAATTCTAGTCCCTTATCAGATATACGATATGCCAAAAACTCCTATTTGTCTAGGAAGTTTATTTTCCAGTTGGTGTTCTTTGAAGCCCAAAAGTTTTAATTTGATCAAGTCCAGTTTATCAATTTTTTCCTTCCATTTTGTGATATAATTGACACAGTCACTGTACAAGTTTAAGGTTTAAAGTATGGTTATTTGACTTACATACATCATGAAGTGGTATCACAATGAGTGATACTTATTCACTCCAATATTCTTGCTGGGAAAATCCCATGGACAGAGGAGCCTGGCAGGCCGCAGTCCATGGGGTCGCAAAGAGTCAGGCATGACTGAGTGACTGTACACATGCTCGTTCATTCTAGAATCCGATACAGACCCATTCAGGCATGTGTGTATAAGCCTATGTTGTAGGTGAGGAACCTTCATTGCTGTTACAGTTTACAGAGTACATGGTTTAAAATAGATTTCTAGAATTTAAACATATTTTTAAGTCAATTTGGAGAGGACTCAGTTTTCTGAAAAACAAAACGTATTTTTTTCTCTCTTGACCTTGAACTACTTGAACTCTATGGTTTTCCAGTTCATTTGCCATTCTGAGGAATGTGGCCTATACACACTGCTATATTTAAAAAGGATAACAAAAAAAAAAAAGGATAACCAACAAGGACCTACTGTATAGCACAGGGAACTCTGCTCAGTGTTATGTGACAGCCTGGATAGGAGGGGAGTTTGTGGGAGATTGGATACATATTTATGTATGGCTGAGCCCCTTTAGATCAAATTGCCAGTATCCGCTGGATCATCAAAAAAGCAAGAGAGTTCCAGATAAACATCTATTTCTGCTTTATTGACTATACCAAAGCCTTTGACTGTGTGGATCACAATAATCTGTGGAAAATTCTGAAAGAGATGGGAATACCAGACCACCTGACCTGCCTCTTGAGAAACCTGTATGCAGGTCAGGAAGCAACAGTTAGAATTGCACATGGAACAACAGACTGGTTCCAAATTGGAAAAGGAGTACGTCAAGGCTGTATATTGTCACCCNGGATGTGAGAGTTGGACTGTGAAGAAAGCTGAGTGCCGAAAAATTGATGCTTTTGAACTGTGGTGTTGGAGAAGACTCTTGAGAGTCCCTTGGACTGCAAGGAGATCCAACCAGTCCATCCTAAAGGAGATCAGTCCTGGATGTTTGTTGGAAGGATTGATGCTGAAGCTGAAACTCCAGTACTTTGGCCACCTCATGTGAAGAGTTGACTCATTGGAAAAGACCCTGATGCTGGGAGGGATTGGGGGCATGTGGAGAAGGGGCCGACAGAGGATGAGATGGCTGGATGGCATCACCGACTCGACGGACATGAGTTTGAGTAAACTCTGGGAGTTGGTGATGGACAGGGAGGCCTGGAGTGCTGTGATTCATGGGGTCGCAAAGAGTCGGACACGACTGAGCGACTGAACTGGACTGAACTGATACACATATATCCCCTCTTTTTTGGATTTCCTTCCCATTTAGGTCACCACAGAATATTGAGTAGAGTTCCCTGTGCTGTACACAGGTTCTCATTAGTTTTCCATTTTATCCATAGTCTCAACAGTGTGTATGTCAGTCCTGATGTCCCAGTTCATCCTGCCTCCCCTTTCCCCACTGGTGTGCATACGTGTGTTCTCTACCTCTGTGTCTGTCTCTAGTTCTTCTTTGCAAATAGGTTCATCTGGGTCCTCTTTCTACATTCTACAAATGTGCGTTAATATATGATATTTGTTTTCTCTTTCTGACTGACTTCACTGTGCATAACAGGCTTTGCTGCTGCTGCTGCTGCTGCTAAGTCACGTCAGTCGTGTCCGACTCTGTGCGACTCCATAGACGGCAGCCCACCAGGCGCCGCCGTCCCTGGGATTCTCCAGGCAGGCACACTGGAGTGGGTTGCCATTTCCTTCTCCAATGCATGAAAGTGAAAAGTGAAAGTGAAGCCGCTCAGTCATGCCCGACTCCTAGCAACCCCATGGACTGCAGCCTACCAGGCTCCTCCATCCATGGGATTTCCCAGGCAAGAGTACTAGAGTGGGGCGCCATTGCCTTCTCCATAACAGGTCCATCCAAATAAAGTAACTTCTTGATGATACCAATTGGTATCATCGGTTATGATATAACAAGAATGATTCAAGGATTCTTCTGGAATATGGACTGTCTGCCCTCTCTCTCCATGTCCTTAGATTTCTCTGGACTAGGAATTTGGACGCTGCTGCTGTTGAGTGGCTAAGTTGTGTCCGACTCTTTGCGACCCCATGGCCTGTAGCCTGCCAAGCTCCTCTGTCCATGGGATTTCCCAGGCAAGAATACTGGAGTGAGTGGTGATGCCAGTTGAAAATTCTCCACCTGTGGTCTATTTCTTATTATCTTTTCTTTTTCTTATCTTATCTGTAGGCATATCGTAGGTCCCCATTTAAGATGTAGATTCTGTGAAGTTTCGAAGTTCCTGACTTGGAGCCTCGTAGGGAGCTGACTTGCTGTGAGTGCAAACACTCTCAGCCTGGAGGCCAGCTGCTTGTTTCCTGCTTCCTCTACGATGTCCTGAGGGTCTCCAGCAGCGAGTGCATCATGCTGGCCAGGAGATCCTGACGGTGGGCAGAGGTGGGGTTTAATCTTCTCTGTGCTCCTCTACATCTTCTTTCCAGGAATGCTCATCAGATTTAACAGCGCTGTTCAGGGAGTCCTGTTTCCCTGGTGTTTCTGGAGGAGATGTTAATCCTCCCTTTGATCAGCTCTGCTCCATGCAGATGGCACGTGGAGTGCCCGACTGGTTTCCATTCCTGTGTGTGCAGCTCGCCAACTCACCCTTCCTCGGGTACTTCTACCATGGTTCCATGTAAGTGTTCAAAGGGCTGCCGGGGAGAGGGGTGCACACCCAGGTGGCCCTGGAATGTGGCCATGTCCTCCTCGGGACCTCTCCAGAGGCTCCATGCTTCAATTCCTCCATTCTAGATTCAATTCTAGGTTTCACATAGTAAGTTTATTTTGTATTGAGTATTTGAAAGAACTGGTTGTTGTTCAGTCGCCAAGTTGTCTCCAACTCTTTGCAACCCCATGAACTGTAACACGCCAGGCTTCCCTGTCCTTTACTATCTCCCAGAGTTTGCTCAAACTCATGTCCATTGAGTTGATGATGCTGTCCAGCTATCTGATCCTTTGTCACTCCCTTCTTCTGCCCTCAATCTTTCCCAGCATCAGGGTCTTTTCCAGTAAGTCAGCTCTTTGCCTCAGGTGGCCAAAGTACTGGAGCTTTAGCTTCAGCAGCAGTCCTTCCAGTGAATATTCAGGGTTGGTTTCCTTTAGGATTGACTGGTTTGATCTCCTTGCAGTCCAAGGGACTCTCAAGAGTCTTTTCCAGTACCACAGTTCTAAAGCATCAGTTCTTCTGTGCTTAGCCTTCTTTATGGACCAGCTCTCACATCCATCCATGACTACTGAAAAAACCATAGCTTTGACTATAGGGACCTTTGTTGGCAAAGTCATGTCTCTAGGTTTGTCGTATCTTTTCTTCCAAGGAGCAAGTGTCTTTTAATTTCATGGCTATAGTCACCATCCACAGTGATTTTGGAGCCCTCACTGAAAAGAAATTAATTGATACCACAAATGGTTAATAGTGATTCTCTGGGTTGGGGGAAAGAGTGGTGGGCTCATGGGGGACTTTAACTTTCTGTCTTTTATGTATCTATCTTGTTGACTTTTTTTTTTCTTGTTGGCATTTTAAACCAACTTTATTATTAGCATTGAAGTAAAACTCATGGAACATAAATTAACCATTAACTACTTTAAAATGCACCGTTCAGTGGCATTTAGTACAAATATTATCTTGATAGTTAAAAAAGCAGAGAAAAAATTTAGAAGAAGAATTGCTTTTAGCATGTTAACTGATGGTCTCTCTCATCGATTTGCAGTTCCTCTGGACATCAAGTTTCCTTTGACATGTATTTGCATACTGATCTAAAAGACTTTTCAGACTTTGGTTACAAACAAGGAGACCCCGTTATGACAATAGATAAGGCATATTTTACTATTCCTCAGGTAATCCTTTCAATTTTAATATGCTAGAGGTTTTTTCTCACTTTCCCCTTCCTCTTATTAATTTAACTCATGTTATTCTAAAAAAACAAAAATCTCTTCCTGAGTTACGTATTTTTCTCCTGTGGACTTTTCAGGCACTCAGCCATTTAAGATCTCTGGATTGTGTTTTCTTCTTTTGATAGTCACTCTTAAATCAATCTGTCTTTGCTAGATCTCAGAGTGAACTTACTAAATAAAACCAAAAGACTGTTCAGAAGTTTCCATGGAAGTAGCTATCATTTCTCACTTGTACTAGTTTAACAGACAATTTCTAGTTAGCCATAAATACTTTTAAAATTTTATTTATTTTTTATTGAAGTATATTTGGCTTATGGTGTGTTAATTAAATATTTAATAGAATTTGGAAAAGTATTTTAAGACTCGAATTTTATGTGAAATCTTAACTTTATTAAGTTCAAAATTATGAGGAAAAAGTATTTATGGGAAGAAGACATGGGAGGCTAAACTGTTTCTTTTTACTATCCATATGAATCCATTCTTATGGCTTTAACAAAAATGCATTTGTAATGAGGGAGAGACAATGAAGTTGAGGGAGCTCCCTGGCAGTCTGGTGGTTAGGACTCTGCTTCCACTGCAGGGGACGCGGGTTCCCTCCCTGGCCAGGGAAACTAAGATCCTGTATGCTGCCTGGAATGGCCAAAAAGTGAAAGAAAAAAACAAAAAACAGCAGAAAAGAAACTGAAGGTGAATGTAATCATGTTTCTGCAAAATAAATGATGCAGAGCAGGGAATTTTCCTTAGCAACTGTACTTACTGTGACGCTGCAGCCAGTGGCTTCCAGAGTTTGATTAGCAAGTCAAGTAGATGCTCTGCTAAAGTCAGTTAACTAGTGAATGCCCTAGCCGTTGTTGGAGCTAACCCAGCAGAAGCAGGCTGCAGAAAGGATGCTTTTCCAAGACACTGATCCCTTTTTTTATGATCGGAAAGGCGGTCATAAATCTTGTCGGCATTCCCCCACCCCGGCCCTCAGGTGTCCCTGGCTGGGCAGTGCATGCACAACGCTCCTGTGGCCTTCCTGCAGAATTTTGATGTTCAGTGCGTTACTAGCCTGGAGGAGTACCTAGAACGAGACAGAATTACCAGTGTAAAGATAAAAAATGGTGCTATGGGAGGTAAGTTACGTCCATTTGAGCATGGACCTTAGATGCCAATTAGATGCCAAGAATAGTGGGTTGTTTGATGGTGTTTGGGGAGTGGAGGAGAGCTGAGTAGTTGGTGTCCAGGGCAGGCATAGGCACTGTATTTGTTTGGCAAACTTTCATTTTCGTAAGTAAATGTGAGTATGTGAGGTTCATGTACTCCTATGGAAGTTCATTTATGTATGTTTTTTCAGGCATAGTTACACCAAAAGTGATCTATGAGGAAGCAACTGACTTAGACAGATTCATCACCAATACAGGTATTTTAATGGTATACTTTGATACCATTTCTATGGGAATATATATCATTTCTCACAAGGAATACATACATACAGTAAGTCCCTATATATGAACTTTCAAGTTTCAAACTTTGCAAGATGCAAACACGTGTTCCACCACCATCAGGCCTGAGTGAAAGTTCGTCTTGTCCTTCGTCTCCTATTGCTGACGATCCTGTAGCTCTACCATCTCCCAGCTCCTCTCCCTCCTCTCCTCTTCACTCGATGCCAGTCTCTGTATGCCAGCTCTGATACTGTACTTTTCAAGGTCCTGTCCTGAAGGATTAGAAATGTGTTCTTCATTTTTTGTGTTTGTTTTTAATGTATTATTTGTGTGAAAACTATTATTAACCTATCACAGTACAGTACTATAGAGCCAATTGCATCAGTTGGGTACCTGGGCTAACCGTGTTGGACTCATGAACATGCTCTTGGAGTGGAACTAGTTCGTATGCAGGAGACTTACTGTAGTCCCAGAGTAGAACACATTTTCATTAAGAGTTTTAGGAGATTTGTAGTTGTTAGAGAAATATCCCACTAGCATTTTGCTTGTTCCTTGTTCCGCCTTGACTTAGTGTGGAGTAACATCTGTGACCTTGAACCCAGTCCTTCTCAGTCCTGGATTATGTGGGTTCTAGGGTCCCTCCTTGTTCTCTGGGTGTGTGGGCTTTTTCTTAAGTGTTTTTCAGAGAGTTAAAGGGTTCTTTAGGACCCAGCATTTTCACTTCTTGCTTGCTTTTCTTTTTCCAGTCATTAAACTCTGTGATTGTAATGCAGCCAACTAAAGTACATAGAATTTGGCCAATATTACCAGGACTTTTGTTTTTCCATGAAGGATAGTACTTGTGTTTCTTTTCAATGTGTTATAATTCTCGGAACTTGTTATTTCCTTCCATTAGATATTAGTACAATATAGTAGTGAACTAGACACCAGGCCCCTGCTCTTACAGAGTTGACATTCTGTAATCTTTCCTTTAACAGATGTAATTTTTACCAGATGTAATCTTTCTGTAATCTTGCATTTAACAGATACTCTTCCAAGCCCGTGCTCTGCATTAGGCTATGAGCTGGGTACCAGGGATGCTGAAATAAGATGAAAGGGACAGGGACTTTCCTGGTGGTCCAGTGGTTAAGACTCCATGCTCCCAATGCAGGGGGCCCAGATTTGATCCTTGATCAGGGGACTGTGACCAACTTGGTCAGTTCCCATGCCACAACTAAGACCCAAAGCAGCCAAATAAATGAATAAATAAAAAGTAAATATTTTTTAAAAAAGGGAAGGGATGGAGCTCACTCAGCTTATTGAGATGGTGTGGAAAGAGGAGGTAGCTAATGCTGACTTGGGTGGAGATCTGAGGGTGGCTTCTTAAGTAGGTGATGACCCTGCTGTGTAAGGGAATTGGGTCTGCAGGGCAGGGATGGGGGTGGGGGACGGCCACCCAGGCAGAGAGAACTGCCAATAATAGACTTGAACCCAAGGAAGGTCTTTAATTTTTTTATTTTTAGGTCTTTAATTTATGAAAGTACTCTCTTATTTCCAGAAACACTTTTAAGTACTGGACCAGCCCCCAGGAACGTGAACGTGGAAGAACATTATATTTTCAGGTGGAATAATAATACAATCAGTGAAATAAACGTCAGAATTATTAAGGCAGAAATTAATGCCCAGCAGAAAGGTAACTTTGTGAAGGGCAGCGAGAATGCTTTTAATTTAAAGTGTTTTTTTCTTTCTTCACGATTCTCATAATTATAACAGATAAACTAATTCAGACCTGTTTTTCTTACTTGTGTTTACGATTTAATCAGAAAACAGTGGGTTTGGGTTTTTTTTTGCAAGGTGAAAAGCAAATGAAAAGGAAAAAAAAAAAAAACAAGGGGGAAAAATTCATAACCAAATGGGGAAAATAAAATTTTATTTTATTTCTAGGAATCATGACACAGAGATTTACAGTGAAATTTTTAAGCTATAACAGTGGTAATGAACAAGAATGGTCTGGAAACCCAGGTGAGACATATTGAAACCCAGTGCATATTGATCACTGATCTTACAAACACATTTTAGTTCGACACTCCTGTGCTATAATGATGATTGTAAATAATTGTTTCCAATTTTAGTTTGTGATTCTAACCTTTCTCTTTTTCTTTTGTGACACTGTATTCTTTTCCTGCTAACAGCTTAATTTTTTTTTTCATAAAGTGTTATATATAGTCACAGTTGTAAGGCTAAAACAGTCTTTCTCTTTAGCTACTGGTCTTTTTTTAAATAAAATAATTTATTTGATTGATGTATAGTTGATTTACAGTGTTGTGTTAGTTTCAGATATACAGCACAGTGACCCAGTTATACACATGTGTATATACACCTCCTCGTATTCCTTCCCACTATGGTCTATCACAAGACACTGAATACAGATCCCTGTGATACACAGTAGGTCCCCCCTGTTTATCTGTTTTATGTATATATTTGTATCTCCTAATCTCAAACTCCTAATTCCTCCCTCCCTCCCTCTTTTCTTTTTTTTTTGGTGGGGGAGCGGGGAGACTGTGCTCCACCACCTCTGAGATCCTCATTCCCTGATGAGGGATTGAACCTGGGCTTTAGCAGTGAGAGTGTGGAGTCCTAAACTTGATCGCCAGGGAACTCCCATACTATTCTTCAACATGCAGTAATTAATCATGAAGGAACAACTTTTTTTTAACTTTTAGAGAATTCCCTTACTATTCTTCAACACTCAGTAATTAGTCATGAGGGAACAACATTTTTAAACTTTTTAGTAACTTTTTGCTTTGCATGATCTTCAATATTTATGTATACTGATTTAATTATACACAATCCTTTATATATATATATATATTTTTTTTTTCTTTTAAATAGGATTTTAATGTTAGGGTTTATTGTTGACTTTTAAGAGCAGACTCCTGGTTAAGTCAAGGTACTGTATAGAAGTTATGTAAAATCATTTTGGAAGTTCAATGTTGCTTTTCCTACTCAGTGATTTTGAAGAAATGAAGTAGTTCCAGTGTGATTTTTCTTTATTTTCTAAACTGCATGCCTATGGCCGCCTAAGGCATGCCTCTATGTATTTATTGGCTACTACAGTATTTCGAGAAGTGTTTGGGACATTTCTTTAAATTATGTACAACCCAAAATGTTGGTGTTTTGTATAGATCACAAGTGCAGCATTCCTTAATTATTTGTTACAAGTCACAGTTGTTATTTACAGAATGACGTATGTACTGCATGAAAACATTATGACCTTTTTCTCTTAGTTTATATAAACTCCAAGGTAACGGGGGTGGGGAGGTGGAGGGGTGGGGGGAAGAGACCAGCCTCCTGAAATTTAAGAATTTTCATGTCACTGACTTAATTTGACAAGATTTCTGAGAAAACCTGTCAGAATATATGGGAAATGTTGATGCTCTCATCAGAAAAGAATACATCAAGAGCCAGAACCAATCAGGCAGAGGCACAGCTTGTATATAGAGAGACGCTGTCTCTCTCGTACTTTCTGAGGCTGGACGGGGTTTTTGGAGGACCATCTGACATGTGCCCTGTCCTCAGGGACTCTCTTATTTGGAGTGACAGCACTAAGTCACAGGAAACAACAGTGAACGACTCAAGATAAGTAATAAATGAGGTCAGTTACTAGGGTCAGTTACCCCAGGATTCAGAGGAGTAGAATGTGGACCATTCACCCAGACTGCATCACTAAGGAACAGTGTTGAGTGTCCAGCATGTGCTTGGTTTTGTTTTTTAAAGAATATTTATTTATTTATCTGGGTATATTGGGTTGATACCTGGGATCTAGTTTCCCTGAGGCGTGTGGGATCCCGACCAGGGATCAAACCCAAGTCCCCTGCGTTGGAAGGCGGATTCTTAACCACTGGACCACCAGGAAAGTCCGCATGCCAGGTTTTGTTCCTAGGCTGGAGGAAAAGCACCGAGCAAGCCAGAACCCTGTCCTGGGTGTGTTTCCACTCTGGACTGGGTAGAGGAGACTGTGCCTTGAGAAGCAGATAATTGGAAAGGGTGCTGGGGATAGGAATAACCTGGGGGAAGCCAAGGAGGCCGAAGTGAGCCTGAAGCGTACATGAGCATGAAGTGTACTCTGGCAGGATTAGACCCATGGCCAGAGGGGAGGCCTTTTGTTGGGAAGGGTGGGGCGTAATGCTGGAAACGCAAACACCATGCAGGAACCTCGATGGTATCCCAGTTTATATGAACAAAGTGAAAGTGAAAATCGCTCAGTCGTGTCTGATTCTTTGTGACCCCATGGGCTATACAGTCCATGGAATTCTCCAGGCCAGAATACTGGGGTGGGTAGCTTTTCCCTTCTTCAGAGGATCTTCCCAACCCAGGGATTGAGCCCAGGTCTCCCACATTGCAGGCAGATTCCTTAGCAGCTGAGTCGCAAGGGAAGCCCAAGAATGCTGGAGTGGGTAGCCTATCCCTTTTCTAGCGGATTTTCCTGACCCAGGAATCAAACCAGGGTCTTCTGCATTGCATGCAGATTCTTTACCAACTGAGAACAATGCTACTGTAATACACATTTTTGAAAGGGACATAGGAAATATGCATATGAGCTGAATATGAAATAATATGATTATAAGGGGTTATTGTTAATTTTCTTAGGAGAATATTGGCATCATGATGATGTAGGAAAATATCCTTAATTTTGAGAGAGCTCTGATGGAGCTTTCATGATGTGAGTGTCATGATGCCTACAATTTATTTTCAAATAGTCCTGCCCCTCTCACCCCAAATATATATGCTTTTGTAATAGATAAGACAAGTATCTATTATATTCTATATTAATATACATTAATATATTATTTGTGCTGTTTTTATTGAAATTTGTGTTTTGGTGTTATAAAGCTTCTAAAAATGGGAAATATCTTATCTATCCCGAAGGGAGGATCTGTGGGGTGCACATTAGATGTGTTAAGATCAGAAGAGCAGTGGCCCTGAATGGCTCGCGATCTAGCAGTCAGAGGCGCTTTACAAAGGGGAGGAACACTCCGGTGATGAACAGGCCCAGGGGTTCCCTCGGACTTGAGGCGTCCAATTCTAATTTTCCCTACAGGAGCCCTAGAGAAGGAGATGGCAACCCACTCCAGTATTCTTGCCTGGAGAATTTCCTGACAGAGGAGCCTGGCGGGCTACAGTCCATGGGATTGAAAAGAGTCGGACATGACTGAACGACTAACACTTACTTAAGAAGAATACAGCTAAACATTAACAGTTGTTGACTTAGGTGGTGGCTGTATTGAGTGAGGTTCATGGTATTACTTTTAACTTTTCTGTGCTTGTGAACTTTTTCACATTAAAAACGTGGAAACCATAAGCTGGATTACTAGGAAATGGATGGGTATAGGATCTAAATCAGATCTTGGGGTTGAATTAGTTTACTGGAAAAAGGCTACATGGGAAAGTTACTCGGGTTTTAAGTTTCCTTTATGAGCCCCTGTGATAAGCCGTACTAATCACTCTAATTATTCATGAACTGGCCTGCTCAGCAGCTTATTGTTCTCCAAGGTGAAAGGTCTAAGACTGACTCCTGCCTAGTTTTCACTTCTCAGATTTCACTTTAAAAGTGTCTTCAAAAAACCACACTAACATCTGTGTCTTCGAATCTGAAAAAGAACATGTCTATACACCTGAAGCTAACACAGCATTGTAATCAACTATACCTCAATAAAAAATGAAACAAATGAAAGGAGTGACGTTGATGTCCTTCTCTTGAGGGTATTCTGTAAAAGAACTTTGAGTGCATATTTCCTTCCGTTGTGGATTCCTTCTTTCTGTTATTTGACAAGCTAGCGCCTGTTGCTTTGAAATAAACTAACAGGGAAAGATGCTCATTCTCCTGTGTTGTGTTTGTCTAGGTTACCAGCTTGGCAAGCCTGTTCGAGCTCTAAGCATCAACGGGACGAATAATGTCACAACTTTACACCTTTGGTATTCTGGTAATCTGATTTGATGATATGACTCACTCTCTGGTGAACTAGAATTGGAAATATTGCCATGTTTTGAGTCTGATCGAGTAACCAATTACTTTAAAGCCTGGTGTTTTTATTTAGCCTGGGGTGGTTGTTTTCCATGCTTCTACAGCTTCCTTTTCTTTTTTCTTTCTTTCAATAAAAAATGTTAACATTGTTTTCACTTGTGCTGATTTTCAGTAAGAGATTTAAATATGAAAGTGGCTGGAGAGTCCATTGTCATTATTGTCATTGATTAACCCAAGATGGTGCTAATCAGAGACAGGAAAATAGTTTCATTCCAAACTATGGAAAATCTTCGCTTCAGTGGTAATTACCCACATGTGCCAGAAGGTATTAAATTTCAGGTTCAGAATAAACCCCTGATCCCTGTCCAGGTATTTCGAAACAGAAAGACGTCTTTGTTCAGCTTTCAAAGGATTAGAGTAACAATGACCTCATTTCTAGAGAACTGGAAACTATTTCTGCTTATTGTTCTCTGTTTTGTTGTTGTTGTTTGTTTGTTTTTTTTAAGAAAAACTTTGAGGTAAATCTTTTACTTACTTTTGTTTTGCAAAAATAGCAAGATATAAAAAAAATAGCAAGAGAATAATCTTTTTATTTTATAGCCGGAAGGAGTTTGTGTTCAACAGCAACTCTCAAACCCATTTTATTTGGAGAAAATGCACTATCTGGGTGCCTTTTAGAAGTTGGAATTAATGAAAACTGTACTCAGCTTCGGTGAGTGTCTCACTGATGGATTTATCTATGTTTTGAGTGGTTTGCTTAAATGTAATTCACCGCCCCCCCACTCCCACCATGAGTATTAAAGACAGCATGAAAAACTTCAGTCTGAATGAAAACTTATGTGAAAGTGATAGTAAACAGTACAAACTTCCATGGACTTCCCTGGTGGTCGAGTGGTTAGTAATCCATCTGCCAATACAGGGGAAACGGGTTTGATCCCTGGTCCAGGAAGATCCCACATGCTTCCTCAGGCCACAGCTGGTGAGCCTGTGCTCTGCAACAAGAGAAAGCCCACATGCAGGAGTGAAGACCCAGCACAGCCAAAAATAAATTAAAAAAAATTAAAAAAAAAAAAAAACAGTACAAACTTCCAACACAATTTAGAGTTGATTCAAACATCGGTGTAAGTGCAAATAGACATTCTCGGAAGTTTCATCCATATTTATGCAAATTTCTCCGGGAAGTTTGTTCACATCATTGGAAACCCCACATTCCTAGAAAATCAGAGAAAGGGTTGGACCCAAGTATCATTGGTGATTAACATTTAAAGAATTTTTAAGCTTTGTTACATGATGTATAAAGAATTTCCCATTTAATTATCTGGGTGGGATTTGGAACTTTATGGATATTCATGTGCATTCTTTTTTTTTAATTGATGCAAAACTCACACAACATAATCATTTTTACAGTTGACTGGCATTTAGTACATTCATAATGTTGTACAACTACCACCTCTGTTTAGTTCCAACACATTTTTGTCTCTGTGACTTGAAACCTATACTTTTTATTTTTTAATTAAAAAAAAAATGTATTTATTTGGCTGCAGCAGGTCTTGGTTGCAGCATATGGGATGTAGTTCCCTGACCAAGGATCAAACTGGGGCCCCCTGTGTTGGGAGCTCAGAGCCTTAACTGCTGAACCACCAAGGACATCCCTGAAACCTGTACCTTTTAGAAGTCACTGTCTATTCCTTCCTCCCCTTAGTTCTGGCAACAACCAGTTCACTCTCTGTCTCTATGGATTTACCTATTCTGAATATTTCATATAAATGGTCTCCTATACTTTATGAATTTTTATATCTGACTTTTCTCACTTAGCATTCTGTTCTTGAGATTCATCCATGTTTGTAGCCTGTGTCAGTATTTCATTCTTTTTCATGACTGAATCATATTCCATTGTATGGAGCTATATATATATATGTATATATATATGTGTGACATTTGTTTATTCATTCCTTCAGTTCAGTTCAGTCGCTCAGTCGTGTCTGACTCTTTGTAATCCCATGAATCGCAGCATGCCAGGCCTCCCTGTCCATCACCAACTCCCGGAGTTTATCCAAACTCATGTCCATCGAGTTGGTGATGCCAGCCAGCCATCTCATCCTCTGTCGGCCCCTTTTCCTCCTGCCTCCAATCCCTCCCAGCATCAGGGTCTTTTCCAATGAGTCAGCTCTTCGCATGAGGTGGCCAAAGTATCCAAAGTATTAGAGTTTCAGCTTCAGCATCAGTCCTTCCAATGAACACCCAGGACTGATCTCCTTTAGGATGGACTGGTTGGATCTCCTTGCAGTCCAAGGGACTCTCAAGAGTCTTCTCCAACANTTTTCCTATTTGGAACCAGTCTGTAGTTCCATGTCCAGTTCTAACTGTTGCTTCCTGATCTGCATGTAGGTTTCTCAAGAAGCAGGTCAGGTGGTCTGGTATTCCCATCCCTTTCAGAATTTTCCACAGTTTATTGTGATCCACACAGTCAAAGGCTTTGGTATAGTCAATAAAGCAGAAATAGATGTTTATCTGGAACTCTCTTGCTTTTTTGATGATCCAGCGGATGTTGGCAGTTTGATCTCTGGTTCCTCTGCCTTTTCTAAAACCAGCTTGAACATCTGGAAGTTCACGGTTCACATATTGCTGAAGCCTGGCTTGGAGAATTTTGATCATTACTTTACTAGCATGTGAGATGAATGCAATTGTGCAGTAGTTTGTGCATTCCTTAGTTGATGGATATTTGAGGTATTTCCACCTTTTGTGGAATAGTGCTTTGTGAATTGTGTTTTGAACATTCTTGTATCACTTTTTGTTTGAACACCTGTTTTCAGTTCTTCTGGGTGTATAAGCAGGAATGGAATGGCTGGACCATCATGTTTAATTTTTTGAGGAACTGCCATATTATTTTCCACAGAGGCTGTACCATTTTGCATTCCCACCAATGATGTAAAAGGGGTCCAGTTTCTCCACATCCTTGCCAACACTTGTTTGTGTTTTTTGGCCATGCCATTCTGCAGGAAGGATCTTAGTTCCCTGACTAAGGATTAAACCCTCACCCCCTGCAGTGGAAGCTTGTAGACTTAACCACTGGACTGCCAAGGAATTCCCCCTTGCCAACACTTGTTATTTTCCAGTTTTCTGAATAATAGCCAACCTTGTAGATGTGAGGTGGTATCTTCTTGTGGTTTTGATTGCATGTATTGGAGAAGGAAGTGTGGTTTTGATTGCATATATTGGAGAAAGAAGTAGACTGGCAACCCACTCCAGTATTCTTGCCTGGAGAATTCCATGGACAGAGGAGCCTGGCGGGCTATAGTCTATGGGGTCGCAAAATTTGAGCAACACGGACATGACTGAGCAACGAACACTTTCACTTTCATTCTTACACCCATCTCGTCTGAAATATATCCCAAGTGGTGTACTTCGTTGGGGAGCAGGGAAAAGGTGGAGGTGATATTGAGAAGGGAAGAAAAAGTGTGGGAATAAATTACCACGGTGGCTCATGATTGGAAGGGTGCAAGGCCTGAGTCAACAGCCAGAGTCTCTCCCTTGTGGTTCATAAGATTTGTACCTCCAGTGAGGTCACTGGAACAAGAGAGATGCTAAGTTCTAGTTCTTAATCTGAAACCTAATTAGAAAAAATTTGGTTCTGGCTGCACTGGGTCTTTGTTGCTGCGTTTGGGCTTTCTCTAGTTGTGGCGAGCAGGGGTGATTCCTCATTGCAGAGCACAGGCACGAGGCGCACAGGCCTCAGTAGTTGTGGCCCACGGGCTTAGTTGCTCCTCGGGATGTAGTATCTTCCCAGAGCAGGGGTTGAGCCCTGTCCCCTGCATTAGCAGGTGGATTCTTATCCACTGGACCACCAGAGAAGTCCTCTTCACCTCATTTCATAGCTCAAACTTCTGGCTAATTATTTAGGTTCCTTTTCCTATGGGGTCACTCTGGCCCATGAACTTATCCTGGTAACTTGACATGTGATCTACCCACCTGCCAAGTTCTGTGACACTCAGAGGAGCCTGCAAGTGATTCTAATGTACGTTACTAATGTTCTAAGTCTGAAGTGAAAGATTGCTTCCATATGTCCTCCCCTTGCTGTATAAGTTCATCTCGGGAAGACCATCCTTGAGGGGTGAGACTCCCGGCCTAGATCCCCTGGCAGTTTCTTTTTCGTTTAAGCATCCAGCAAGCACAACCTGGACACCCCCAGAAAGGACTTCAGGATAAGACCTGCTGGCCAGGAGCTGAGAAATGTCTTCCTCTCTTTCAGGGAGAATGCTGTTGAACTTCTTGATTCATTAGTACAAGCGACTCATGTTGCAATGAGAGGCAACTCCAATTACAACGATCTCAGTGATGGCTGGCTTGAAATAATACGTAAGTCAAAGCTGCACGTGTGTAAAAGATGTACCTCGGTTGCTGTGACTATGTAGCGTCAGATGTGGTATTAAAGCCTGACTCAACAGTCTTCTTTCTTTGCTGTGATCCAACAGACATTTGTTTAGAGGTTAGCTCTGCAGGTAGGAGGCTTTTCATGTCTTTTACCTCTTATTCACAATGGCTTTCTTTTTTTTTAAAAGAGGAAATCCACAGGAAGTTCAATTTGCCCTGTTGTTTTACAAGCTAACGGTCTTTGGAAAAGGAAGTCTTAATGAAGTTTAAGGATTTTCAGTGCGTGTCAGTCTGCATTCCTATTTTTGATTGCCAGCTATATGGACAGTTGAGAACTGGTTTTATAATTTACAAAAGCAGTTTTGTTAACCTAAAATTAAAAGGTGATAAAAAACATTGTGCTAAGTGAGAGAAGCTAGACACAAAGGAGCACATACTATAGGATTCCATTTATAATGCAGTGTCCAGAAAAGGCAAATCTATAGACACTGAAAGCAGATTAGTGGTTGCCCAAGGCTCAGGCTATTGGAAGGAAATGAAGGGTGATTGCCAGTGAGTATAGGATTTCTTTTGGGGGGTGATGAAAATGTTCTAAAGTTGAATCTGCTGCTAGTTGCATAGCTTTGTGAATATAATTGAATTGTACATTTAAATTTAAGTAGGTCAACTATTTGGCATATCAATAAAGCTATTAAAAAAGAAAGAAAGAAATTAAGGTGTAACAGAGCTAATAATAGCAGGGTCACCAAGGCCAGATAAAAAGATTTGACATTCCAGCATCTTTGGTCAGAGGCTTTTGCTCTGAGTGTTGGGGTCAGAAGGGTTTAGTATGTGAAGAGATAACACAGGGTTTGGTGTGTGAAGAAGAGATATACCGCAGGGAGTACATGGAACAGACTTAGCCCCGATGAGCCCGATTTCCACCCCAATTACAGAGTGTCCATCTCGTCACTGAGCTGAGGCTCACAGGGGTGGTCTAAGGTCACAGTTTGTTGTGGCAGAGCTGGAGCTAAACCCAGGGTTCCTTCCTCTTCGTCTCCTCCCAGCCAGCAAGTCTGGTAGCGTTGCTCTAATTTCTCGGGGAGTCTGGAATGCATAAGGGGCTTCCCAGGTGGCACTAGTGGTAAAGAACCCACCTGCTAATGCAGGAGACATAAGAGACTCTGGTTCGATCCCTTGGTGGAGAAGATCCCCTGGAGGAGGGCACAGCAACCCACTCCAGTACTCTTGCCTGGAGAATCCCATGGACAGGAGAGCCTGGCGGGCTGTAGTCCATGTGTGTGTACTAAATTGCTTCAGTCATGTTAGACTCTTTGCGATCCCATGGACTGTAGCCTGCCAGCCTCCTGAGTCCATGGGGTTTCAAAGAATCAGACATGACTGAAGTGACTGAGTATGCATGCTTGAGTGTATAGAGGCACTTTGAATAGAGAGAGCTTCTTTTCTTCCTCTCCTTCCTGAGATTGCCTCTTGGGGCCTGAACAAGCTATCTGACGCTGCAGCATCTGCTTTATTTTTATTTTATTTTATTTTTTTAGCATCTGCTTTCTTAAGTCTCCTCCCATCCCTGTGGATGCTGCTGGGAGTGCAAACCCTCCCTCCGCCCCCACACAAGGAGTCCTGTCTTTACCCTTTCCACACCCTCCGAGGTCACTTCAGCTCGTCAGGCTGGGATTCATACAAAGGGCCAACCAGACACATGCCCCTGCTCTTTCACCACCCCTCGTGATTAGGATCTGAATCATTACAACCCCCTCTGTCCTCTCCCCTGGGGGTGGCCAGGGACCACGTAATACATATGCCTGGCCGAGGTACTGCTGACCACTCTCTGACTCAGGCAGTGGGGTCTGGCCAGCCACGCGGTTTGCCTGTCCCACTTGGGCTCAAGACCCTAAGCCCAGAGTTAGGTCCTCATTTGGAAGTAGAACTCAGGGGTCGGGGCTTGTCAACTCTTTGTTAACCTGTCGGCCAGTGAGGTGGGCCATGGAGGTGCTCGTGGGATGCAGGGAAGGGGTCAATAAAGCACTGGAGAAGTAAAAACCACGGGAAATTTCAAGACAGGAAACCAGAGTTGGGAAGTCAGAGGTGATGGCGTTGTGTTGCCTTCATGGGGAAAACTGTTAGCTTGTATTTCGTGTCTAAGCTGCAAGTCAACCCTGGTCCTCGTTAATAAACAGAAGAGGAACAGTGCTGACCCTATGTATCAAGGAGAAGGAAACTGTTGGTGACAACCTTCCAGATCCCTGTAGGAACAAAGAAATCCCCTCCGGAGTGGCCCTAAGACTTACCATTCACATTCTGTGACTGACCTTGCTGTTTTGTCTCCTCCCACCCCGACAGAGGCCAGCTTTCGAGATGAATGAAAATTCATCTCTTTTCCAGCTTTATCCTCTTCTGTCTGTATTACTGCTGTGGCAGCACACCAGGAGATTGCTTTTGAACTATTTCATCTGTAGTAACTAAAGTTGTTAGTATGGATTGTAAATGTCTTACACAAGCTTTTACTAGAACAGTGACTGCATAGAATAAGCCTCATGGCCTTTTACTGCAAGTTGATATTTCTGTTCAAACTCTGGGTGGGTGTCAATGAGGAGCTTGGGAACTGAATCGTGATTTATGGTTTTATTAGGTGAGTCAAAGATTTTAAAGTGCCAATAACTGAGTTAACATACAAGGCGACACTTTTCTTTAAGTCTTTGTTTATTTTTTTAAATTATTTGTTTGACTGTGCTAGGTGTTCTCGTTGCGGCGGCCTCTCTTGCTGTGGAGCACGGGCTCCAGGGCGCTCGGGCTGCCGTAGCTGTGGCACGTGGGCCGAGTAGCTGCAGCTCCCGGGCTCTGGAGCGCAGGCTCAGTAGTTGTGGCCCTTGGGCTCAGTTGCTCTGTAGCATGTGGGATCTTCCTGGATCGGGGTTGAACATGCGTCTTCTGCACTGGCAGGCGGATTCTTTACCACTGGGCCACCAGGGAAGCCCAAGGAGACATTTTGAAAACGAAAAGAGAAAGTGAGGTCGCTCAGTCGTGTCCGACTCTGCGACCCCATGGACTGTAGCCTACCAGGCTCCTCCGTCCATGGGATTTTCCAGGCAAGAGTGCTGGAGTGGGTTGCCATTTCCTTCTCCAGGGGATCTTCCCAACCCAGGGATCGAAACCAGGTCTCTCTCTGGCATTGCAGGCAGACGCATTACCGTTTGAACACCAGGGAAGCCAAGGGAGGCATATAACTAGAGCCTGTTAGAGATTAAAGACTCAGTCCTCTGATTACTGCCTAATAATATTTCCAATTTGGGGGCTTACATTACAGAACTGTAGGAAAACTGCAACTAAATTCCTCTTTCCAAAATGCATGACTTAACATCTCTCCAGGTGCGGATGCCCTTGATGCAGGCGCAGACCCACCTGACAGCAACGTGAGTGGCATCTGCCTGGATGTTCCCGCGCAGCTGAACATCCGCATCCTCTTCTCAGATGCTGGCGCTGTGGAAGGGATGACTCAGCAGGAGATACTTGGCGTCGAGACTAGGTATGATGGCATCGAGGCTAAGTGTGCTTTAGAGAGAATCAGTAAAGCTGAGGATGTGCCAAAAAACCAGGAAATAGTCATTTCGAATCTGATTGCCTTATTTACAAATTGCAATGATTAGCAACATGATTACTTATATAAATGGAATGTGGATAAACTGGGTTTGTAATGGAAACTCATTCCCAGTCACTAATATTTATGGGCTATGTAGAAGGGATTCTGCCCTTCTACATTCGTCAGGGCTTACAGAGATGAATAAGGGGCTGCTTAGTGCTCAGCATATTTTGAGATTCATGAATATCAGCATACTGATCAGGGAATATAGAGATTTTGGTGACAAGATAGGTGGGTTCAAATCATGGCTTTTCCAGTATGAGCTGTGTGACCTGGGACAGTTGCTTAACCTCTTCTGAACTGTAGTTTCTTCATTGATCAGATGGTGATAACACCTTTACATGTCAGAACTCTCACTTTTCAGTGACTGATTCCCAATTGACATAGACTTAAGCAAAAGGAGATTTTATTGGTTCAAATTGTGAAAAGTTTGTACACATTTAGTTCATGATTCCTATGTGGTCAAGGGTCTTTTCCTCTTTATCTCTTGGCTCCTCCTTCCTTTGGATGGGCTTCATTCTCAGGGAAGTTTCCTCAAGAGGTGGCAAGGAAGAGCATCTTTCTCAAAAATGGTTTAGGAAGACTTTCGTTGGCTCAGTTTCAGTCATGTGCTTCATTCTGAACCAATCACTATGGCCAGGAGAGTAGACAGATCTGATTGACCGGGTGTAGGTGATGGGCACATTCCTAGGTTCAGGTGAGTCCCCTTTGGTCTGCTTAACTGAGACTGGGAGAGGGTTAGTTCCCTCTGGGGAAAACTGGGGAAAACTGAGGTGCGATTACTAGAAGAAAGGCAAAGGGCTGCTGGGATAGGCAAAGAGGCAGCAATAACATAGAAAGCCCTCAAAAATCGTTAGCTACTGCTGCTGGTATTACTATTACACTATTGTTTGAGACAAACAGGTGATAAAACAAATGAACTTTAAAAGCACCTGTATGAAATGAGATAACGGGGGGAGAAGAGAGGAAGCAGAACTGGCAGAATGCTGGTAGTTGTTGCAGCCTGTGATAGGTCCACAAGGGTTCATTATACAGCTGTCTCAGCTTGTGTGTGCATTTGACAATTTACATACTACAAAGGGGAAGGGTAGCACCAGTAAAACATGAAACGTGTGTAGGAGAAGCCCAGTCACCTTGTTGTTGTGTCAGTTACCCAGTGTTCTTAACAGACCAGAAGTGAGTGGTGGCTTTATTGCCTGCATGACTTTCCCTCCCAGGTTCTCCTCTGTGACCTGGCAGTTCCAGTGTGGATTGACTTGTGAGGACAAGGCTGACCTCTTCCCCATCGGTGCATCGGTCCAGTTCATTAAGATACCCGCACAGTTACCCCGTCCACTTACAAGGTAATCTGTTTGCTGACCTCAGTGACATGATCAGGAAGCAGAAAAATATATGTTCAAAACTAAGAAGTTTAGGGACCTCCCTGGTGGTTCAGTGGTTGAGACTGCATGCTTCCACTGCAGGGGGCATGAGTTTGATCCCTGGTGGGGGGAGTAAGATCCCACATGCCACGAAGTGCTGCTGAATAAGTAAAAAACAAAAACAAACAAAAGCTTTCTTTCTTTTTTCTTTTTTTTAAGCTTTATTTCTTTAATCAAGTTTTAAATGAGTTTTAAAAAATAATTTTATTTATTTGTTTTTGGTTGTGCTGGGTCTTCACTGCTGCTCCCGAGGACTTTTTCTAGTTGCAGAGAGTAGGGGCTGCTCTTCAGTTTTGGTTTGCGGGCTTCTCACTGCAGTGACTTCTCTTGCTACAGAGCACGGGCTGTAGGCATGTGGGCTCAGTAGCTGCAGTTCCTGGGCTCTGGAGCACAGGCTCAGTAGTTGTGGGACATGGGCTTAGTTGCTCCATGGCACATGGGATTTTCCCTGATTCGGAATTAAACCCACGTCTCCTGCATTGACAGATGGATTCTTTACCACTGGAGCCACCAGGGAAGCCCTTTAATCAGATTTTGATGCAGCTCATCAAGAGCATGCTTTGCTATAGCTATTGTAACCTTCTAAAATGTTTTGTAGATTCCAGATCAATTTTACAGAGTACGACTGTAACAGAAATGAGGTTTGTTGGCCACAACTTCTGTATCCACTGACCCAATATTATCGAGGTAGGTAAAGCCCTTTTCTGAAATGGATATCATTATGTTAACGTCAATTAAAAAACTTTTGAAAAAAGTATAAATGTCACAGGAAAGTTAAAACATATAGCAAAGTTTTGAAAAGAAAACATGTACTGATGTTGCCATTTAGAAATGATCACTGTTTATATTTTGGCTTATTTCTACTTAGTTACCCAAAAAGTTAAGAAATAACAACATTTTGGGGTATTCCCTGGTGGTCCAGTGGTTAAGACTCTGTGCATTCACTGTGGAGGGCATGGGTTTGATCTCTGGATCCCTGATCAGGGAACTAAGATCCCATAGGCTGTATGGCTCAGCCAAGAATGCCCCCAAGACCAAAAAAACGTTGCTTACACCACTGTATTTAAAATGGATAACCAACAAGGTCCTACTATATAGCACAGAGAACTCTGCTCAATGTCATGTGGCAGCCTGGATGGGAGGGGAGTTTAGGGGAGAATGGATACATCTATATATGTATATATACATGTATATATGTATGGCTGAGTCCCTTTGCTGTTCACTGGAAACTATCACAACATTATTAATAGTCTGTACCCCAATACAAAATAAAAAGTTTAAAAAAATAAAATAATGATGATGATAATGACAAAAAAAAATTGCTTAGTCTGATTCATTGTCTTGCAGGAGAGCCTTACTCTCAGTGTGTTGCCAAGAGCTTACTACTTGTATCCTTCATCATACTAGCTGTATTCCTCAGTAGCCCCTGGATCAGAATACACAAAGATTAGAATTCAACTACCGTCTGACTTCTTACAGATCATCAGCTTCTACGTCAGGGATTTGCTGTCCTTCTGTGTGCCTCTCTGTAAAATCTTAATAAATGAAATGTTTTATTTTTATAGAAAATTTTATTAAGTGCTCCACACATTAAATTCACATATGTAGCTATCCAAACATTCAAAGCAATTCAGAGTGGGTGTTCTCACTGATGCACCAGAGTGAGCAAAATGCCTGAGAGGGTCAACTGTGTCAATATGTGTAATTAGGAACTTCAGTTCATCACAGATTATGAAAGTCATAGGAGTTTTGGTTCAAATGTTATTCCTACCACAGAGAGTCAGTCTTTGAATTTTTTATCTATTTCTGTTGAAATGATAAGTTTCCACTATTCCTAAGAAAGGCTTAGAAATGCATTGAAGTCTGTTGACTTAGAAAATATTCACAACCTCAAAGTTGAGAGTTGTTTTATTTGGTGGGAATTTTTAGGACTTCAAGCCGGGAAGACACTGTCTCAAATGACCCTGAGAGAATTGCTCTGAGGAGGTGAAGAGAGGATTCACGTTATATAGAAGTTTTGCAACAAAGGGCAAGTAGCTGGAACATCAAAAAAGATTGTTGTTATTTAAAACCAGATATCCCAAGTTAAGGGATTTTGCACTTTTCTATGTATGGGAAGATGCAGGAGTCTGGGCCCACTGAAATCATTCCTTTCAAATGTACTTCAGCTATATAGAGCCACTCTCCGGTGTTTCTAGACTCCCCAGGTGACTCAGTGGTAAAGAATCTACCTGCTGATGCAGGAGACACAGGAGACATGGTTCGATCCCTGGGTCGGGAAGATCCCCTGGAATAGGAAGTGGCAAACCACTCCAGTATTCTTGCCTGGAAAGTTTCATGGATAGAGGAGCCTGGTGGCCTACAGTTTGCAACCCACTGGGCTGCAAAGAGTTAGACATGACTGAGCATGCATGCACATTCTGTGTTTTTGCATCCTGAGGTTGCCTTCCTCAGGGCTTACTGCAGGGAGTAGCCGTAGTCTGATGACTGCTACATCGCAGGTATTCTACGCCTTTCTGAATTCTCTTAGGGCTCACCATCTCACATTGGAGGGCTGCAACTGCTGATGACTGTGATATCCTTCTCTAGGAGATCTTTGATATGGCAGGAAATACTCCATTTCTGAAGTCTTAAAAAGTGTGTATAATATGAAAATCCAAAAAAATGGATGAGGCAAGATGTAGGGGTTAGGGGAAAGGACCTAACATAGGAGGTAAGTAAAAACCAGGAGTGAACACAAGCCCATGAAAAAATATGCCAACAGCCTTGCATTTAGTAAAGGTAGGTCCGTAATATAGTCTTCAGTTTGCAAAAAATCCAAAATATGATTAGCTACAGGAATCATGGGGACCATTGATTAAAAAATAATCTGGCTTTCAATGAAGTACAGTTTTTCCTAGTTGAGTCTTGAGAGAAATTCCTCCTGGGGCCTCTTACAAAGGGACGGACAGCACGATGCAGCATGGGGAGGGGGGCAGAGCGGCCATCTCCAGCCACAGACATGTGGCCACGTTGCCACCTGCAGTGAGGTTTCTTGGTGGGCTAGATAAATTTAGTCATTGTTTCAGATGGACTTTGTGCACTGTGGGTAAATGGAATTTTCTAAAGCAATTCTCTTCTGTCTCTGAGTTCTGAGCATCTCTTGACATCCTGGTGCTGTGTACAATGTGTTGTTGCATCTTTTTTTTTTTTTTTTGTCCACACCATGTGACTTGTGGGGTTCTGTTTCCACAACCAGGGATCAAACACATGCACTATGAACTACTGTTTTGTAATACAATGAGAAATGGAATATTTTGTGCCATATAAGTAAACAAAGGATGCCACGGTGATCAGTGATTGCAGCTACCATGACTGGTGAGCTGGTGAGCCCTAAGGGAACTCAGGAAGGAAGGAATACCTGCCACCTAGAAGCCGTCAGATTGTAGCCACTCCCTTCGGTGGAGCCCTGAGGAATCTCAGAATATGATGTGAAATAGAGTGTTTCCTGCCATATCAGTAAATAAAGATGGCGCTGTTAATAGTGATTGCAGCCCTAACAGGTGTGAGCTGTTAAGCCCTAAGGGAATTCAGGAAGAAGGGGAATACCTGCTATCTAACAGCCAAAACTGTAGCCACTCCCTGTGGTGAGGACCAAGGAAAGGAAGCTCAGGATGTGAAAACAGGATACTGGCCCTAGATAGGTGAGATGCATATGAAAGGAATGGTTTTTAGTAAGCCCAGACTCTTGCATCTTGCCATACATAGAAAATCACTAAATTCCTTAACTTCAGATATCTGTTTTTTCTTAATTAACAATAATCTTTTGATGTTCAGACTACCTTCCCCTTGTTGCAAACTTCTATATAACCTGACTCCTTCCCCTGCTCCCCAGAACCGTTCTCTCAGGGTTACTTGAGATGCTATCTTCTGGGCTTGAAGTCCTAAAAATTCCCACCAAATAAAACATAACTCTCCACTTTTAGGTTGTAAATACTTTTATTAAAGTCCACAACATCATGGAAACACTGAATTTCTCCCCACTCTGCTGCACTCTTTCTTTTTTGCACTCTTAGATGTGGATCTCTGTGGGTTGAGGTGGTTACACCCGCTAGGAATTGAAAATTGTCTTTTATTAAAGCAAAGGAAATACCCAACTGATTGGTTCTTTGCAGTGAGTGATTCAGAGTCTTTCCCTGGCAGTTAGCATAACTAGCTCTGTGAAGTTAATGTAAAATTTCCAAATGACAGGGAATTAGCCTGATTTTGTGGGCTTTGTTAGGGTGATTTTGCACTTGAGAAAGGGAAAACTCACTTTGACAGTAGAAGGGGATTAGGGTCAGAGCAAACCTAGGTCTCCTGCATTGTAGGCAGATTCTTTACAATTTGAGCTACGGGGAAGACCTTACTATATAGTTTATATGTTCATATATGCATTTGGGAAATATCTATTGAACGACTACTGCCCTGAACCCTGGAGATACCAAGGCAATGTCCCTTGTCTGGTAGACTTGTTGACTGAAACAAAACAAAAAAACTTCAACATAACTCTGAAAGTTGAGAGTTATGTTTTGTTTGGGGATCTTACTGAAGGCTATAGCTCAGGAACACAGCCTCTCAGATTGCTGTGAAACTGAAAAAGGTAAGGGAGAAGCCAAGATGTACAAGAATTTTTGTCGAAGGGAAAAAACCATATAGTTGAACATCAAAAGATTACTGTAATCACAAAGAACAGCCATCACAAGTTAATGATTTTTAGTGCTTTTGTTGACAAGTCCAAGCTTGCTCTGCTTGACTCATGACAGGCCAATGAATTGGAGACAGGTGTTGAAGCAAGGAATATGATTTTTTGGAAAGCTGGCTGATGGAGAAGATGGCAGACTAATGTCTCAAAATAACCACCTTGTCCAGGTCTGGATGCCAGGTTCTTTTATAGTAGACCAGAGAGAGAAGCCATGAGGAACTAAAGTCAAAAGGCAGAATAGAGAAGGAAAAGCAATGAGGAAGTAAAGTAAAAAGGGCCATCAAGCTTGCAGTACATGATGGGGAACAGCCAGCCTCAGGAAGGGAAGTGTTAATCTCTTTTTTTCTCACAGCCATTCACAGGTGCGCAGGGTCAGAGTCTCTCTTTGAGCTGAACAAAGGCACTCTAGTTTAATAGGCAGAGGGGTAGCCTCCTCTGAGGCAGGCCATTTTGTATGATTATAATAGCAGCAATGAAAAGCAAGTCAAAGAAACAGTTGAAACATGAAGTAAGAATTGGTTCTTCTCTGCAACACTTTTCCATGCCTGGGAAGGTGGAAGAGTCTGGGCTCACGTAAATTATTCCTTAGATATGCATCTTATCTATTTAGGACCTGTAACTTGTTTTTCTCCTTTCTGAATCCCCTCAGGATGAACCCTTGGGGGTGGCTGCAGTGGCTAATGGCTTGATGGCTGTGACATCCTTTGCTTACTGAAATGGCAGGCAATTTTTTTTTTTTTTTGTCCAGGAAGTTTTACATTCTACTGGGGGAAAACTGGCAATAAACATAGACAAGATAATGTCAGACAGTGGTAGGTGCTATGGAGAAAATAAAACAGGACTGCCTAGGGTGGGGTGGTAGGGACACTTCTGCTAGTGGTCAGGACAAGCTTCTTAGAAGCAGTGACATTTGAGCTGAGACTTGTAGGAGCTAATCTTGAGAAGGTCCTGGAGAAGGGTGTTCTAGGCAGAGAGAAGGGAAGAGTCAGCAAGTTCAAGCGCGCCAACCTGGAAAAAGAAAGAAGGCAGGTGGGTGGGGTGGAGACCAGGACTTGGGGAAGGCAGAGGTTAGACCCAGTGGTGTGTCTGCTGGCTCTGGTAAGAAGTTTGAACTTTATTCGGAACGCAGTGGGAGAAGTCAGAAAATTTTAAGTAAGCTCACATCCGGTTTTCGTGTTTGTCCGAGATCTCTGTAGCTGCTGTGTGCAGGATCCTAGCAAGAGCAGTCTGGTACCAGACCCTGCTTTGTCCGCACAGGGGCCAGGACCCCAGAGAAAAACACCACACGGGGTGTAATTCCGTTGATAAGAAATGTCCTAATAGGCAGATCTATGGAGAAAAGGTTGTTCAGTGGTTGTCGGGAGCTAGGGGATAAGAAGGGGACTGACTGAAACTGAGCAGGAGAAATCTTTATGGGGTTGATGGAAACGTTCTCAAATTGATCCCGACGCTGAACTCTGAAACTTTACTAAAAATCACAAAATTGTAATACCCTAGTCGGGTGAACTTTTTGGCACGTAAAATCAACAAAACTCCTATAAAGCTGTGAACGGCAGAGAGAGGGGCAGCTTTTGATCAGGCTGGGGCTGAGTTCCTGAATCCCCCGCATTGACCCGTGGTTAGCGCCAGTTGGCCCCGCAGCCGCCATCGGCCGCAAGGCCTGGCGCCATTGGTCGGCCGGCGGGGGTCGTGCGCGTGCGCGCGCGCGTGGGGGCGGAACCGGAACCGGCTGTAGCCAAGGGGGCGGGGCCTCGAGGGCGGCGTTGGCGGCGGCCGGAGCGGCGGCCGTGGTAGCTGGACTGGGGACAGCTGGTATAACCTGGAGCTCCATGGTTCGGAGCCGCGGCCAGGCCGCAGGAGAAGCTCGATCCCCGGGTCATCCCGGCTGACCGTGCGGGCCCGCGCAGCCCAGAGCCGCCGGCGCCCGTCGGGTCCCGCGGGGGGGCGCGGGCCGGTCCGCCATGGGGTCCCTGTTCCGGAGCGAGACCATGTGCCTGGCGCAGCTCTTCCTGCAGTCCGGCACGGCCTACGAGTGCCTCAGCATCCTGGGCGAGAAGGGCCTGGTCGAGTTCCGAGACGTGAGTGTCGCCCGGGAGATACGGGCTGTCGCTCCCTGCCAGGCTCCCTCATTGCACCTTTAGCTCGGGCCTCCTTCCCCGCGGGCTCCTGGGCAGGGGCGCCCATTTCCCAGAAGGGGAAGCTGAGGTCCACTTTCCGGCCAGAGCTTCCGCAGAGCGGGGCCCGAGCCCAGGGTCGCCGGATGTCTGGTCCGCGGCCGCCCTAGCTGGGTTAGTTAGGAACGCTTGTCTTCATCACCTCGGGTCGTGCCGTCTGATGCTTCAGAGCCAGGCACTGGGCTACTTAAGCGGGAGTACAAATCTGTTAAGGCCTCTTGAAGCCCTTCTGGAACTTATGGGGACGGGGAGGAGGGGAGGAATATTAAGTAAACGGGAATACGTTTGCTGTACCCACAATAAAAGGGGATGGTGAGATGGTGCCTCCGGTAAGGGGCCGACCGGGAAGCCTCTCTGAGGAGGTGTCTTTGGGCCGAGCCAGCCCTGGGGAGTTCTGGGGGACACGGACCCAGGTGGAGGGAACAGGAAGAGCCAGGAGCCTGAATTAGGAATGAACTTGGTGTAAGCTCCCGGGCGGCGGGATTTTTTGTCGTTCACTGTTACCTGGTGATGTATTGATGCATACCACTACCTCCTACGGAATAGGAGTAGCGTCAGAATTTGTTGAAAGGGAGCTGCCCCCCCAGCAAGTAGTAATAAACACTTGTTTTATATATCTGTTTATTTGTTTATTGTTTGGCTCCACCATGGACTGTCAACCCCTGGCGGTAAGAGTCTTGTTCATTCCTGATTCCTAAGTACAGCCCCTGACTTTGTGGGCATTAATAGGCATTTGTGGAATGAATGAACAAGCTTGTATCAAATGCTTGCTGAGTTTGGTGCTGGAGACTCAGGGATGAGCAGGATGGACAAAGTCCCTGTGTTTTTGTTGCTCACAATCTGGGAGGAGTTAACAAACACACTCTGATTATGAGCTGTAATAAGTGCCATGCAGGAAAAAACAGCATGAAAAGGAGATTATGAAGCAGGACTTGGCTGATTGAAAAGTCACTTGAGTGAACATTTTATTTCTTGGGGCCCACCTTTCATCGCTTGTGGTTTCCCTTCATCTTTCTGAGGGCACTTTAGTTTCAAGAGGGAACTCTTCCACCCAATATATGATATCAGCGATTCTGGGGTTGGTCCCCCAAGGCAATTGCAAGGTCAGGGAGAAACTCCTGAATGACAGGTGAGGCTGCAGAGAGGGCCCAACTTGTCCTGGTTTTTTGAGCCACTTGGGCTTCAGCACATGATGCCCACTCTCCTGGCTCGGGCTGCGCTGAACTGTGAATAAGGAGCCTCCGAGAGATTCAGGAAAGAGTTGTTTGAGAAACAAGCTCCCTTCTTTATCATAGATTTTTTCCATCCTGTTAGTCCTCAGGCCAAGAGACTTCAGTCAAGCTGAAGTCTTAGAGGTTTGAACAAATGCTCTAATTACTGTGAAGATTCAAGTTTTGTTGAATGCCATTACATTAGGTAGTAGAGGACGCTTGAGATTCTTCTAAACTGAAAATTAGGGAAAGAAAAAGAAAGTGCTGTTCATCTTTTTCACAAGTGCAATAAAGTGGAAATGCTCACATTGTGTGATGCTCGGTGTTCAGAGCTCAGGGGTGTATGTGTGTCTGTCTTCGGGATGGCTGTCAAGCAGCTAGAGCAGAGAGCTCCATCATACCTGACTCTTTATGTTCCCTTCTGGAGTTTCTTACTGACTTTGTGCTCACCGGGTGGGATTACTGACGCCAGTCTTTTCTGGCTTGTGCAGGTGGGAGCGTTTCCCCCTTTTCTTTTAGCGATCCTTCTAAGGGCGGAGAGGCAGGACCAGAGTTTCTGCAATGATAGCCAAAGAGAAGACCTGGAAAAGAAAGGTGATTCAACTCACCAGTAGGACTGAGCGAAGGGCAAGGCTGTCCCACTTTTCTAAGGGTCTGGAGTCTGAGGATGGTGTTTACCTTTTGTCCGTTAGGATCGCAGGTGTGGATACTGGTGAAAACAGCACCAGGCAACCTCGGCTGGTTTTTCTAGATTAATTATTATTCTTAAAATGAATCTGTGTTAAAATGTACTTCATAGCATTCGCTTGGGATTAAGGTGCTATTGCCACCTAAAAAGAAAATAGAAGCTAAACTTCACACAAGAAACCACACAATAGAAAAAAACCAGTTAACATGCTTTGTAAGCAGGAGATGGCGGATGTCATATCCAGTCACATGTGCGTTATTGCCACAGAAGTTTGCCTCCTCATAAAGATCCTACTATTTGTGGAACCCTGGTGTCCGATTTGAGTTCACTAGTGTTTGATATTGAAGAAAAAGACATCAAAACTGAGAAGCCGTGTCATTCATAGACAGCTTTTGATGGGTGGCTTCCTGTGCTCATTCTTAGTTCTAACCAGACAGAGGGTATCTGAATCACTAGAAACTTGAAAGTGGTTACTAGTTTGGATTAGTGCGACTTCCAGAAATGAGTGCAAATGTGACAAACAGAAGTGAGATTAGAATTTTTGTCTTTCTTCTGGTTAGTTCTTTATAGAAGTTTGGAAAACTGAACAAGAACTGAGGCTTTACGGGAGATATTCTCAGGTGGTTCAAGCAGCTTCATGCCACGCTGTTTCTAATTCTCCATTTTGAGAGTGCCCCATGCCAGATGGGCTTCCATTGTGACTCAGCTGGTGAAGAATCTGCCTGCAATGTGGGAGACCTGGGTTCGATCTCTGGATTTGAAAGATCCCCTGGATAAGGGAAAGGCTACCCACTCCAGTATTCTGACCTGGAGAATTCCACGGACTGTAAAGTCCATGGGGTGGCAAAGAGTCGTACACGACTGAGCAACTTTCACTTTCCACCCCATATGGTGCTGCGTGGAGTAAACTTAAAATTCTTGCCCCGTGTGCCTTTCAACATAAATAATTGCTGTAATTTAAAAAGTTGTGATGGTAATATATATCCACTGTGGGAAATTTGGAAAACCTAGGATAATAACTTCCATGATCCCACTAGCTAGAAATAAACACTTTACCATTTTGGTTAACATTGGCCGAACATTGTTTTTCTAATAATATTTTTTAATGTACATGTATAGATATTTTTATATAGTTGGAGCCACACTAATAATGTGTGCATGTGTGTATGCTCAGTTGTATCTGACTCTTTGTCACCCCATGGACTGTAGCCTGCCAGGCTCCTCTGTCCATGGGATTTCCCAAGGAAGAATACTGGAGTGGGTTGCCATTTTCTCCTCCAAGGGATCTTCCCAACGCAGATATCAGACCTGCGTCTCCTGCGTCGGCAGGTGGATTCTTCACCGCTATATCACCTGGGAAGCCCCACACTGATAATATGTTTAATCTCCTTCTTCCCACACACAAGTTGTGATTAATTTCCTCATTTTATTAAATATTTTATAATAATTTTTGTTGTTTTAAGCTTTGTTTGCTAAGATATTAAGTAGAGGGAAGAGTATATGGAAACAGTGAATTCCTATATACCCATAATATAAACCCATGGAGGGAATTCCCTAGTGGTCCGGTGGTTAGGACTTGGTGCTTTTACTGCCAGGACCCCAGAAAGCCATATGGTGCAAAAAAGAAAAAAAAAGGAAACTCCCATCAGACAAGATCATTTTGAAGCAAATCCCAGATATATTATTTCATTCATAAATATTTCACTAAGTACCTCTAAAAGATAAGGACACTAAAAAGATACCATTATCATACCTAAAGTTTTTAATAATAATTTCTTAATATAATCAAATACCTGGTCACTTAAAACATCATTTTTAATAAATGTATAGTAATCACTTGTGTTACTGACCCATAATTTTTACACAGCTTTATTGATGTGTATCTTAAAGTTCACCTGCTGCAAGTGTGCAATTTGTTGGTTTTTAGAAAATTTTCTGAGTACTGTGTCCATTGCTACAAGCCAGTTGTAGAACATGAGATCATCCCAGTAAGGTCACTTATGCTCATTTACAGGTCATCCCCCTCCTCACTCTAAGACCCAGGCAATCACTCATCTACTTTCTGCCTCTAGGTTTTCCTTTCCTGGACATTTCGTAGAAATGGAGTTGCACAATATGTGGTCCTTTGTGTCGTCTTTCATTTGCATCATGTTTCTGGGTATCTCCTCCCTGATATTGATGTATTGTTTTTTTCCCCCTCTTTTTACTGCTAGTATTCCACAGTGTGGATGTAGACTATGATTTCCTTAGGCAATTTTCCATGGTCAATAGTTTTTTCTCTATCCTTGAAGTTGATCCTCTTCTGCATACATTTTTGTCTGTATCCATAGTTTTTTCTTTTAGGTTGAATTTCTTTGTGGAATCGTTCTGGACTAGAGGATATTTTTCAGGCTTTTTAAAAAATCTGTTTTTATTTTTTTGGCTGAGCTGAGTCTTTACTGTGGTGCCTGCACTCTCTAGTTGTGGCGAGTGGGCTTACGGTTCCCCCACCGGGGATCGAACCTGTGTCCCTTGCATTGGAAGGTAGATTCTTAACCACTGGTTCACCAGGGAAGTCCCCAGACTTTTTTGGATAACAGTTGCCAAATTGCTTTCCAGAAAAGATGTGTCCATTTATACTCCCACTCCGTAGTATACAAGGATATGCTTTTCCCTTAAACCCTTGGCAGTCGTACTTTATTTACAAAATCGAAGTTGTTTTTAAATTTTAGAAAATTCAGAGCAAAATTTTCATCCTTCTTCTCAGCTCAACCAGAATGTAAGTTCTTTCCAAAGAAAATTTGTTGGTGAGGTGAAGCGATGTGAAGAACTGGAGCGAATATTGGGTAAGTTTTTTTAAACAAATTATTATTTTATATAATTGAATATATAAGCAAACCTTGTTCACTTTAGAAAAATTAGAAAATCTAGACAAGTAGAAAAGAAAAAAGAAGTTATCTGTATTCTTACCATTCATGTAATCACTGTTATGTAGGTTTATATTTTCGTTCCACACTTTTTACTGTTCATCTATAAAAGTAAGGATTTACATATATAATGATCAGGTTATTTTGTTATTAGCTTTGTTTCTCATTGATGGTACTTTAACATCTTTTAATGTCAATAAACAGATTAACTCATCATTGTTTTTAGTGGCAGCATAGTATTTTATGGTATTAATATACCACGAGTTATTTAGCCAATCCTTTGTAGTTTGTTATAATTTAGAAACAATGTACATGTTAATACTTAAATTAGATCAGAGCACAAGGGAGGTAGGAAGTGGTAGATAACTTGGTTAATAATTTCCTTTTTCTCAGGGATTATTTCCTCTGCATACATCAGTGTTCTCTGACTGTTAACCATTAAAACTCAGCAGCTCAAGGCTACTTCCTTTATCTGTAAAACTTTTAACATCTTAGCCTAAAATAAAATGTTATTGTTGTCCAGTTGCTCAGTCATGTCTGACTCTTTGTGACTCCATGGACTGCAGCACTCCAGCCTTCCTTGTCCTTCACCATCTCCTGAAGCTTGCTCAAACTCATGTCCATTGAGTTGGTGATTCTGTTCAACCATCTCATCCTCTGTTGTCCCCTTCTCCTCCTGCCTTCAATCAGGGTCTTTTCTAATGAATCTGCTCTTCACCTCAGGTAGCCAAAGTATTGGAGCTTCATCTTCAGCATCAATCCTTCTAATGAATATTCAAGACTGATTTCCTTTAGGACTGCCTGGTTGGATCTCCTTGCAGTTCAAGGGACTCTCAAGAGTCTTCTCCAACACCACAGTTCAAAAGCATCAGTTGTTTGGCACTCAGCCTTCTTTATGGTCCAGTTCTCACATCCATACATGACTACTGGAAAAACTACAGCTTTGACTTTTGTTGACCTTTGTTGACAAAGTAATGAATCTGCTTTTTAATATGCTCTCTGGGTTTGTCATAGCTTTTCTTTCAAGGAGCAAGCATCTTTTAAAATAAAATAGTCTTTATCAGTTCAAACCTTGAAGTTCTGCTTGAAATACAGAGAGGGGAACAATTCCAAAGTCACTGTCAGAAAAACCTGAGGATGAGAGAGTTGAGGAGGGAAGATAAGATGACTTTTGAAGTCATTTCTAATAGTTAATTGTTGTGGATTTTATATTTTTTAACTGGGATTTTTAAGATCAGAAGAAACCTTTGGGTCATCAGCAGCCTAGTCCTCTGCATACTGTTTGAGATCCCAGTCGTTTGTGTGGATCATGAAAGACAGGGCAATATCACACTTCCTTCTTTGCCACGTGTATGAGTCATTGATCAGGTTGTATATTTGGAATGAGTTTCCAGAGACAGGGCAGGATTGACAGGACATTAGACATGCCCAGGGCTTCCTGTAGCTTACACTGTTTCAGAAAGAGTCCAGACTTAAAAAGAAAATGAACCATCAAGTAAATTTAGGTATGTGCTGTGCTATTCTGTGCTTAGTCATGTCCTACTCTTTTCGACCCCATGGACTGTAGCCCTCCAGGCTCTTCTGTCCATGGGGATTTTCCAGGCAAGAATATTGGAGTGGGTTGCCATGCCCTCCTCCAGGGGATCTTCCCAACCCAGGGATCGAACCCAGGTCTTCCACATTGCAGGCGGATTTTTTACCGTCTGAGCCACCAGGGGAGCCCAAGAATACTGGAGTGAGTAGCCTGTCCCTTCTCCAGGAGATCTTCTCCACCCAAGAATCGAACCGGGGTCTCCTGCATTGCAGGCAGATTCTTTACCAGCTGAGCTATTGGAGAAGCCCAAATTTAGGTAAAATAGGTTAAAAAAATTCACATCCATTTCCAAAAAGCTCTTAAACCCATTGCTTCCTTTGCTCTTATTGGTAAGACATTCTTCTCTTCCTGTCTGTTTCCTTCCTTCTCTTTCTCCCTCTCGCCCTCCTTTCCTCCCTTTCCTTCCTTCCTTCCTAGTAAAATAACTAGTAAGACTTCTCCAAAACATTGTATCTGGTAACGATTTTTTACCAGGTATTATGACTTTTATCCTATGGAAAAAGATGCTAAAAGGAATTGAAAATGTAGACTAAAGAATTTAAGTTATTTTTGGCTGTCTGAGTATTAGTTTCATGAATCTAGTGTAAGTGGTCCTAAGTCAAACCATCACAGCTAACTGGTGACTTAGGAGAGCCGGGCTCTTTGCCCTGCAGTTTCTCTTTTTGCTGAGAAAGGTTGTTGTGTTTTTTCCTGATGGATGTGTATTTCCTCCTAATGGCATCTGCAGGGAGTTCACACTGACATTTCTGGTGGCTTATTCCTGCACTTCCAAGTGTGCTTTTAACTTTCTGCTTCATCTACAGGTGGCAGAGGCAAGTGTGACTACAGAGTTCTTTAACTAGAGTTTTAGTAATGAAGGACAGGAAATTTCAGAAAATATGTATATAGGTTACTGTCACTCTATGCTGATCTCTCCAGGCAGAATTATTTTACAGATGTTCAGAAGCAAGGTGACAAAAGTCATCTATCAGTCAATTGGGACAATCCAGACTTTTGTGCCTTTAGACAGTTTTTACATGACCTGGGAAAAGTGGGGACATGAAATGTTCTCACTGAAACATCCTGGACTAAGATTTTCAGTCTAATTTGTTTAACTTTTCCACAGCATACTTGGTGCAGGAAATCAATAGAGCTGATATTCCCCTCCCTGAGGGGGAGACCAGTCCTCCGGCACCACCTCTGAAACAAGTGCTGGAAATGCAGGTAACTTGGTTCTGAAGGAGGGTTTTAGGTCACTAACCTCAGATCGGGCTTATTCACTTACTTTATATTGTCTAGTGCTTTTCTGCCTTTCTTCTCAAGACTGTGGAATGAAAGTCAAAGAACCATATTATGGTTAACTCTCAGTAACATTATCTGTGATACATTTTAACTAGACTTCAGTTTTCTTCTTCCTTAGTATAAGACAGGTGGTATTGAACAGAGATTGACAAGAATTAGATCATGAGATCTGGTCATGTAACCTCTGGGCTTCTGTAGGCCTTAGCATGCTGCTGCTACTGCAGGTCATCGAGGCTTCAGACCTGTGCCCTACACATCTCCCCCGATTCACCCTGACCCTTTCCCCTCGAATTATCAGAAACTAGTGTGAAAGTGGTTCCCCGTGGTTAGCCAGCAGGATTCCTTCTCTTGGAGTTCAGTGTCGGGGATACACTGTGAGAGCATGGGGTCATTCATTCATTAGCATCCCCCTCCACCCCCATGAATTATCTGTTGAGATTTTGGTCTCCTCATCTGAGTGTTTATCACACTCGGAAATAGACTAGAGCTTTTACAGCCCTTCTAAAACAATTAGTACTGTATAACTAGGACCATTCCATTGCCGACTGTGCTGTTTGTTTTACTGGGAGGAAGTCGTTTAGCAGTTGCATATGAACGGACTCTGGAGACACCTATACAGTCCAGTGAGAGCAGTCAGTTGGTTTGGCCTGTTTGGTGTGTTGGTTATGATGTAATTACAAATACGGTGATTGCTAGCTGTTTATCATTTCAGTAAAGCAGAGCACAAGTAATAAATGTAGTGTGTCAGGGGATTTGTTTGAATACAAGTTTTCATTGAGTCAGTGGGTTTTACAGATTTCTGCTTCTACTGTTTTAATCCTTAAAGTATCGGTAAGGATGCTTGGTACACACTTAATTGTTAAATATTTGTTCTCAAGTATTTTTATGCCTAATTAATTGAATAAGTGCAACTGCATAGAAACTCAGGCTAGAGATTAGGAATAGGTATGTTTGGGAAAGAGTGTTTTTCTATGTTACAAATAAAAGGAAATGTAGTCTTAAAAGAGGAAGACTCTTTGGTGTATGGTAATGCGTAAGCAGGTGAAGGGAAACCAGAAGAAATGATAACCTGAGATTAGCGTGCAGAGTCATCATGGCACCCAAGTGCTTGCCATCACGGGTACCTGAGTTAATATGAAACAGTAAATGATGAACTTTGAAAAGCTGTGCATGTTTTCATATCCCTATCAAACTCTCATATACATTCTGGCTTTTTGAAACCTCTCCTGGTTCTGGGGTGCTGTGAAAAGAGTATTAGAGCCAGACTTGGAAGTAACCCAGCTGTCGTTTCATTTCAGGAGCAGTTGCAGAAGCTGGAGGTCGAGCTGAGAGAGGTCACCAAGAACAAGGAGAAGCTGAGGAAGAACCTGCTGGAGCTGATCGAGTACACCCACCTGCTGCGGGTGACCAAGACCTTCGTCAGGCGCACCGTGGAGGTGCTGGTGATGCCTGGGAGGAGGGGACTTTCCTCCTCTTCCTTTCGGCCACGTGGCATGCAAGATTTTAGCTCCCTGACTTGGGATTGAACCCAGGCCCCCTGCATTGGGAGAGTGGAGTCTTAACCACTGGACCACTGAGGAAGTCCCAGGAGCGCATTTCTTTTATAAAAATCTCATTCCCATCAGGTTTTTGGGTTTTGTTATTAACTCCTATAGAGATACTGCTTTTTAAAAGAAATACATCTTTAAAAAATGAAAGAGATACATTTTGATCTTCGTTTTATTTATCAGCTGGATTCCCATGTTGGTTTTAACCGTTTGCTGTTGTTTACTTTGCTAAGTCATGTCCCACTCTTTGTGACTCCGTGAACTGTAGCCCGCCAGGCTCCTCTGTCCATGGGATTTTCCAGACAAGAATAATGGAGTGAATTACCATTTCCTCCTCCAGGGGATCTTCCTGATCCAAGGATTGAACCAGAGTCTCCTGCTTGGCAGGTGGATTCTTTACCACTGAGCCACTTGGGAAGCCCTGGTTTTAACCATAACTACTTCCTATTTGTAAAATGCTTTAGTTTGCAGTTGAAAAAAATACTTTTTATAATCATGAGAAAAAACTGAACAGTGGAAATCAAACTCCAAAATTTCAGTTTTATTCTTTCCTTCTTCTCAAATTCCTAAAAGTAATGGAAGTTAAAAAAAAGAAAACCTACATAGGAATAATGAACAGCCTATGCAGCAGTACTGTACTCAGCTGAGCATCAGAGAGGGGCAAAGTATATTCCTTCGGGACTTCATTTCACTTCCTGTGGCAGGTGTGACCTCTGATACAGTTACTCTGTGTTAGGTTAAGGTGATGACATACGTTATAACCAGACTTTTATTATATGTAGATGTCATCAAGTAGTTTACAAATAAGGAATGGGGACGTTATCCTCTTTCTTTATCAGAACCGACTCACATGTCTGAGTTACCTTGGCACCCAGATCTGAGTAGTTCTTTTGCCCTGCAGACTTGTTTGGAAACAGGACTTAGGAATTAAAGTGTCACTTTCGGTGAGACACTGTTGGTTTCATGTCTCCTTGTAGTTCGAACCCACTTACGAGGAATTCCCACCCTTGGAGAACGAGTCTTTGTTGGACCACAGCTGTATGCAGAGGCTGGGAGCGAAACTGGGGTAGGTGACAACTGGCCCGGCGCGCTTCACACTGTCCTTCTTGTCAGCGGGAGAAGGGAGCAGATGAGCAGCCACCATCTGCAAGCCTGTGTGGGATGAAAGAAAGTGAATATTTGTGATAAGAAAACACTGTACTCTAGTGTTTGTTGAGTTGAATCACTCAGCTGTATTGACTTTTTAAGTAGATATGACGGGAATTGCTTCTTTTGGTATCATGAACTGGAAAGAAGGAACATTCGTGCCGTTTATCATTACTCCATAAGCTTCAGATAGCTTATGTCACTGAAGCATCAAGCCCTGTTTTATTTGGTGGGGACATAGGGGCTAAACTGAATCGGGTAATTTATTAATCATATTTTAAGGGTCTCTCTTTACTATTTATTCTCTCTGTTTACTTGAACTAATGGTAATGTGTTTCCTCATGTGTTTTATAATCTCTTTTTACTGTGAACTTCGGTTCCTTTGCTCCTTATCTGTAGGCATTCAGTGATGTTTAGTGTCAGGCTGTATTCCTTCAGAAAGAACTTATTTTTACATATGTCAGGTACTTGGGAGCACTTCATCTATTTGGAATCGTTTTACATTAATTTCTCTGCTTGAGTTTATTAACTTTTTTTTCTGTTTGTTTACTCACTCTGCATGTAATATGAATTTCATCCACAAACCTGAGTGCGTTCTAACTTGTGGTTGTAAATCATCAAAGAATATTCTCCCCCTTCTCCCCAAAATTGAACGGAAATAAACAAGTTTGCATGTAGGCTCCTTTGCAAGATGGATTTTTTTCTAGTCCACCTATTCACTTAAGGTGTAGTCCTTTGTTGAGGGGGGTGAGAGTCCCAACTTTGAGGTGATTGTGGGGCTTTAGTTCTAACTCATCACCTGATATAGACTCAGGGCTCCTCTCCCATGCTAGCCTTGAAACTCAAGGCCTTGAGATACTGGTTATGTATAGATACTGGCTCCATATAATACATCAGGACATAACTATGAGGTCCTGTTTTATTTTTGGATTCCAAGAATTTCTCTAATTTATGAGCTCAGCTTTACATTGAAGAGGATGTTTCAAAAATATTTAATCCAGCATTTCAGATATTGTTCAGTTGGAGAGCTTTCAGGGTATCTTCCCCATTTTGCCAGAAATGAATGTCTTCATCATCCTTTTACTGCAGTTTGATAATATTCATTGCTTTTACTTGACCACAGCCTTTATTGTCTCATAGATTTATATCTGGCCTAATTAACCAAGGAAAAGTTGAAGCATTTGAAAAAATGTTGTGGAGGGTCTGCAAAGGGTACACCATTGTGACCTATGCAGAGCTGGATGAGCCCCTGGAAGACCCTGAAACAGTGAGTAAATGTCACCATCTCCTTTCAGCAGTGACAGACTTGCCCCAGAGCTGGACGTACAGTCCAGAGTGAAGCATTTGAGTGAGTTGTTCACCGGATTCCTTCCTTTCCTTGGATACGTTTGGGGGGAGTTCCTGAGAATAGGGACTTTCTCCTGTTCTACTGAAGTACAATAGGGGCATTAACGTGGATACATCACTACTTTCTGAGCTTTAGATCCAGTTTAGGTTTCAGCAGTTGTCCCAATACTGTCTTTTATGGCAAAGGATCTAGTTAAGAATCACACTTTGGATTTGTTTGTCATGTCTGTTTTTTTCTTGGTTGCCCTGCAAGGCTTGCAGAATCTTATTGAATAGATTCCCAACCAGAGATTGAACCCTGGGCCCTCAGCAGTGAGGTGCAGAGTCCTAACCACTGGACCGCCAGAGAGTGCCCACTTGTCATGTTTTTTTGGTCTCCTTCATTCTGGGATAATTTCTCAGTCTTACCTTGACCTTCATCATCTTGGCATTTAAAAGTTATTCTAGACCAGTGTTTTGGGTAGAATGGCCCCCTGTTTGGGTTTGTCTGATGTTTTCTCATGATGAGATTCAGGTTATGTGTCTCTGTCAAGAATGTCCTAGAAGTGATGTTGCCTTCTCACTGCTTCCCGTCAGGGGCACATGATTCCTTTGTCCCATTACTTGTGATGTTCATTTTGATCTCTTGATCAAGGTAGTGACTCCTAGTCGTCTCCGCTGTGAATTTGTAGTTCCTTTTCCTTTGTATTTAATACAGGTTTTTGAGGAAGTGCTTTGAAACTCTGTAAGTACTCAGTTCCTCATCAGATTTTCAGTCTGTTAATTTATTTCCTGTTTTATTCAATGAGTTATACTCTGTTACTTTGATTTTTTATTTTGATATTCAAATTCTCTAGATTTGGCCATCTGGACNGTGCTTTGAAACTCTGTAAGTACTCAGTTCCTCATCAGATTTTCAGTCTGTTAATTTATTTCCTGTTTTATTCAATGAGTTATACTCTGTTACTTTGATTTTTTATTTTGATATTCAAATTCTCTAGATTTAGCCATCTGGAGCCTATTCAGCTGGCTTTTATATTCTTTTTACATGTTCCCATCATCTTTTGAATACTTCTTTGCTTTCCTGATAACAATATATCCAGATTCATTTTGTAATTTCCCTCATGCAGCTCTGGAATTAGCCATTTCTCTGAGGAGCTTAGTTCTCTTTAGTGGAGAATGGTAATTAGAAGCCACACTGTGGTTTCTGGCTGTGCCCATTGTGAATGAGGTGATGCTGTTCCCAGCTCTGTCAGTGGACAAAGGGTGCACACATGCCAATGACTCACCCACTCACAACTTTATTTCTGTACCTGTGTGTGTAAGTGAAAACCGTGACTTTACATCCAATTCTACTCCAGTACCATAGGGTCATCCTGATTTGTAGAGTTCATTTGTAGGGTTCATTTCTAGATTTGTAACTCCTTTCTTCAATGGTGAGAAACTCAACTCCCATTGTTTATATACTTATTTGATCAGACCCCTTGTATGTGACCAGTCTGCCCACTGATCTCTTATCTCTGCTTCCCTCACCTTCTCTCCATATGGAGCTTCAAGTTTCCCAGCCCCTTGACTGAGTGGCCCCCTGGTGTGGGTGCCCTGCTCACCCTTTCTGGGTGGCTCCCCTGCAGCATGTTTCCTCACAGAGCTTGGGCTCTGATTTTGCCCTTCCCCTCCCCTCTCTAGGTCCATCCCCGAACGCACATCTAAGGCTTCAGGAATGAATTATTCAGGGAGGGAAGCAGAGGAGCCAGAGAGGAAAGAGCCATAATTACCTTTTAAAATAGCTGTGATTAATTTTTTTTAAGACTTCAACCATAAAAATAACTATTTTGCTCTAAATGAAGATGAATTGATCTACTAAAGGTAGAAAAGGAACTTGGGCTTCTTAATTTTGAGAGAAGCGTTCATGTGTTCTTTCCTAGATTTGCCTTAGGAATTTTGGCTGTAATGTTGTTGTTCAGTTGTGTCTGACTCTTTGCAACCCCATGGACTATAATCTACCAGTCTCCTCTGTCCATGGGATTCTCCAGGCAAGAATACTGGAGTGGTTTGCTCTGTTCTTCTCCAGGGGATCTTCCTGACCCAGGGATTGAACTCAGGTCTCCTATATTCCAGGCAGATTCTCAAGGGAATAGTTTTGATGCATAAAGGAGTTTGGCTGTGAAATGATTTTTATAAGGTTTAGCCTGAGTAAATCACACATGTTGGAAAATCTAATCAGTCAAGCTGTTCATTAACCATACACTTACAATATTTTTTGTGCCTCCTGAAATTGCCAGTAGCAATATGTTAATTATCCATCACCTGTGACCTCTGAGACCTCTCCATGTAAAGCTGAAGATTAAAACTGTTCTGAAGTAGCATTTACATATCTCTGAGTTTTTTCTTTTTTGAGAACATATCATTCTCACGCAAAACATAAAAATTTTTTAAAAATACAATTTCTAAGCTCTTTGGTGCTGAGTTTATACCAGTATGTTAAAGGGCATTAAATGTCTGTGAAGAAATACAGAGACATGGATAGACTTGGATAGGGATGTGTATATATATGTATATGTATATTTTTTAAAATAAAAAAAAAATTTATATCTGTATTTTTGATTCTATTTGGCTGCTCTGTGCTGCGTCTCTGTTGTTTTGCATGGGCTTTCTGGTTGTGGCAAGTGGTCTACTCTCTAGCTGTGGTGCGTGGGCTTCTCATTGTGGTGGCTTCCCTTGTTGCAGAGCATGGTCTCTAGATCTTGAGCTTCAGTGCTTGTGGCTTAGTTGCCCTGTGGCACTTGGGATCTTCTGAACCAGGGATCGAACCCACTTCCCCTGTATTGGCAGGTAGATTCTTAACCACTGGACCACCAGGGAAACTCTTAATTTTCTTAAAAACTTTTTTTATTTCTAATTTTTTGTTGAGGTATAATTGACAGAAATGTGTATCTTAAAACCACAATTCCTCCCTTTCCCACGATTATGAAGGAAATGTGAGCTTGTTCTAGAAAACTGAGAATAACATAGAAAATACAGAGATGAAAATCAGTCACCTGTAATCCCCTGCTCAGAGAGGATTACTGCTTACCTTTCAGTGTGCATTCTATCAGTCCTTGTTCTGGGGAGGATGTGGGATTTGGTTTGGTAACTTTTACTCAGATTCTAGGATTTATTTGTTCAGTTCAATTCAGTCACTCAGTCGTGTCCGACTCTTTGCGACCCCATGAACCGCAGCACACCAGGCCTCCCTGTCCATCACCAACTCCCGGAGTTTACTCAAACTCATGTCCATCGAGTCGGTGATGCCATCCAACCATCTCATCCTCTGTCGTCCCCTTCTCCTGCCTTCAGTCTTTCCGAGCATCAGGGTCTTTTCCAGTGAGTCGGTTCTTCGCATGAGGTGGCCAAAGCATTGGAGTTTCAGCTTCAGCATCAGTCCTTCCAATGAACACCCAGGACTGATCTCCTTTAGGATGGACTGGTTGGATCTCCTTGCAGTCCAAGGAACTCTCAAGAGTCTTTTCCAATGTTTGTAGTGTCATGTTTAGTATCTTTTGGGTCCAGTGTCTGACCTCTGAAAGTCCTTACAAACCCGAGTGTATTTCTAGCCATTTTCTCCTTTGTCAGTATCATTTTTAGATGCTGACCAGTCTCTCTGTCAAAGCTAGACTCAGGCACGTGGTTTCAGATCTGTGTTTTTTATATTGTATATATCCCTGTTCCATATTATGTCTTAGGTGGTTGTATTCCCTGACACAGTACTATTTTTAAAATCATTAAGGAATGTTCAAAGTAAAATTCACTATAAATGCCATTTCTTTTTTCCTCCAGTGTAGTTTCTTTAGTAATTTATCCTGAAATAATTTCAGTTTACAGAAAAGTTGCCAGAAGAGAATGAAGACTTCTCCTGTTCCTTCCCAACTGTTACCTTTGCTGCATGTACTCTGTCACCCACTTTCTGCATATCTGTTCCCATTTTCTTTAAAAAAAAAAAAAAGTATCTATTTTGGCTGTGCTGGGTCTTCTTGCTGCACACAAGCTTTCTCTGGTTGTAGTGAGTGGGGGCTGCTCTTTAGTTGTGGTGTGCAGACTTCTCGTTGTGGTGGTTTCTCTTGTTGCAGAGCACATGCTCTGGGCAAACGGGCTTAGTTGGTGGGATCTTCCCGGGCCAGGGATTGAACCCGTGTCCCCTGCATTGGTAGGTTGATTCTTACCCACCGTACCACCTGGGAAGTCCCATCCCCGTTTTCATTAGTCTCCTTGCAGACCTTCTGAGAGTAAGCTATGGACAAGTGTCCATTGCCCATCACAGGAATGCTGTTCTGGACTCTAACCCACCAGGCTCTTCTGTCCATGGGATTCTCCAGGCGAGAATCCTGGTATGGGTTTTCCTGCCCTCCTCCAGGGGATCCTTCCGAACCAGGGATGGAACCATGTCTCTTCTGTCTCCTGCATTGGCAGGCAGGTTCTTTACCACTAGCACCACCCGGGGAAGCCCAATAACCACGATACAACCCTGCAAATGAGAAAAACCAACATGGATGCAACACTTCGGTGCAATACAAACATGCCCTTCAGACTCCTCACAGTTTGCCTTGTTTCCTTGCTGGTCCGCTGCCTAGGGGAGACTCTGACTTGCATTCGGGACAGACATCGTGTTCTGTGGGACGACCCTCCTTTGGGGTCCATGCAGTGCTTCCTCACGACTAGGCTCTGCGCACACGTTGCTGATGGGAACATGGATGCTCTGGTCTGCTCAGCACCTCCCACCAGGGGGCATGTGATGTTGGCCTGGTCATGTTGGTGTCCTCCAGGTTTCTCCACTTTCATGTCACCCTTCTGCCCTATTTAACTGTTCAGTGGTTGCTGAGGAGGTATTCCAAGGTTATTGGTCACTGGGGCCTCATTCCTCACCAGACTTCTACCCACCAGCCTCAGCCTCCTCGGTGACTCTCTGGAACTTGTCACCTCTGTCACAGTTGCCAGCATTTTCCGCCTGGGCTTACTGGTTACCATCCTGCAGAAGGCAATGCTTGCCCTGCCCTCACGGTCACTTACTCATTCATCCACGAACTCAGACCTTCCTCTTTATTTGATGACTTGTATTCTGTTACGGTCCTTTTTTGTTTCGATGCCCAAATTGTCTGATTTGGCCACTGGGAGTCGCTTTGTGCATGTTTCTCTGGCCTTTGGCACGTTCTCAGCATTCAGCAAGCAGTCCCTTACTTCCTGGCAACATAGGATTGTCCTGGTCTCTGCCTGGAGTCAGCCTTGGCACCTTTTAGTAGAGGGCGGAATTTAGAAACCTGGATCTGGGTGTTCAGGTTCTCGTTGTGTGCTGGAGCGCTGTGGTTCCTGGGCCCGTGCAGCAGTCAGGCACACACACACCTACACACACAGCGGTACCCTCCTCTGCAGCTGCCTGTGCACGTTTGTTCACGGACTTTGCTGGCGGTCCAGTGGTTAAGACTCCGTGCTGCCAGTGCAGGGCGTGTGGGTTTGATCCCTGGTCAGGAACCAAGAGCCCTTATGCCCTGTGGTGCAGCCAAAAGAGAAAAAAACCAACAACCCCAGACCCCCCATTTGTGCAGACTATAACCTACAGTTCTAGACGTCTCTTTTTCTTTTTCACTCTCTTCTGACAGTGAAAAATCTGGCTCCCCTTACTGACAATATCGTTCACGAATTGTGTAATTTAGGTATTTGTTCAGTGTACCCAGCCTCCCAACCACATCAGCCGTCTCCTCCTCCCGCCGCTTCCCCGCCCTCCCCTGTCCCCGGCCGCCCTGTGTCCTTACCTTCAGGATCTCACTGCCTCTGCTTTGCCTGAAGGTCTCCAGCCTGTTTCTGTCCCACGTTGTTTCAAGGCTTTTAAAGCCATCTTTTAAATACCATCTCCAAATGGATATACTGGCTTGGACCTCTGCCCCAAATACCAGACTTCTGTTGAACTGGCTCCTCCATAACTTTGAAGGTCCCTGAAGACATTTCCACAGGACGCTTAAAACTGAACTCCCAATCTTCCCCTGCCTCCAAGACCTGATCTTCCAGCTTGCCCGTCTCAGTCAGCGACAGCTCAGCTCTCGTCCTTCCAGCGTCCAGAATGATTCCTGTGAAACTAGTCAAACTCCCCCCACCTCACCCCCAACCTAAAACCCTCCCTCGGCTTCCTGTCTCACTCAGCCAAGAGCTCAAAGCCTCACAGTGTCCCATCCGGTCACCCTTCTGGCCCTCGGTCTGGCCATTTCTCTTCAGGCAGGCTGGCCTTCTCACTTCGCCTCATCTTGCCTCTGTCTGAGTTTTGTCTTGGCTTGAGAGGCTTTCCCCCAGGATCCATGTGGCTTGCTCCTCGCCCCTTCACTCCTCTAGACCCAGATGTCACCTTCTCCAGGAGGCCTTCCCTGATTGCCTGATGTAAAATTGCAGTCCCCAACCTGCTTCTCCCCGTCACCCCCCTCCCCCCAGCTTTATTTTCTTTTTTATAATTATTATTATTTCTGGCTGCACTGGGTCTTTGCAGCTGCATGGATTTTTTTCTAGTAATGGAGAGTGAGGGCTACTTTCTGGCTGTGGTCCTTGGGCTTCTCGTTGTGGTGGCTTCTCTTGTCGCAGAGCGCGGGCTCCAGGTTCACAGGCTCAGTCGTTTTGGGTTTGGGGCTCTAGAGTACAGGCCGAGTAGTTGTGATGCATGGACTTAGTCATTGTATGGCATGCGGGCTGCACCAGGGATTGACTCCGTGTCTCCTGCGTTGGCAGGCAGATTCTTTACCACTGAGCCACCAGGGAAGCCCAGCATTATTTTATCACCCTTATCTCCGCTTGGCATATTATGTTCTTTCTTTCTGTCTCTCACTGCCAACCTGGATACAAGCTTCCCTCCCCTCCTAGGTCAGGAACTTTTGTCTATTTTGTTCACTGCTGTATTCACAGCACCGGGAACAGTGCCTGGCAAATAGGCCAAAAACCTATTCATTGTTAGTTGTAGAATACTTGTAAATACTGTCAGTTCTCATTTGTATAGTTACGTTGTACAGTCTCCATGAGAACCGAGCCATTACTCCTAGGAGAAGCATAGGGTTGGGTTCCTTTGAGCCTCTGGTCACAGGGTTTTGTCAACTAATTAGTCCATAACCTCGTTTTGTATGTGTTCTGTTTAAAGACACCTTGCTTAATTTATACTGTTGATTCATTAGCATTGAACTCACTGCCAACCCACGCTAGCATGCGTGTCTGAGCAACTCATATGGGACACATTTAAGGGCAACTCACAGCCTTCCTGTGCTCAGAAACTCTAGGCAGCACTTCAGCAACACCCCTGCGGACCGTTTCCAATACCGAATGACCAACGAAAGGCACAGAAATGTGGAAAACTGGGAGCTGGACGGACCACAGGAAGGACACGTGTTCACAGTGTGAACTATGGTCACCTTGTTTGACCTCAACTGGAAATGCACATTGGGGATCTCAAAACTTTTGTCACTTTGCATGTCTGCAAATGAGTGAAAAAATGCTGCAAGTTTTGGTTTTGGGGGTTATATCTGGAGTGAATTTGCAGCTGTGGAATCTGCAGATAATGAGGGTGGACAGTGTTTGTTGAATGAATGAACACATCAGTGAACTAACTCTGCCAGAGTACGAGCTGCCAGGGTTTTCAGAGTTCTACCTGCAAAAGTAACAGTCATCTTTATCCTTTGTAGGGAGAAGTCATAAAATGGTATGTGTTTTTGATATCCTTTTGGGGAGAACAGATTGGCCACAAGGTTAAGAAGATATGTGATTGGTAAGAAAAAGAAATATTTTATTTCATTTATTTCTTCATTCTCAATAACCTCTAGTTTTCCTTAAATAGGTCTCTGAAGAGTAACGCAGAGGCTGCTGGGCTTTGTTACGGGATTTCTTTGCTGTAATGCCATGTTTTCAAACATTTAATTTGTCATCTGCCTTGCCAGTGTAATACTTAAGATAATTTAAAAGTAAACACCATGTTTTTAACATTCCCAGATTTGATTTCTTTCTTGGGAATTAAGGCTCAAGATCAATCGGGGAAGGAATCCAGGTTTACTATTTGCTGCCTTTCTGTTGTTTTGAGCCACGAATCAGCATATCTATCCTCCTGGAGCTTATCCTTTGTCCAGCTCTCCACAGTTAGCTTCTTTGCCCTGGGGAAGGGGGCCTGACAAGTGGTGGAGAGGGTGGGCTCAGAGCGGCCTAATGAGGTGGTATAAGTAAAAGACTCTCGGATCACATGAACCTTCAAGATACGCAGAGCAGTGTCCCAGCAAGAATCAGTCTGTGACTTAGTTTTGTTACTAGTGGGGAAATAACCAGGCAAGAGTACTGGAGTGGGTGGCCATTTCCTTCTCCAGGGGATCTTCCTGACCCAGGGATTGAACCCAGGTCTCCCGTTTTGCAAGCAGACACTTCTACAGTCTGAGTCACCGTAGCACATGTCAAGGGCGAGTGCTAGGAATCCAGAACTTGTTGTTCCCTTGATTTTCTTTTTTTATTTCAAGTTTCTTGTTGAAAAAAAAAAAGGATTATAATTAGTTGCTTTAAACATTGTATTAATTTCAGCTGTTAACCCTTTGAGTCAGCCATATGTCTGCGTATAGCTCCTCCCTCTGGAACCTTCCTCCCACTGCCTCATCTCACCCCTCTGGGTCATCTGAGCTGAGCTGAGCACTGAGCTGAGATCCCTGAGTTACACAGCAGCTTCCCATGAGCTAGCTATTTTACACATGGTAGTGTATATATGTCAGTGCTACTGTCTCAGTTTGTCCCATCCTCTCCTTCCCTGCTGTGTCCAAAAGCCGTCTCTACATCTGTGTCTCTCATTTCTCTCTCCTTTTTTTTTAAGGTAATTATTGTATGTTCTTTGATTTATGTTATAGACTCCCAGCTTAAGGCTCATGGTGAATTTAGAATGTTGAAATTCGGAATGAGCTTTTAGGAATCATTGAGAGCAGAAATGGAATTTGGAGCCAAGAGAGAGTTGGCCAAATCTGTGGAATCCAGTGGACATTTGTCCAGTGTCCGTCTGCAGGGCCTTAGCACGGCTGGGAGCTTGCGTCTGCACCTTTTTCTCCCAGAGGGCTGCTTTTATTCTGGTTTAGAGGAAATATACCCAGACGGTGAATTAAATTTAGCTCTAGTTTTCTACATAGCTTCTTGTAGTTCTGACGGCTGCGGTGCTGTCTTGAATCCTGTCTTCTAGTTACCACTGCCACGTTTACCCTTACCCGAACACAGCCGAGGAGCGCAGAGAGATCCAGGAGGGACTGAATACCCGGATTCAAGATCTTTACACCGTGAGTGAACCAGAAACTTACCTCCTTATCTGACGGTTTGTGGAACATTTACACATCCATTTAGTTTCTTTTTTTAATATGGAAAATTTTGGTTGTGGACAAATCAAGATGTTTTAGGGGGACTGGAATGTCACCTCCTTCCTCTTCGTGGGAGTTTCATTTTAGCAGCCTGTTAGAAACCTAGATGGTTTCTAAATGATAAGCCTTTAAAAAAAAAAAAAAAGTCTGGTTATCTTTGATCTGTTGAAGTGTAATTCTTCATCAGACAGGATAAGTGAGCCCCAAGTAAAGTGCTGGCTGTAATTTTACCAGCACTGTTTTAAGTCATCTGTCTGCTTAGATGTGCACTCTGACCCATCTGAGTGAAAGAGCGTTTCTTGGCAGAATGGGATGGGATTTGGTAGCTCTTGGCGTTGACAGGAAGTGGGGTGAGGCTGTAGTGGGTAAGAACTAGGGACTTAGGTCTCTGGGCCCAGCCAGGCCATCATGCTGCCCCGGGGACCACGACATCTCACTGTTTCCTGTGCCCTGAGCTCCAGGCCTAGAGGAGAAGGACTGAACTTCCTTAACTGTCCCCAGAGAGGCCGGTGCCTGGAATCTCCCCAGAGGAGGTCCCCCTAGAGGAGGTCAGGTGCCCGGCAGATGCTCAGCTGATATCCCATGTGTTTGTCCTCACCCAGGTGCTTCACAAAACCGAGGACTATTTAAGGCAAGTGCTGTGTAAAGCTGCCGAATCAGTCTACAGCCGAGTGATCCAGGTGAAGAAGATGAAAGCCATTTACCACATGCTGAACATGTGCAGCTTCGATGTGACCAATAAGTGCCTCATTGCAGAGGTCTGGTGTCCTGAGGCTGAGGGAGATGAGATAGACAGGATAGGACACCATGTTGATGCTTTTGAACTGAAATTGCAGAGTCAGTCACTGGAAGCTCTGTGCACATGCATTCTTTTTTTCTTAATTGAAGTTTAGTTGCTTCACAGTGTTTTCATGTGTACAGCAAAGTGATTTGCACAGGCTTTTTAAAACAAGCTTTTCATGTTATATTGGAATATAACCGATTAACAATGCTGTGATGGTTTCAGGTGGACAGCAAGGAGACTCAGCCATACCTATACAGACATCCATTCTCCCGTAAATCCCCCTCCTGTCCAGGCTGCCACAGAACATTGAGCAGATCCCTGTGCTGTACAGTAGGTCCTTGTTGGTTATCCACTTAAATACAGCAGTTGCAGTGGCATTTTTAATTTGTTTGAGTAAGTAGTTCAGTGACATGTTTTAAAACTCAAAAAAATATTAAGAAATATTAACCAGTGAAGGGACTTCCTCTTACCCAAAGTCTTAGTTTTGTTCAGTTCCCCTGCTCAAAGACAACCCTTGTTTTAGTTTTATTATGTCTTTGAGTTTCTTAATCATAGATAAACAAATAGGAATACATTAAAGGGGAGAATTCCCTTCCTTCACAGTAGATTGTGTGCTATTTATACTTTCTTTTCTTTTAAGAAGACTTCCCTGTTTTTATAGCTGTTTAATATCCTGCCAGAATGGATGTTACATGGTTTATGGAACCTAGTCCCTGGTCATATAGGTGCTTTCCAACTTTACAAATACTGCCAGCACAGAGACTAACTCTTGACCTTTGACAGTTCATACACACAAATTTGCCTCTGGGTAAATTCCCAGGGTGGAATTGCTGGATCAGTTTTGCCAGATACTTGCCAGATGAACGCAACCAAATGTTGCATTTCCCCTATTTTAAGTGAAGGTGAATATCTTTCTTTCATTTAAAAAAAAATAATTCATTTATTTTATTTTTGACTGTGCTGGATCTTTGTTGCTGCTCTTGGCCTTTCCCTAGTTGCAGCGAGTGGGGGCCACTCTCTAATTGTGGTGTGTTTTTCTAGTTGCAGAGCATGAGCTTAGTTGCCCCTAGGCATGTGGTATCTTCCCAGACCAGGGATCAAACCCAGGTCCCCTGCATTGGCAGGTGGATTCTTAACCACTGGACCACTGGGGAAGTCCTGAATCTCTGTTTAAGAGCCTTTGACTTTTCACTTTCTGGTGAGCACTCTGTTCACATGCTTTGCCCATTTTCCACTTGGGGGCTGGTCCTTTTCTTACTAATTTCCTTAGCTCGTTGTCTGTGATACAAGAGCAAATATTCTCCCCCATTCTGTCCCTTGTCTTACGGTGTTTCTTTCTGTTTGTTTGCCTTGGTCGTGTGGGAGTTTTTGGTTAACTATCTTGGTTGAACCCATTAATCTTAGTTCCTGTGATCTCTGAACTTTGAATGATAGGTTATTCTCACTCTAGGACTATGGGCTCAGTCTCCCATGCTGCTGTGTGAATTTTTTAATGGGGTATAAGTGTTTTATAATGTTGTGTTAGTTCTGCTATACAAGAGTTTTTTCTGGGTCAGAACTTAAGTTCTTTACTGAAAAGAACAGGTTTACATACTTCAATAGACAAACATGTTTTCTTATGAGCTTTTGCTTAATCACCTTGTTTCTTTACATAATTCTGTGATGGTACAAAAACATCAAAATAATGATGGCATAAAAATAGTTATTTTGGAGTATGGAGCATCTGTTGTATTTATCTGTTTAAAGTTCTAGATGATTCTTATTTATTGAGGTAGCATCAGTTTTGAGAGACATGACCGATATGTCTAGTGCATATGTGTGTATATAAGCAGCCCCAGGGTTGCCAATATAAAACTGGAATTTAGTGGTTTATCCGTCTAGAGTGGTCATGTATGGATGCCAGAGTTGGACTATAAAGAAGGCTGAGTGCCAAAGAATTGATGCTTTTGAACTGTGATGTTGGAGAAGACTCTTGAGAGTCCCTTGGACTTCAAGGAGATCCAGCCAGTCCATCCTAAAGGAGATCAGTCCTGGGTGTTCATTGGAAGGACTGATGTTGAAGCTGAAACTCCAGTACTTTGGCCGCCTGATGTGAAGAGCTGACTCATTTGAAAAGACCCTGATGCTGGGAAAGATGGAGGGTAGAAGGAGAAGGGGACGACAGAGGATGAGATGATTGGTTGGCATTACCGACTCAATGGACATGGGTTTGGGTGGACTCCAGGAGTTGGTGATGGACAGGGAGGCCTGGCGTGCTGCGGTTCACGGGGTCTCAAAGAGTCAGACACGACTGAGGAACTGAACTGAACTCCTAAATATGTTCAAGAGAAATTTAGAGACAGCTACAGTATTACCTAATAAAAATGAAATATAGGGAAGAATAAATCAGAATGCCACTATGGCAGCATTTTGGTTTGTTTTTGTTATACTCACCACTTCCCACCACTAGCCTTGCTAGATTCTTCCTTCTGTAAGACCACAACCCCCAGGCGTGCCCCGTCTCACCCCACCAGGAGCTTTCCTCAGTTCCTCCTGTCACTCCTGCTATACTTGAACTCTTGGCAGGGGGTGATCAGTACTTCCCCATGTGGCCCTGCACAGGGCCTTGTCATAGCAGGCCACCAAGATTTGTTGAAAGAGCTCTTGGGTGGTAACTTTTCCCTTCTTTTTTTTTTTCATGTGAAAGAGAGAGAGCGGTGGTACGATCCCCTCATTCATGAACACAATCCCAACAAAAGAAACTCCCCCGACCCTGATCCGCACCAACAAATTCACTGAGGGGTTTCAGAACATCGTGGATGCCTACGGGGTCGGGAGCTACCAAGAAGTGAACCCAGGTTGGAAGCCTGAATTTGCCAGTCTTTCTATTTTATACATTCTATACATCACTGTTGCTTTTTTCCCCCATAAGAATGTAATAGATACTTGGAAAAATAGTCTCACTAGTAACTGTTTTGTTATTTAGTATAAGCTGTTTTGTTTTTGAATGTACCTGGCAGCATATGGAATCATACTTACCCCACCTGGGGATTAAACCCGTGCCCCTGCATTGGAAGCATGCAGTCTTAATCACTGGACCACCAGGGAAGTCCCTGAAGTGTTCTTTTTAACCTGTCAATTCTCTCCTGAAAATTTGGGAGAAAGTCAAGATCATTATATGGGGTCGTGTTTGCATTAACTAGAAATTTCTGCCTCTGCTGCCAATCAGAAATCTCTTGCATTTCTTGCAGCTCTCTTCACCATCATCACTTTCCCCTTTTTATTTGCCGTGATGTTTGGAGACTTTGGACATGGTTTTGTGATGTTCTTATTTGCCCTCCTGTTGGTGTTAAACGAAAATCATCCCAGACTAAATCAGTCACAAGAGGTAAAAACATAAACCCTCCAGCTCATTATCTCCAGTGAGGTAGCATTAGTAGTGATTACCTTCTGTTTGACTAGAAAAAGACATTTAAAAATGTTTCATTTTTGGCGATAACCGTAACCCACCTGACAGACCTAGGTAGGGTGGGTCTTCATTCTTGTGTGATGGGAAGTTCCGTGCCATGAACTTGAATGGATCTTAGTTGCAGCTTGCGGGATCTTTAGTTGCAGCATGCAAACTCTTAGTTGCAGCATGTGGGATCTAGTTCCCTGACCAGGGATCAAACCCGGGTCCCTTGCATTGAGAGTGCAAAGTCTTAGCCACTGGACTGCCAGGGAAGTCCCCATGGGCTTGATTGTGAGCAGCCTGGAGAGGAGCAGTTAAGAATGTGCCCGGACTAACTCCATCACTTCAGCTCCTGTTCCCCATGGTCCTGTCTCACTCACCACACTTTGCTCCCCACAGATCATGCGGATGTTCTTCAATGGTCGCTATATCCTCCTGCTGATGGGGCTGTTCTCCGTGTACACGGGCCTCATCTACAACGACTGCTTTTCCAAGTCAGTCAACCTCTTTGGCTCCAGGTGGAACGTGTCTGCCATGTACAGCTCCAGTCACAGCCCGGAGGAGCAGAAGAAGATGGTGCTTTGGAAGTGAGTGTCTGCCTGGCTGCCAGATGGTGACTGAGGTGGAGAGCATCGCTCCGAGGCTCTCCCCATCACAGGAGGCCCTCACCCTTCTCTTGTGTTACAGTGACAGCATCGTCAGGCACCACAGCGTGTTGCAGTTGGATCCCAGTGTCCCCGGAGTGTTCCGAGGCCCTTACCCTTTTGGCATTGATCCTGTGAGTATACTCCTCCCCTTTCTATCTCGAGTTTCTCACTAGTACCGCCTAATTTTCCAATGAAAAATGTTTTTAGTTTTGACCACTCCATGTGGCCTATTCCCTTAGGAGCTAAGGTCAGGGCCTTAGTTCCCTGACCAGGGATGCAGCACTGGTCCTTAGCAGTAGGACCTCAGAGTCCTGATCATTGGACCACCAGGAATTCCTCGGATCACCTGCCTTCAACTGTCACAGAGGTTTCACAGACTGTCGAACACAGTTCAGGTGGTTTTACCCAAGGGATTGGTTCTCGGGGGGTTTCTGCCTGGACGACAGAGGCTCACCGTGTGTCCCAAGTCAGGCTGGTGTGCAGATGAAGCTGACAGTCCATTTGAGAAGCCAGGATCAGCGCCTGAGTACAGGTCCACGGAGAGCTGGGGTTACTGTCTGTCCTACTTCTTGACCCCCTTTATTCTAGTGAAAAGTGCTGCTGCTTCCATTTCTTCTTTGTGCACATTCATTGTTTTTTTAATCTTTTGTTTTAGAAAGAAAGAGTGTGGAATTTTAGAATGGGAAAGGGAGCTTAAGCTTATCATGGTGCTTATTGAGGTGGTTGTTTGAAAGGGGAAAAGTGTGGGGAGAAGGAAAGAGCGGCAGTGCTCCGGGGCTGGGGCTGTCCCCACCCACCCGCCCCGTCTTGGGGCTTGGCAGGCGGCTGGCCTATGAGGCTCAGGCAGCCTCTCTCAAGACTCTTGAGGAATTCTTCTTGAGGAATCTCAGCCTTAGAAGAGTTTAGAAACTACCCCAAGGGACTTCGTTGGTGGTCCAGTGTCTCAGACTCTGCCATCCTGGTACAGGGGACCTGGGTTCAATCCCTGATCAGGGCAGTAGATCTCACATGCCACAACTAAGAGTTCACATGCCACAAGTAAAGATCCTGCATACTGCAGCTAAAACTGGTCGCAGCCAAATAAATAAAGCTATGTCAAAATTGGTTTGGAGGGAGGTGATACAGTAATGAAAAAAACTCACTGACAGAAGTCTCATCCCCTAATCTGAGCTCTCCACGGTAAGCTCTCTCCTAATTGTTTATTCTTGTCTCTAAACATAATTTATATAATTGAATATTGTTGCCTCAAGTCTTAATATGATAGGAAACTTGAAGAAGCTTGACCACGGTTTTCTTAAGGAATAGCACTTTTATCCTAAGGCAGTTGAAGGAAGTTAAAGTTTTCTTCTGGTGTTTCGTTTTGTCTTTAGATTTGGAACTTGGCCACGAATCGTCTCACTTTTCTAAACTCTTTCAAAATGAAGATGTCTGTGATTTTAGGGATTACTCACATGACTTTCGGAGTCATTCTGGGAATATTTAACCACTTGTAAGTACAGATTTTTTTTAAACCAATATTCATAAGCCAAGTTTTTGGTATTAATATTTCTTAAATTTTGCTTGATGACAGACTGCCTAGATCTTAAAGGCAGCCAGTATGGGGGTATGTTGTATTCATATGATCCTGTTTTGATGAGCAGTTTTTTGGCAGCTTCTTTGATTCAGCAAATATTTGTTGAGTGTATAGAATGTGCCTGGCACTGTTAGGGGTTGAACAGTGAGATCAGAAAAAAGTTTTCACCCTCATGGATTTTTATGTTCAGGTGAGGGAGACATGCAACATGTTCATTCACCTTTATTTCCAGAGGTGATTTTTGTCATATTCTTTTTTATTTTATAAATCAAAAACTTTTGGTTTGTTTCTTACAGATGGAATATTAGGAGTAAGAGATGATGTCTTTTTTTTTTTTTTCTAATTGATAGGGAAATACTAGTCTTTTCTCCTGTCCTCACATCTTTTTGTGATTATATCTGGATCATAACACAGATGATGTGATTCTGAGATAGGCTTTGTCACAGAGAATTTAAGGTTAATTTACTCTTTACTTTTTATCTTGGTCCAGCTGCTTGCTGCCGCTAAGACTCTATGTAGCCAGACAAATAAATGTTAAAACATTTGTTCATGAGTTAATCAGTTCTGTTTTTTGCCATAGGCATTTCAGGAAGAAGTTCAATATTTATCTGGTTTCCATACCAGAACTGCTGTTCATGCTCTGCATCTTTGGATATCTTATATTTATGATCATCTATAAGTGGCTGGTTTTTTCAGCTGAAACCTCCAGAACTGCTCCTAGCATTCTGATTGAATTTATCAGCATGTTTTTATTCCTGGCTAGTGACACAAGTGGTTTATACCCAGGGCAGGTAAACAGTCTTGTTTTTTTTCTTCCCCCATTCTTAGGAATTCAAAGGAAGTCCTCATGAGAGCCTTTTTGTTTCCATCAGTAGAATGATTAAGGTGCTTCCCAAGGCCTCCCTGGCACTGAGGGAGGCTTTCTGTTTCTCTCTGTTATCACAGGGGGGTGTCATTCGGCTGTGAGTGCTATCTCCGGGGCTCTGGTCAGACTAATCCAAACTTGCTGCCACTCCTTAGCTGTCAAAAGTGGTGGGGAAAGAATGTGTTACTGGAGGGTTTCCGAGTACTGCTTATCTATCTGTCTTGCCAGTTTTTTTCTTTTTAAATTTTATTTATTTATTTATATTTAAATAATACCACTGAGCCTCCAGGGGAAGCCCCTTTGGTTTCTTTAAAATCAATCCCTGATTCAGCCAGGCTTTCAGAGAACTGGCCTTTGGACCATGGCCCAAGGTCTTCTCCAGAACTGACTTTTCTATATAGATGCACATTTGTGTGATGCCACCCATATCAGCTATGAGTTTAAGAAACAGAAGGTGAAGACCCTCTGACAGATATGATTTAGCTTGCGTTTATTGTATGTTCATTGCTAATAGACGTTGTACCTGATTGTCACTAGTGTCAGTGTGCCGGTGACCCTGTGGGTACGTCTTTGCGTCTCATCTGGCCCCTCCCCGTCTGTACCAACAGGAGCACATCCAGAGGCTGCTGCTGGCCATCACGGTGTTGTCAGTTCCCGTGCTTTTCTTGGGAAAACCACTCTTCCTGCTGTGGCTACACAAGGGGCGCAGTTGTCTCGGGGTCGGCAGGGTAAGTGTGAGTTCGGATGCACGTTTGTCGATGGTGAGCAAAGTCTGATTTTAGCTGTGAAAAGTTTTGTAAGGAAAACACCTTCCGGGAATTCCAGCGGCTGAGACTCCATGCTTCCTCTGCGGCGGGCATTGGTTCAATCCCCAATCGGGGAACTGAGGTCCTGCTTGCTGTGCAGTACAGCCAAAGAAAGAAAGAAATAGATTTGGAAAAAAACAAAACACCTTCCATGGGATCCAGGCTCTGATTTAAAAGCTACAGCTTCGCTCACTGAGCACTCTGGTGTTGGCTGTTCTGCAGAGGCGTGGTGTCAGGAACCTGCACATCTGGGCATGGGAAACTCCTCCCCCGTTAATGAACCCCAAACCTAGCAGGAGGCTGAACTGAAATCTTTCAGTGATGCTGGTTCTAACTGAAGTGTTTTTGTTCCTTTTTCTTGCCTCTTCATTTTTTAAGGTGCTTTTTTAATTTAAGTAACATAATTAAAGAAAATGTGGGAAATACAGAAAATAGTGCCTTGAAGTTTTCCTATACAGTTATAAACAGTGTTAACCATTTGTTGAGTTTGTTTTCAGACTGTTTTCTTGTTTGTCTAGTTTCTCTTTTTGTTTGTTTTTTAAAAAAATTCTGGGGCTGGGGTGGGGGAAATATTGTGATAAAATATACGTGATGTAAATTTTCCGTCTTACCCGGTTTTAGGTGCACAGTGTACATCTAAAGTACACATAGGCATTAAGTATTTCACACTGTGCATCCAACCTCCCCCCCGTCTCCAGAACTCTTCCATCTTCCTAAACTGAGACTTCATATCCATTAACACTAGCTCCCCATTTCATCTCGCCCCAGCCCTTGGCAACTACCCTTCTACTTTACGTGTGTACGAATTTGACTGCTTTAGGTATCTCATACAAGTGGAATCAGGTAACGTTCTCCTTTTATGACTGACTTATTTTACTTAGCATAATGTCCTCAAGATTCATCCATGTTGTAATGTGTGTGTGAATTTCCTTCCTGGGAATTCCCTGGCAGTCCAGCAGTTGGGACTGTGTGTGCTCACTGCTGAGACTTGCCTGGGTACAATCCCTGGTTGAGGAACTTAAGATCCTACAAGCTATGTGGTGCCAAAAAATAAAAAAGGAAGAAAGAGAATTTCCTTCCTTTTTTTCCCCCCACTTTTTGACTGCACTCCATAGTATGTGGGATCTTTGTTCCATGACTAGGGATTGAACCTGTACCCCTTGCATTGGAAGATGGAGTCTTATCCACCAGACCACCACGGAGGTCCCTTCCTTCCTTTTTAAGGCTGAATAATATTCCATTCTGTGGATAGACTACATTTTGCTTCTCAGTTCATCCATGAATGGGCACTTGGGTTGTTTTCACCTTTAAGCTGCTATTAACAATGCTGCTCTGAACATGGGTATATAAATATCTATTGGAGTCTTCAGCCTTCAGTTCTTTTGGGTATATACTAGAAATGATCATTCTTTGTTTGATGTTTTGGGGAGCCACTGAACTGTTCCACAGTGGCTACACCATTTTACGTTCCCATCAGCAATGCACAAGAGTTCTTCCACACCCTAATCAACATTTACTTATTCTCTGCTTTTTTTTACAACAGCCATCCTAGTAGGTATAATACAGCCATCCTAGTAGGTATAATATGCTCATTTTCTTTTAAAGGGCTTTTTAGTCCTGAAGAGCTGAATCTTTAACAGAATTGAAGGGGTTCTGACTTGGATGTTGTCACAACCTTGTGATTTTAAAGGCACTGACTCTGTTTTCTTTGGGTTGTTTTTAGAGTGGCTACACACTTGTAAGGAAAGATAGCGAGGAGGAAATTTCTTTGCTGGGAGGCCAAGACATAGAAGAGGGGAACAACCAAATGGAAGATGGATGCAGAGAAGTGATGTGTGAAGAGGTAACCTTTTCAGTTACTGTTGATGTGAGGAGTCAGATTTGCACAGAGATGATCGTCACAACAAGAGTGATAAGAATCACCTTTTTTTTTTTAAATTAATTTTTACTGGAGTCTAGTTGACTTACTGTGTTAATTTCAGGTATACAGCAAAGTGAATCAGTTATACATACATGTATCAGTTCAGTTCAGTCGCTCAGTCGTGTCTGACACTTTGCGACCTCATGGACTGCAGCACACCAGGCTTCCCTGTCCATCACCAGCTCCCAGAGTTTCTCAAACTCGTGTCCATCAAGTCAGTGATGCCATCCAACCTCTCGTCCTCTGTTGTCCCCTTCTCATCCTGCCTTCAACCTTTCCTAGCATCAGGGTCTTTTCCAGTGAGTCAGCTCTTTGCATCAGGTGGCCAAAATATTGGAGTTTCAGCTTCAGCATCAGTCTTTCCAGTGAATATTCAGAACTGATTTCCTTTAGGATTGACTGGTTTGATCTCCTTGCAGTCCAAGGACTCTCAAGAGTCTTCTCAAAAACCACAGTTCAAAAGCATCAGTTCTTGGGTTTATATATGTGTGTGTGTATGTATGTGTTTATATGTATATATAAACACATGTGTATATACATACACACATATATATGTATATATATATATATATACATACACATATATATATATGTATATATATATACACACACACACAAGCTTTCTTTGTATATGTCCATTTAGACTATTTTCCCGTATAGGTCATCACAGAGTACTGAGTTGAGTTCCCTGTGGTATACGGGAGGTCCTTATTAGTCGTCTGTTTTGTATATAGTAATGTGTATGTGTCAATCCCAGTATCCCAGTTTATCCCTTCCCCCACTGTCCCTTGGTAACCATACATTTGTTTTCTATATCTGTGACTCTGTTTCTGTTCATTGATAGCAATCATCTTAAACATCAAAACTCAAAGCAAAACAACCGTTCCTCAAAGCTTTCCAAATACTATTCTCTTCATAGAATTGTCATAAGGATTTGGGGTTAACATTTAGTGGTTCTCAGTCTTACAATGGGATTTATAGCATTAATATCACAAGTTGTGATATTAAATGACTTAAGGTGTTGTGAACATTGCTTTCAGAAGATTCTCATCTCCATGAGAACTTTTCCGTAGTTGTAAGAAAGAGACCCTGTTCACACTGGCTTCCGGGGGAGTCTGCTGGCTCAGATCAGGACGAGGGGAGAGGGGGCCTCAGGCTGGTGAGGCTCTGCTTGGGTTTTCTTCACAAGTTTGCTTCACATTCTGAAGCCAGCTGGCCCCACGATGTTGGAACTGGAGCCACAGCGAGCACTGAGCTCATTTTCTTCAGTCTTTCAATCAGAGAAAAACACTGTTACCTGCTTGTTACCACGAGGAAGAAGCCCAAGGAAGTGCTGTGATCGGCCTGGCTGGCGTCACTCGCCATCCCCAGACCAGTGACTCCTGTAGTCTGCACACATACACATTACTATATACAAAACAGACGACTAATAAGGACCTCCCGTATACCACAGGGAACTCAACTCAGTACTCTGTGATGACCTATATGGGAAAATAGTCTAAATGGACATATACAAAGAAAGCTTGTGTGTGTGTGTGTATATATATATACATATATATATGTGTGTATGTATATACACATGTGTTTATATATACATATAAACACATACATACACACACACATATATAAACCCAAGAACTGATGATTTTGAACTGTGGTTTTTGAGAAGACTCTTGAGAGTCCTTGGACTGCACAGGCTGCCACAACCTTACACTCGGGGGCTTAAACTGAAGAAATTTATTTCTCATGGTTTTGGAGGCCAGATGTCCAAGGTCAGGGTGTTGGCAGAGTCAGTTTCTCCTGGGGCTGCCCTCTGTGGCTGTGTCCCCACATGGCCTTACTGCTGTGCATGCATCTCTTGTTGTCTCTTAAGACATCAGTCCTACTGGATCAGATCCCAACCTTATGACCTCATTTAACCCTAATTACCTCCTTAAAGGCCCCATCTCCAAACATACTCATGTTGGGGATTAGGGCTTCAATGTACAACTTTTGGAGGGGACATATTTTAGCTAATAACGACTGGCTGTGGATACAGGGTGAGATGGGAGAAGAAGCATTTCCTCCCAAGGAAGGGAAGCACAGTCCTGGTGGACAGAACCAGCATGTCTGCTGCTCTTGTCTGCTTTAGTTTCTTGGAAACTTTTTTGGCTGTTCAATGAGGACTAAAAAGATTTCTTACAGTCAGCCTTTTGTAATTATTATGTAATTTTGTGCTTTAATTTGAGACAATAATTAACTTTCTAAGGTCATAAAAAAACAAAAAGCAGACCTAGAAGAACGTGAGAGGCATCTTGCCCAGTGTTCTACAGTCTTTTCACTTTTAGGGACTCTTTTTATAATTTCTCGTTCTCAGACTCATATTAAGATGCTCTTATTCATTAAACACATGTACATTCACAATCTTCTAATCTTGTGGTTGGTGGATGTCTGGTTTTTCATGATACATTTTATAATTACTAAGAGTAGCTCAAGAACCTCATTGGGCTGTCTGAGGGCCATGGCGGTTGTGGCATCAGAGTTCCAGTCCAGCACCCTCAGTTTACCTGTGGGGTCACATCCTGGGGACAGGGGAGTGGGAGCTCCATAGATCGAAAGCTGGGTAGTGGCAGAGCTGTGAGCAGAACTCAGATCTCATGAGTCCCTGTCCCTCACACTCCAGCACTCCTCAGCAGCATTCCAGAAGCCAGTCCTGTCACTGTCATGCATGTCATGTACAGAATCTAACCCAGGTTATGTCATCTCTTGTAGTTTGATTTTGGAGAAATATTAATGACCCAAGTAATTCATTCCATCGAGTACTGTCTGGGATGCATCTCCAACACTGCTTCGTACCTGAGGCTCTGGGCACTCAGTTTGGCTCACGCACGTAAGTTTCTGCTTTGACCTGCAGTTCCCAAACTCTGGGCCAAGACACCCCTCAGCACCTCAGTTAACTCATGGGGGCACTGTGGGACACTAAAAATTTTTGATGGAAAGGGCACCATCTACAATACTGTGAATGGGGACGGTTAGGTTGTTTGGACTTGACTACACTGCCCTGGGCTCCTGGGTATTTCTTTTGACTTCAGGGTGCTGTGGGAAAAAATCACTGGGACACGAGTTGTTTTGAGGACTGAGAAGGCTTAGGAACTTCTGGCATAAGCATTTTACTCCCTCTGCTCTGACCATTATTGTTTTTGTTTTTACTGTTATTTTAATTCAGCTCTGCCTCACCAAGTATGACGGTCTAGTTATGTCAAGCAAGTCCTGAAACAATGCTGATGAATAGTTTTGATTACAGACAGTCCTCCTTTTGCATGCTCTGGTGATGCATGGATTTCAGTTACCTCCATTTACTTAAGTCTCACCAGCTGCCCAAAAGCACGATTGAAATTTCAGTTTCTACAATAAAATCTGAGTATATGGGTACAAAACGCAGGCTTCACTGCTGGCCTTTTAGCCTACAAGTCACTGCGTAAATAATACACATGCACATTATGACCAGAGACCAGTGACATCACTTTTTCAGAGCCCGTTGTGATTGGTCCCTGTGTTTTTTCATTTTCTTATGCATTTATAAACAAGAATAAGAGAATGTTTTCATGTTTTGATAATTTTGAAAGGTCCCAGAACAACTGTCCTTTTCCCCATTGGTCCCTGAACCTGCTGCTCAGTTCATGCCCAGACAGTAAAGCGCATGGTGGTGTTGCCTCCTTGTAGGCCAGTGGTAAACTTACCTGGCATTTAAAAATGGATCACTGAACTGAGGGAATTGGCCAACAAAGATGAAAAAATGCACCAGAGAAACAAATAGTGATACGTTGGAAGTGAAATGCAAACGGAATGTAACAGGAGCTTAGGAGCTGATGTGGGGGTGGTGACTGCCGCTGTGCTAGAGGTGAAACTTGCAGCCAGAGGAACCTAGTAACGTACGGAAGATGCTGGTGTCCCGGAAGTGATGCCGCAGAAGCTCTAGGAGGTATTTATAACCAAGAATAAGAGAGTGTTTTAATGTTTTGACAGTAATTTTCAAAGGTCCCAGAACAACTGTCCCATTTTCCCCATTGACCATTAAGGATGCTTTCGATGGTCACTGTTCTGCCCCTGCTCCATTGTGCAAAGACTATCTGTACTTGTGAAAATCACCAGGTGACAGAGGTGTTCTTTTGCTGGTTGGTACACTGATATTTTTATTTTTTTAGAATATTTGCTTTTGCTTTCTAGAGTTTTCTTTTGTTTTTAATATTTACTTGTTTATGGCTGTGTCAGATCTTCGTTGGAGCACGTGGGATCTTAGTTCCCTGATCAGGGATCGAACCCACCTCCCCTGTGTTGGAAGGCAGGTTCTTAACCACTGGGCCACCAGGGAAGTCCCTGATATTTTTATAAGCATAGCCACAAGTTGAGACTTTTCTGGTTGGAGGGGATGCTGTGGTCCACCATCTTCTATTACAGAGGAGGAGACTAAGGCCCAGTGAGGTTTGGTGCTGGCGCTGGATCACCCGCCTGATCAGTTAGTGGCCGAGTCAGGACTGATGCCCAGCTTCCCACTGCCTGATCCAGGACTGCACTGGGCCTGAGCCAGCCAGACCCCCATCTGGGTCAAGATCTCTCCTTGGCAGGCAGGCAGACCTCTGATTTCTCTGGAATGTCAAGTCACCCTCCACATTTGAGACGATCAGTTTGCTCACGTAATTTTTACATGAGGAGCAGATTATATCTTTTACGGGTGTGTATTTATTTTAGGGATAACAATTCAAAATTTCTCAGAAGGAAACTCAGTCTAGCTAGCTAAATGGCAGTGACTCACTGAAGGTCTACAGAGGTTAACTCTGCAAAATGTTTCCCACGCAGAGTTGTCTGAGGTCCTGTGGGCCATGCTGATGCACGTCGGCCTCCGGGTAGACACAACCTACGGGGTCTTGGTGCTGCTCCCAGTGATTGCTCTCTTTGCAGTATTGACAATTTTCATCCTTTTGATCATGGAAGGGCTTTCTGCATTTCTTCATGCCATCCGCCTCCACTGGTGAGTTTGGAATTAAGCTTCAGAACTGTTACTTAAGACAGTAACACCCCCCCCAATATATATACACATAGAACATTTCCAGTAATATGTATGTGTACATACATTATTTAGGCTAGTTCTTTCCTTCCCAGTATTGAGATCTGTATTCTGATCCTCTGAGTTAAAATTCTGTTTTGTTTCTGAGCTGTTGTCCCTGACATGTAAAAACCAAGTTTATGCTTGATGAATAATTATGTGTATTTAATATTTTCAACTCACTTTGGGTCTGACAGTTTACTTTATCTCACTGTAAGCCATATTTCTTAATGTTTTACATTATATATCAGATTACTTGTCTGTGTGTCCAGTTACGAGGAGAGAGAGGTTCCTAATTCTTGTGTGAATGTCCATAGAGTGGGAGGTAACATGAGGTGTCAGCATTTCCTTCATGAGAAAGCCAACAAAGGGTCAGTGTGTGCATGTATTTTATCTCAGTAAAATGTTTGTGTCAAGAGCATATATGGAATGAAGCACGTTTGGAAGTACAGAAACTTTTTTTTAACTTAGTATATGTTTTAAGAAATGTAGGAAATGTTATTCAGAATCTTTCATTAATACTTTTTTTTTTCTTTTTAGGGTAGAATTTCAGAACAAATTCTACATTGGTGCAGGCACCAAATTTGTTCCTTTCTCATTCAGATTACTTTCTTCGAAGTTCAGTGATGACCTGGCGTGATCATATTGCAGTATCCAACAAGCTTTCAGATTTATGGAGAATTATCATGTTGTAGAATTCCTTATGTTAAATTGATGATAGGAAAAATTCCATCTTCATTAATTGCCTTATGAGATAGCCAAATCTGTAAGATATACCTCTTCCTCACATGTTAAATATTTTGTAAACTTTCTCAATTTCAGATATATAAATTTCTTTCAGTTTTTATGATGAGCAAATGTAAGTTCATGCAAAAGTTATGTTATGGTTATTTTTTAAAAATACAGGCGTGGGAGAGAGAAGCTAATTTTGAATGGCGAATTGAAAATAGTCTTAGATATTTGATTCCTTTTCATTTTATTAAAAAAAAAAAAGCCAGACTTATTCTGTCATCTGAAGTTGTCAGATGATATTTTCCAACAGCTGAAGCTAAGTAGTTTAAAAAAAATCTAATGACAGACAACAGAAAATTCACATTTATTATATTTTGCTTAATTAAAAGTATACAAACTTTTTTATTGTATGCTATCTAGAATTACAAGTAGAATTGTTTCTACAGTTTTGTCTTGTTTTAGTAATTGGAGAAAATGGGATAAAATAACATGCAACAAAATGGTTATCCCACTTGTATATTTTTTTAAAGACTTTAATCCTGTTATCCTTACATAAAACCAATTATGATAATTGTATATTTGAGAAGATAAACTGTGTACTGAGCCTTAAACTCCAGTGTGACTTTAGAAGACATAATATGGATATGATCTGAATTCAGTTGGCTGATGTTCCTGAACCAAAAAGGGTTTATACTGAGTGAAGAAGGAAAGGTAAAAAGTAGATTTTGTATATTTTTATAATGAAATATAAATGAAGATTTTTACCATGAAGAGGTCACACCTATCCTTCAGAACAGTATAATTATAAATGTTCCACTTTCAGACTAATTCTAAATAAATGTCTGATAAAGGCACTTAGAGTTAAACTTTTAAAAGCTACTACAATCAGTTGAAAACCAATTCTTACTAAGCCATTAATATATAATCTTCAGTTTAAATTCATCTTTTCACTTGACATTTGAGTCAGTCCAGTTGAACATTTTTATCTGTCCTGTGTTCTTATAAGTTATGTTCATTTTTCATATTTTACTGTAATGGGTTTTAGATATTTATTTTCAAAAAGAAACCTGCAGTGTTTTCCCTTTCTTAACATTTTGAGTAATTCACATGAAGAGACCTGCTTGTCTCCTTCACCCTGGCTGGTAGGAGAGAGTTTGGGACTTTCATTACAAGCTAAGATCATGGTGGCCCTGAATTTAAGTGTATCTTTTCAGGTGATTTCAAGGCCTGTTTGCTGAGGGGCATGAAGTGAACATCATGACATAACTGTGACTCTAACATTAAACTTTTTAAATTGTAGTCAAGATTTCATGCTACTCCTCCATGAGATATCGTCCCTCATCTTAAAATATGATACGAAGTGATGCTGATGAAACTTAAAAATGATTCTGCTCTCAATGTTAAATTTCCCCAGAAAGATATAAGGTTAGACACTTCTGTTGGGTGAATACAAAATGTGTTTAATGCCTTGCAGGCTCAGACTTGTCCCTCACCACTTTACCTTTATCAGGGCATAGAACAGAGTGAAGAGTCACTTTTCAGTTGAAACCTATGTAGTAGCTCTGTAGAATGTAACGGTATTATTAAACACAAATTGTTAGTTCTAATTTTTGTGAAAGAACTCTCAAGAATTAGAGTTGGATGACATCTTGCAGGCTTCAGGGTAAATTTTCTTTCTTTATATAGTTACTGGTTCTAATGTCATGTTACCAGAGCTGTTGCTCTGTTTTGTTTGCAAGTGATTTGGTAGAAGTATTATGTATACGGTTGTTAAGATGTAACTTCATTCCTGTGATAGCAAACTTCCAGAGGAAAAACAGTCAATTGTCTGGATGATGCCAAGTATCTGTTTATTTCACCAACTCGAAATGTCACTACTGCCACATTTTCCACTTTCCATTCAGCTGTTCATTCTAAAATAAAAATCCAAGGGATTTCTTCAGTAAAATAGAGGTTGATTTTGCCTGCAAGGATGAAGAGGGTCCTTGTAGTGGTATGATCGTGTTGAATCAAGGAGTGCAAAGAGGGTTTGTTGGAGGTCATGCTGAGCCTTGGACTGGCCATTCATCATGGGTAGGACTTTGAGGGGAGTCACCTTTCACTGAAAGCTCCTTGGTCCTCATTACGGAATGAGTATTTTACAACAACACTCTGAACTCAGTTTTCATTCTGCAGTAGTTTAATAAGGCATAGATTGTGTATAGCATTAGGTAACTTTTATGTTTACAAATTAAAAATTCAGACACTTTAGGGCCTGATTCATTTTGGAAGAGAAATAACAACATCAACTGTTCCTCAGCCTGCATTTACAAACAACCTTATTAAATTTAAAGCCAGGTTTGCGTGCATGCCATCTGGTGTATCTTCAGCAAGAAATCTTAGTTCAAGATGATGAAAATAAGACAGTTTGGAGTGATAATTTTTCAACACCCAGGCTGAACTTTGGTTTAGAATTTTAATACTTAGAACATTCCACCTGTTCCTTGATGGGAAAATCCAGTAAGAAGGCTAGATTCAGCCCAATTCTGAATCTAGGGGCTCAATTCTGTGAGGGGAAAGGACCGAACAAGTTAAAAGGTCCACAAATGCATGAAAGGACAAATTTGCATCTTCCTATCAGTATTCAACTTCCCTTTACTAATGAAAAATAAATATATTTTTGAGATGGCGCGTGTTTTGCTTTATTATGCTTTGGCTTGGCTACAAAGCCTTTGATTCTGTAGCCAGTTTCCCTTCTTGGGGCTCCCCCATCCCTGACCCTGGTACACCAGAAGGAGCTTGCCCCTTCTTGGAAGTCTTCGCTATGTATTTGCTCTTCTGACGCCCATTGATCCAGAGTGACCGAGGGCTCAGACTGAAGTCCTTTTGCCTCGCGTCCAGTTTTCCCTCTACCACCTCCGAGATGCCGAGGCCAAATGTCTGTCACCTGTTTTGCCCGTTTTCTTGACCGTGCGGGCGGGACGTTTCCAGACAGGCTGGCGGTGGAAAAGCAGGAGGCCTTGCCCATCCAGCACCTACAAGGCTCCTGGCGCACTTACAGGCCTGCAGACCCTCGGCGGCTGAAAAAGCCGCTCTGCTCACCTCGGTCTTCCCAGAAGGAAGAGGGCGCCCATCCGGGAGAAGAGCCCCGACCACCCTCAGCGCACAGGCTGGGACGCCCCGACCGTTCCCCAGGGGCTCCGCGCCACCCTCCCGAGTCTTGGTTCGCGCTTCTGTGAGCTCCGGGCCCCGGTGCTGGCGCGCGCAGGGACTGCGGGGCCCGGAGCTGTGCGTCCCCGCGCCAGCGGCGGCCGTTGCCGGGGCGCCCGTTGCTAAGGGCGCCGTTGCCACGGACGCCCGCCCGGCGCCCAGCTAGCTAAGCGCTGAGCTGTGGTCAGTCCTGCCCGGCCATGGACGACTTGCGAGTGCTGTGGATGCGCGACCGCGTGTACAACGCTTTCGGCATCACAGACCCTCAGCTCTTCGAGGAGCTGCTAAACCGCAACGACGGCGAGGCCGAGGAACTCATCCTGCACTTCCTCAACCAGACCAGCGACGAGGAGGGCGCCTCGACTCTCTTCTTCTACCGCAAGGTGGTGCCCGAGGAGTTGGAGGTGGAGATCGGTGAGCCCCTCGGCCGCCTTCCCGCCGTGCCCCCTTCGGCCCTGTTGGTTCCCACCACTCCGGCGAGGAAGGCAGATCCCCGCCCACCCGCCACTCTTGGCCTCCCGGGCAGTCCGCAAATGCTTATTGCCGCCCACCCTGTCCGGGCACAGTCAAGGCAGTAGGTGAGCCGGACAAGCGTAATCATGGCAAACACTTATCGCTGCATCAGTACCAGGTACATTTCCTAACATATGCGTGCATGCTAAGTCGCTTCAGTCGTGCCCAGACTCTTTGCGACCCCATAAACTGTAGCCCGCCAGGCTCCTCTGTCCATGGGCTTCTCCAGGCAAGAATACCGGAGTGGGTTGCCAGTGCCCTCCTCCAGGAGATCTTCCCGACCCAGGGATTGCACCCGCGTGTCTTGTGTCTCCTGCATCGGCAGGAGCGTTCTTTTCTTTCTTTCTTTTTTATTTATTAATTTTTTTCCATTTATTTTTATTAGTTGAAGGCTAATTACTTTACAACATTGCAGTGGTTTTTGTCATACATTGAAATGAATTAGCCATGGATTTACATGTATTCCCCATCCCGGTCCCCCCTCCCACCTCCCTCTCCACCCGATCCCTCTGGGTCTTCCTGGTGCACCAGGCCCGAGCACTTGTCTCATG